CCATGAACAGCTGTTAAAAATTGACCACTGTCTGGAAAATCTTCCAGCTCCTGCACCCAACATCTTGCTCCTGGAGGATTTCAACTTAAGGCACCTAAAATGGAGGAATATAGCAAATAATATTGTTGCAGTAATAACACCAGGAGGCAGCTCTGATGAAAACTCACACTCACACGAGCTTTTAAATCTCTGCACAAAATTCAATTTAAACCAGCAAATAATAGAGCCTACTAGACTGGAGAATACACTAGACCTCATCTTCACTAACAATGATGATCTGATAAGAAATGTCACCATATCAAAAACAATATACTCAGATCACAACATAATTGAGGTTCAGACATGTATGCGTGGAGCCCCAGACCAACATAATGAGACTAGTCACGAGGGAGCATTCACCAAATTCAACTTCAATAACAAAAACAAAGTGGGACCAAGTAAACCAAGTCCTAACCGATATAAGCTGGGAAGATATACTAAGCAACACAGACCCCAACTTATGCCTAGAACAGATTAACTTGGTGGCACTTGATGTATGCACAAGGCTTATTCCTCTAAGAAAAAGGAGGAGTAGATGTAAAATAGAAAGAGACAGGTGCTCCTTTTACAGGCAACGGAAAATAATAACAGAGCGGCTAAAAGAGGTCAATATATCTAAAATGCGTAGGGAGACACTGGTCAGAGAAATAGCAAGCATCGAACTTAAACTAAAGGAATCTTATAGGAGTCAGGAATCGCGGGAAGAACTAAAAGCCATAAATGAAATCGAAAGAAACCCAAAGTATTTCTTCTCCTATGCCAAATCAAAGTCGAGAACAACGTCCAGTATTGGGCCCCTACTTAAACAAGATGGGTCCTACACAGATGACAGCAAGGAAATGAGTGAGCTACTCAAGTCCCAATATGACTCAGTTTTTAGCAAGCCGCTAACCAGACTGAGAGTCGAAGATCAAAATTAATTTTTTATGAGAGAGCCACAAAATTTGGTTAACACAAGCCTATCCGATGTTATCCTGACGCCAAATGACTTCGAACAGGCAATAAATGACATGCCCATGCACTCTGCCCCAGGGCCAGACTCATGGAACTCCGTGTTCATCAAGAACTGCAAGAAGCCCCTATCACGAGCCTTTTCCATCCTATGGAGAGGGAGCATGGACACGGGGGTCATCCCACAGTTACTAAAAACAACAGACATAGCCCCACTCCACAAAGGGGGCAGTAAAGCAACAGCAAAGAACTACAGACCAATAGCACTAACATCCCATGTCATAAAAATCTTTGAAAGGGTCCTAAGAAGCAAGATCACCACCCATCTAGAAACCCATCAGTTACACAACCCAGGGCAACATGGGTTTAGAACAGGTTGCTCCTGTCTGTCTCAACTATTGGATCACTACGACAAGGTCCTAAATGCACTAGAAGACAAAAAGAATGCAGATGTAATATATACAGACTTTGCAAAAGCCTTCGACAAGTGTGACCATGGCGTAATAGCGCACAAAATGCGTGCTAAAGGAATAACAGGAAAAGTCGGTCGATGGATCTTTAATTTCCTCACTAACAGAACACAGAGAGTAGTCATCAACAGAGTAAAGTCCGAGGCAGCTACGGTGAAAAGCTCTGTTCCACAAGGCACAGTACTCGCTCCCATCTTGTTCCTCATCCTCATATCCAACATAGACAAGGATGTCAGCCACAGCACCGTGTCTTCCTTTGCAGATGACACCTGAATCTGCATGACAGTGTCTTCCATTGCAGACACTGCAAGGCTCCAGGCGGACATCAACCAAATCTTTCAGTGGGCTGCAGAAAACAATATGAAGTTCAACGATGAGAAATTTCAATTACTCAGATATGGTAAACACGAGGAAATTAAATCTTCATCAGAGTACAAAACAAATTCTGGCCACAAAATAGAGCGAAACACCAACGTCAAAGACCTGGGAGTGATCATGTCGGAGGATCTCACCTTCAAGGACCATAACATTGTATCAATCGCATCTGCTAGAAAAATGACAGGATGGATAATGAGAACCTTCAAAACTAGGGAGGCCAAGCCCATGATGACACTCTTCAGGTCACTTGTTCTATCTAGGCTGGAATATTGCTGCACACTAACAGCACCTTTCAAGGCAGGTGAAATTGCTGACCTAGAAAATGTACAGAGAACCTTCACGGCGCGCATAACGGAGATAAAACACCTCAATTACTGGGAGCACTTGAGGTCCCTAAACCTGTATTCCCTGGAATGCAGGTGGGAGAGATACATGATTATATACACCTGGAAAATCCTAGAAGGACTAGTACCGAACTTGCACACGAAAATCACTCACTACGAAAGCAAAAGACTTGGCAGACGCTGCAACATCCCCCCAATGAAAAGCAGAGGTGTCACTAGCACGTTAAGAGACCATACAATAAGTGTCAGGGGCCCGAGACTGTTCAACTGCCTCCCAGCATACATAAGGGGGATTACCAACAGACCCCTGGCAGTCTTCAAGCTGGCACTGGACAAGCACCTAAAGCCGGTTCCTGACCAGCCGGGCTGTGGCTCGTACGTTGGTTTGCGTGCAGCCAGCAGCAACAGCCTGGTTGATCAGGCTCTGATCCACCAGGAGGCCTGGTCACAGACCGGGCCGCAGGGGCGTTGACCCCCGGAACTCTCTCCAGGTAAATATTTCTGTTTATGGTCAAATGGGTGAGTGAGTGTAAGTGTGAACCACCAGGTGGTATTCGTGTAGTTAGTTGACGGGGTGTATCAGGGAGATAAGATGTTTTCTAATGGTAGTTTTGAAGGTGATGAATGTGTCTGCAGTTCTAGAGTTCTCAGGTAGGGTGTTCCAGATTTTAGGGCCTTTGACATGCATTGAATTTTTGTAAAGGTTTAGTCGGACACGGGGAATGTCGTAGAGATGTTTGTGTCTGGTGTTATGCTTGTGGGTTCTGTCACAACTGTCAAGAAAGCATTTTAGGTCAAGGTTGATATTAGAGTTTAAGGCCCTGTAGATGTAGATTGCACAGTAGTAAGTGTGGATGTACTGAACAGGGAGTAAGTTTAGATCTATGAAGAGTGGGGGGGTGTGTTGCCAGGGATGGGATTTAGTGATTATTCTTACTGCAGCGTTTTGTTGGGTTATTATTGGCTTTAGGTGTGTTGCTGCAGTTGATCCCCAAGTACAAATAGCATAGGTGAGGTATGGATAAATAAGTGAGTGGTATAGTGTGAGAAGGGCATTTTGCGGCACGTAGTATCGTATCTTGGAGAGGATCCCAACCGTTTTGGATACTTTTTTGGTTATATGTTGGATATGGGTGCTGAAATTCAGGTTGTTGTCAAGGTATAGGCCTAGGAATTTGCCCTCATTATGTCTTGTAATTAGAGTGTTGTCAATCTTAATGTTAATTTGTGCATCTCCTGCTCTGCTACCAAACATAATATAGTAGGTTTTGTCAGTGTTAAGCGTAAGTTTATTGGCTGTCATCCAAGTCGATATTTTGATCAGCTCCTCATTAACAATGGTGTTGAGGGTGGCAAGATTAGGGCGAGAGATGACATAAGTCGTGTCGTCAGCAAAGAGAATGGGTTTCAGGTGTTGGGATATGTTTGGAAGATCATTGATGTACAGTATATGAGGAAGAGCAGGGGACCAAGGACACTTCCCTGTGGAACTCCAGTATCAAGTGGCCGTGTTGTTGATGCTGTGTCTTTAATGGTGATATACTGATACCTATTAGTAAGGTAAGATTTGAAATAAGCAAGCGCATGGCCTCTTATACCGTAATGGTCAAGCTTGTGGAGTAGGATGTCGTGGTCTACTGTGTTGAAAGCTTTTCTAAGGTCAATAAAAATCCCTAGTGGATATTCACAATATTCCTTATGGGAACAAATTCGGCCAGTACTGGGACCTGCACATACTTCTGGAATGAAAAAATATCGTTAACCGGGGGTCCTCTGTAGTATGCTCCTCACTTAACAACGAATTTGTTTACCGACGTGGTCTCAAACGGAACTCCGTCGTTAAGTGAGGAGAGGCTGTATAACAGTAAACTGCATGTACAGTATACAGTAGTGTTTTTTTTTTTTTTTTCTGTTTTTAACATTATTCTGATTTAATGGACACCTGGACAATCCCTCCTATTAGTTCATATATTGTATGAATAGTTTACTATAGGTCTATGTGAGAGATGGTGAAAGGAATAACAAAAAATTGCTGGATAATGGCTAAGATAACTCTTAGTAGTCTCTCTTGACTAATAGTTTAATGGCATTTTTAATTAACTGATGCTGATTGTTTTAACTTGGTGTTACAGTTTTTGTGTTGTGTGTTTTGCTCATGTTAGTAATTTATTATTTGTTAAGTTTATCTTTTTTATGTGTTATATTTATTTTTTATTGCAAACAGCACTAAATGATCTGTGTGATCAAAGTGCTCTTCAAATTTCAAAACAGTCTACCTGATAATTAATTGCTGGTGACTTCAGTATTAATCTTTCTCAACCCACTGATACCTAAGTTACAAACTTCCTAAGGAGTAAGTACTCTCTTTGTTAAAAATTCTCTCTTCATAAACTAAAAAGAATTTCTGATACATCTACCTCCACACAAGATCAGATTTGGACAAGCATAATTGCCCTACCCAAATCAAGAATGACTATAGATGCTATAACAGATCACTACCCAACTTACCTAATAAAATCCATCACCCAAGCACTACTAAAAACAAAAGAAAATTCAAATTGCACAATGATGCTTAAATAAGAAATTTTATCACCATTCCTGCATTGTATGACCCTTGTAGGTTTAGTGCTTATTTATGATTGTAGTAGCATCACCACTCCTAAGTCGTATAAACTGGGAACAGGAGCTACATGCAAGTCAAAATATCAACCAGGGATTTTACTTAAGGATAGTTTGTTTATTTTATATGGCTCAAAGTCCATTGACATAGTCTTGTATGTCCAAGACTAACATTGAAGTACATATTACTACCCAACAGTTCAATGAAGCAGTGTACGGTACCACTGGCGCCTCCTTCACAGAGTTCATGGCTCCAGGTGTTATCCTCACGTGAGTACAGAAACCCTGAATGTGTAGATTTTGTCATAATAAAATTAAGTTTTAATTGTCCATAAATACAATTAGAATTTTTACTTTTTAAATGGTAAATTAAACATGGCAACAGAAGTTGCATAAATAAAAATAAATTAAAAAAGCAGGTTATCATTTGTTTATTTATTTTTTAAGACAGCAAGTATAAAATACAAAGTAGTATGGTGTTATGGTAGGTACTGCCAAAAAGAACTTGATACTAAAAGGAGACTTGGTGCAGGGTGAGCTGTGTTAGAGCATTATTATGTCTTCATAAAGCTCTACCCAGAGGAAAATTATGTCTATAGTAAGTGTTTGTTGTGTATGCACCAAGTGTCTACAACATCAACCTGGCATCACATTACTACAGGTACAACACTGATTTTCTGGCAATGGACAGTCCCCACACCTCTTTTAGTCTGGAAAAAATTAAGGGACTAGTTTTTTGGTGGTGGTCCTTGATTTTGTTTGATTCTTAGCATATTTTGCTAACACTTAACCCTAACTTTAGCAAGTTAATAGCTATATATTTAACTTATCTATAGCAATGACTGTTGACAAGTTAATTGAGTTGTCAGGTGAATTAATGAAATACAAATGCAAAATTTATATCTTTGCAAAGGTTACAGTGTGTGGTTACATTTTATAATTTGTTAGGTACAAAGAAAGCCACTGTTGTGCTGGGGATTTTGAGCAGACTAATTGTAATGCTTAAAGACTTCTTAAGTCTAGACAGGGTGGTAAATTTTAATTATTCATTATTTTACCTTTCTACTGCTGTGAGGCTAGAACAACATTCCTTTGTAACAAAACAAGAGCTGTTGAATTTTTATTTTGTGTGAAAAATTTCACAAGGAAAAGTCAAAGCACATGAAACAACTTCACTTGAATGAAATATTAAAAAAAAAAAAAAAAAAAAAGGTAGGCAAGAAGACTGTGGCTTCATCTAAACATTCTGTGACATCAGTTTCAAGTACTCCAGATGTCTTCCCTGTAATATCACAAATCCATGATGAAACAGCCAACTAAGAAACAGACAGTAATTCTGATAGCCCTCAGCTTCCAGATCTTTGTCATAAATTCTACTGTTTTAGTAAAATTGTAAAATTTACCACTTTAGGAGTGTTAGTGCTGCAATATTCTTTGCAAATACAGTAATTAATAAACCTGTTTAATTTTTAATAATGTTTAATTATCTAGCAGTCCACTGTGGGTCAGAGGTGTAATATTGAATTATCATGTGACCTCTGTTGGTCCGGCAAAATTAACATTCTGGTAAGGCCTCGGAACTAATGGTGCCAGAAAATCAGTTTTGTACCTGTCTATAACATGAATTTTCTTGGGAAGTGAAAGGCAAGGAAATATTTAATAGAAGCTATTTAAAGTAAGGCTTTGTGTATCTAGCACTGTAATGTTGAGATTACTTAAGAGAGATTCCTTGATGATATTGATGAGCTTTTGATCAAAGAATTGGACTTGACCTTCCCTTCCTTGGATTGAATCTGATTATATTCCATTTCCCCAAGTGCTGTATGTTCTTTGTGGTGTTAAGACTGTGCCCCCCATCCCCATGAATACAGTAATACTGTATGATGAAATTTAACACTGTTAAGTCCTCTTCATCATTTAAGTATGGTGTAACGTGCTCCCAGCCTGAAGAACTTACACCATATTAATTGTTTTTAATTGATATGTCTTTTTAATCTCATTTAATATACTAGTACAGGTTGGCTATTACTAATCCGGCAATCAGTAATGCAGTTCCATCAGTAATCTGGCACTAATTTCGGCTAGCATAATTTCAAATTTCTGGGGTCACCACATCAACCTGCCGCTACTGGTTGGTGGCACTACTTGCTGCATAAGTCATTCCAATTTCTTTTTCTCCATTTATTGTTATAACCTGCTCCCTTTTAGCCTTAGCCATGGCTAAGGAAGTAAGTAAGTAAGTTTATTCAGGTGTACACAAATACAGTTACATAGATTATCATACATAGCAGCATATGTGTAGAGAACCTAGGATAACCCAAAAAAGTCAGACAGAATGACTTATTTCCATTGTCCATAAAAAGTAAAGTGGCTTTGAAGCCACTGTCAGTCGCCATGAGCTCAGCTCACTCAGATAAGCTGTGACCAGTAAATTTGAGAGAATAGGTCTGTGTGGTAAGTGAGCACTATATAAAAAAATTCTGCAGCACACAGTGCATAATGATAAAAAAATGCAACCGTGTTTATGGCATAAATCCTACTTGGCGGTGTGTTTTCGTGTGGTTTGTTATGGCTGTATTCTTTTTTTTTTTTTTTTTTTGTCTCATTTGATAGAATGAGACAAAAATAAACAAGATATATTACAGAAATAGATATAATTTTGATTGGTTTCATATCAAAAAGTACCTTAAAATTGAGCTCAAAGTACCAGAAATGTTCGATTTTTGCTGATATTCAAGAGTAAACGAATGATGTCACCGACCAATACGTGTCCAACTGGCTGGTCTAATACTCAGTCACGAATGGGTTGACATTATTTATACTATTATTAAAATAATGCAATAGTTTGCACAAGTGTAAATCTTCTATTTTTTGTGTGAATAAAAATTCAAAATGGAAAGGGGCCTGGAGATGTGACTAATGAACAGAGAAAATGTTATTTTAGTGCCAGTAATGTCTGCATTGTTTATTCTGGACCCTATTTTGAAATTAGCATCTTTTGAAATTTGTGTGAAATTAGCCAAATTACTGATTTCTGACCACTTTATTGGATAGTTGAAATAGATGAATGAGGGGTCTCTTGTACTCAATCGACAGAATAGAAGGAATACTAACGAAATAGTTATGAGTTTAGTAGACTGGAACAATGGAATGGGCAAAAAAATAGGGCATAAAGTGGGTGAAATCACCAATGCTTAAATATCATTAAATATCACCATTGGGTTAAGTAATCTGGCAAAATCACTATTCCGGCACCCTACAGCTCCCGATGATGCCAGATTAGTGATGGTCAACCAGTATTATTACACATATAAACCACACATAGGAGAAAGAAACCTACAATGATGTTTTGGTCCAAGTTGGACCGAAACACCATTGTAAGTTTCTTTCTCCTTGTGCGGGTTATTTGCTTATTCCAGTCATCATATTGTGTGTTTTTGTGCTTTACTAATATTATTTTATATCACATAAAACGTGCTGTTTATAAGAGTCATACACTGCTTTAAATATAACTTTAAACTTCATGAAATGTTGTCACTACAAACTTAAATTTCTGGTCAATCATTACGATTTGTTCATATGCATAAAATTCTGCCTAACATGGTTTTTCTCCTTTCCAGGATTACCTACTTCATGGCTGTGGGGCTGACAGCTCTCTCCTTCATCACTGAGCGCAAGGAAGGACTCTTGGACCGATCCTGGGTGTCTGGTTAGTGTAACTGATCCTTGAGTCTGGTTAGTGTAACTGATCCTTGGTGTCTGGTTAATATAACTAATCCTTAAGTCTGGTTAGTGTAACTGATCCTTGGTGTCTGGTTAATATAACTGATCCTTGAGTCTGGTTAGTGTAACTGATCCTTGGTATCTGGTTAATATAACTGAGCCTTGAATCTGGTTAGTGTAACTGATCCTTGAGTCTGGTTGATATAACTGATCCTTGAGTCTGGTTAGTGTAACTGATCCTGAGTGTCTAGTTCATATAACTTATCCTGGGTGTCAGGTTAGTGTAAGTGATCCTTGGTGCCTGGTTAGTTTAACTGATCCTGGGTATTTGGTTAGTGTATCTTTTGAGCTAATGTTAAACAACTTGTAATATATTTGTAAATAAGTTTATAGAAATAGTTTGTTTATTTGTTTTTTAAATACAGTGGTCCCTCGTTTATCGTCGTTAATCCGTTCCTGGAAGTGCGATGATTATCGAAAAAGACGATTTTCGAATCATTTTTCCCATAAGAAATAATGTAAATACAATTAATCTGTTCCTGACACCCAGAAGTATTAAAACAAAATTTTTTTTTACATGAAATATAGATGTAGTATGTAAACAATACAATGGGACATGATGAATGAAATATTAACAGCATAACACTTACCTTTATTGGCGATTCTTCTTAGTGTATGGAAGACTGGAGGAGGAGAGAGATTGGATTAGTTACTATTTGGAAGGGGAATCCCCTTCTATCAACACCTTAGGTACCAAGTCCTTTTCTGGGGTTACTTCTCTTCTCTGTTTCTTAATGCCACTAAGACCAGCTTGAGAGTCACTGGAGTCCTGTCTCGCAAAAAAAAAAGCGTCCAGAGAGCTCTGTTTCTGGAGTGTCTTTAAAACTTCCCTAAAATGGGCCAAGACTCTATCACTGTGCAAGTTGCCAATATGGCTTGCAACATCCTTCTCAGGGTGATGTTTCTTCATAAATCTTTCCATCCTACCCCACATTTCAAAAATCTCCTTAATTTCTGAAGAAGGCACCTTCTTCCATCTCTCTTCCTCCTCCTCTGTAGCAAGATTCTGAGCTGCGATCTGTTGCTGTTCCTGCTGAAGCTCTTGCAGCTCCTCAGTGGTTAGCTCTTCGTTGTGGTCCTCCACCAACTCTTCCACATCCTCCAAACTCACATCCAACCCCATGGAACTCCTCAATGCCACAATAGAGTTCACAACTAACATAGGCTCATCAGGGTCAGCCACAAACCCTTCAAAATCCCTCTTGTGGACACAATCTGGCCACAATTTTCTCCAAGCAGAGTTCAAAGTTCTGGTAGTCACTCCCTCCCAAGCCTTACTTATAAGACTTATGCAATGGAGGATACTGAAGTGTTCTTTCCAAAACTCTCTTAGGGTCAAGTGAGTGTCTGAGGTCACATTAAAGCACCTTTGAAACATTGCTTTGGTGTAGAGTTTTTAAAGTTTGAAATGACCTGCTTGTCCATGGGCTGGAGGAGAGGAGTGGTATTCGGGGGTAAGAACTTTACTGTGATGAACCCAAACTCCTGCAGAATTGGGTCATCCAAGTTTGGAGGATGAGCAGGTGCATTGTCCATTACTAGGAGGCACTTGAGATCCAATTTCTTTTCCAGGAGGGCTAGTAACCCCTTCTCCTGTATAAATTACTAAATTTAAAAGAGAAACTTTCATTTTTCTTTTTGGGCCACCCTGCCTTGGTGGGATACGGCTGGTGTGTTGAAAGAAAAGACTTCTTCACACTAGGGCCAAACACTTCATTGAACCACTAGATGAAAATTTCCCTTGTGACCCATGCCTTATTATTAGATCTCCAAAACACACGCAATTTACTCTTCATAACATTGATTATTTTGAACACTGGGATTTTCAGAATGGTACACTAGTAATGGCTTCACTTTGAAATCCCCACTAGCATTAGCACAGAACATGAGCATCAGCCTGTCTTCAGTAGGCTTGTGTCCTGGCAGTCCCTTTTTCTCCTGAATAATGTAGGTCGTCTTTGGCATTTTCTTCCAAAAGAGGCCTGTTTTGTCACAATTGAACACATGTTCAGGTTTCAGTCCTTCAGCCTCTATGTACACCTTAAATTTACTTATGAATTTTGTAGCTGCAATTTTGTCCTAACTGGCAGCCTCACCATGCCTTATCACACTGTGTATGCCACTATGGTTCTTAAATTTCTCAAACCAACCTTTGCTGGCCTTAAATTCACAAATATCAGTACTCGTTGCAGGCAATTTCTTTACCAGATCATCATGCAACTGCCTAGCCTTTTCACAAATAATCGACGTCATAAGACTATCTCCTGCTAATTGTTTCTCGTTTATCCACACCAATAATAATTGTCAACCTCTTCGAGTACTGGTAATCTCATTTTTGTCAGCATATTTACCCCCTTTGCAACAACAGCTTCCTTGATTTCCTTTTTCTTGGCCACGATGGAAGATATGGTTGTACTGGATTTGTTATACATCCTGGCCAGTTCGGCCACACGTACGCCACTTTCATATTGTTCAATGATGTTTTTCTTAAATTCAATCGTATTTCTCACCTTCTTTACCAAAGGCTTGGCACTAGGAGCTTTCTTTGGGGCCATGGTAGCTTATTTAGCATTTGCAAGCACTAAAATTAATGGAATAGTATTATGAAATATTTCGTATGAACAAGTGAGGGGACCGTCGCTCACTGGTAAACAGTGGCACACTGGCTGGGATAAACCCTGATGTGGCTCAGAGCCGTGAGTACGTGTCCAGGACGAACGATGATTAGCGAGTCAACCGACCATTTGCGAGCCAATGTTTGGACTAAAATAACGCGACGATTTCTGAAAAGGACGACTATCGAGCCCGACTATTATTGAGGGACCACTGTATAGACTAATTTTTCTCTTAAAAAGTTGGCTTTCTTTCCCCTTAGAGTTGAACCCCTTCAAAGGTGGCCCCTATAGCTCTAGACTTTACCGATCCCACCTCTGGACGTATCTGTAGGGCTGCCTGTATTAGGAACACTTGTGTGTCCAACATGGAAATTCATTCAATCATCAATTGGGATTTTATGATTCATAACTCACGATAAAAGGAGAGAAAATGCTGTGGAAAGTACGAACTATAACAACAAACACAATTACACAGAACAAAATCAGCTTCCATTTAGCAAAACCATTAGTTATACAGGTATATTATCAAAACCCTCCAACCACTACCAGCACTGCTCACTATGCAAATGCCTCTCAAGATTTATCCAGCATGGGCCAGTGCTACAGATTTGCTTACATTCTTTTATTTATATCTGATTATACTCCTACCTTTTGCATATATTGTGCTAACCAGGTTTAATCAATGAGACTTAACAAAGCTTGCTGCATAAACAAAATGTTGTCGTAAATAATTTTTTCAGTTTGTGCTTACAATCTGTAAACATCTTTATAATGTTTATTTTATCTGAAAATTCTTTTACAGTACGTATGTAAGTTACAATTATGATTTAGACAAACACTGATGTTTTTGGTATCCATCAGCTGGGATTTTCCCCTTTGTAAACTTACCTAGTTGTATAGTAATCTAGTTATACTTGCAGGGGTTGGTTCATAGCTCCTGGCTCTATTTTTATAAGTAAATTTATTTAGGTACAGGTACACATAAGTACAATTATCATACTTAGTAACATATGTGTAAATTACCTGGGATAGCCCCAAAAAAGTAATATATAATTTAAAACCTAGCTGTAACTTACAGTAGAAATTTTCAATGATTTTTCTCTTAAATATTTGTACAGGTGTACAGTCAAGTGAGGTAATGTTGGCCCACCTGATGACTCAGATGTTTGTGATGCTGGTGCAGATTGGACTCATCCTGGTGTTTATGTTTCCGGTGTTTAAGCTACCATGTCAGGGAAACATGGTTTGGGTTGTCCTCATCTCTATACTCCAGGGCTTCTGTGGCATGACTTTCGGTGAGATAACATGGCAAATAGATAAATGTGTAGAAAATTGAAGGATTTAATAACTTTGAATTTGCAGCATGTAGCTCAGTAGTAAGAGCAGTCAGTTTATAACTGAAAGGTCTCCAATTCAAATCCTTAGTAGGGCATAATGTATGTGTGAGTCTTCCTACTCTTACTGCCCCTCTTTACCTAGTATGGGTCTTTGGGCCTCCTTAACCAACAGGGTTTATGCATACACACCCCACCCCACCTCACCTCACATTTAGCCATCTGCTTGCAGGTGTTCCTGCTCCTGTCTAAGTGACTTATGGCATGCTGCTGGCTATGGAACACATTTTATCTATGTACCCACTTTAGCCTTTAAGTCATTGTTTCTATAATTACTGGGGTGCCTGTCAAAACCTTTAAGTGCCCAGACTACATCAACATCTCCTCAGGTCTCTGAATTATACTTTTGGTAACTCTACACATAACCTCTATACTCAGAATTCTTGGCATAATCCTGTATTTGCAATACTCATTTCCCTCAAACATGCCATCTCCATTGCCTCTTGCCTCCTCCTCACTTCAATGTTTAAAACCCATTCAATTAAACTATTTGTCTCCACTGATGCCTCAGCAAACCACCCTCCTTTTTCCTTTCTTCTATCCCATTGGTCACCTCATCTTTAACAGACTCATTCGCTGACAAGACCACTCTCGAATTTCTGAACACATTTACTTCCTCTGCACTACTTCTATCCAATCTGATATCCAATTTCTCATTGCTTAAGATTTTCGTTACTCTCATTGCCTTGATCCTGCCTATATTCACTCTTAATTTATTCCTTTGACATACCCTCCCAATACACAAATAACCTACACATAGGAGAAAGAAACTTATGATGATGTGCAAGTCATTTGTGTATTGTTCCAGTCATGGTATTGTGCAGTTTTATTCTTTGTAACCTCCCAGATTTCTCCGCCTACTTTTACAACTTCACTTCGGAATCTCCCAAAACAACTGTCATCGGCAAAGGACAGCTGTAACAATCCCCACTTTGCATGTACTTCATTCTCTACTAATCCCAGACCTCTCCCTGACACCCTAGCATTCGCTTCTATTACATTATTTTTTTTTATTATCACACTGGCCGATTCCCACCAAGGCAGGGTGGCCTGAAAAAGAAAAACTTTCACCATCATTCACTCCATCACTGTCTTGCCAGAAGGGTGCTTTACACTACAGTTTTTAAACTGCAACATTAACACCCCTCCTTCAGAGTGCAGGCACTGTACTTCCCATCTCCAGGACTCCAGTCCGGCCTGCTGGTTTCCCTGAATCCCTTCATAAATGTTACTTTGCTCACACTCCAACAGCACGTCAAGTATTAAAAACCATTTGTCTCCATTCACTCCTATCAAACACGCTCACGCATGCCCGCTGGAACTCCAAGCCCCTCGCACACAAAACCTCCTTTACCCCCTCCCTCCAACCTTTCCTAGGCCGACCCCTACCCCGCCTTCCTTCCGCTACAGACTGATACACTCTTGAAGTCATTCTGTTTTGCTCCATTCTCTCTACATGTCCGAACCATCTCAACAACCCTTCCTCAGCCCTCTGTTAGTTTAGTTTAATATCTTTATTATGCACCCCATTCCCATCCTGTGGGCAGTAGTCAAAAGATTACAAAGGTACATAATGGGTCCAGGGACTGGACCCCAAAGTTATGATAGCTGAACAAGTTACAAAGGTAATGAACTCCAGATAGATCTGGTCACAATCATGGCAAGTTACAAAGGTAATGAATCAGCCTCATTCCTATACTTGGTTACAGTCATGAACAAATTACAAAGTAATGAACCACTGATACATCCACACCTGGTCACAATTATAATGAGTTATAAATACAAATATTAAGTGGGTCATGCGCGCATACACATACACATGGACAGCAGTTTTGGCAATCCCGCACCTCCTCCTAACTTCCAAACTACGAATTCTCTGCATTATATTCACACCACACATTGCCCTATAAATATGTTAAGCTTTTTTTCATTTATCAGAAAATAGACACAGTATCTGGGTGTTAGTGAGATTTTCAGGTTCCTTCCTAAAGAATTGTATACCATAAAGATATTGCCAGGGTCAGGCTTTGAAATGAGCCTGTAAAATTAACATTAGCAATAGAAAAATATAAGTTGATTACAGTAATTACAAATAATTGATCAAGATTAGTATAATTGTGCATCGTGGAAAAGTGATTTAGGTGAAGCATTATTGTTGTTGTTACAGTTACAAAAATATGCCAAACTTATATGGATCAGTCAGTGCTGCATGATAAGCATAGGCTTAGGTTTAGGGGTAGAGTTGTGGAAATGTGGTGTATAATCATGTAAGGAAAAAGGCATTGGTTGGTGCTGTACATCAACTTCAAGTTTAAGTGAAATATATGTTTCCCGGATGTAAAATTCAACTTTTATTATTATTTTTATTATCATTAGTATTATTATATTCATTGGGAAGTGCTAAACTCAATTGCAGTTTTTAATAAAAGAATTATAACAGATGAACTTTAATTCCTATCTCCCTTAGTTTGTGATGGATTTCAGACCTGAAAATGAGTCAACTCTTAAGCATTTTCAGGACCGTCTGTGAAGAGTGTATGAACAGTCTCTTTATTGGGAAGGAAGACACAAGACTATCCCATTGAGTAACCAAATGAAAGAAATGTGACAGGAACTCTGTGTTTGCACTCATTATTATTTCTATAATATGTAATATAAAACTAGCAACACAATTCACTACAATAACTGTTACTTAAATTTGATGCTTCACAGCCCATTGATTTACTGTGAGTTTGTTTTGTAAATCCTGTACTGTATTTGTCTAGAATATTTTTATCTGATGGTGTATTGCTAAATATTAAAGTATATTTTTTACCTTTCGTGTTGTAGGGTTGATGACGTCGGCAGTCTCCAACGATGAGAACACAGCAATCATGATGGCGCTAGGCATCTTCTATCCACTACTGCTACTCTCAGGAATAATTTGGCCTGTGCAGGGTATCCCCATTGTTCTCAGGTTAGTGGTGTTGAAGTGCTTTAGCTATAATAGTGCACTTGATACTATATTTTTGCAGTCAACTTTTTTGTTTCCTGAGATGATGCCCAGCTACTAGGACCCTTCAGAGGGATGCCTTGATGCTAGTGAAAGACTGCATCAGAGGAATTAGAGCTATCCTTCCTTTTCTCAAAAATCAAACCTTATTACCAAACCTCTACCATTCCCCATATGCTGCATGACTCTTATATGTTTAGCACTTATTCATGGACTTTTTTTTTGTTTAACATGCTGGCTGTCTCCCAACGAGGCAGAATGACCCAAAAAAGAAAAAAACTAAAGCCTATCCTTTACATTTAGTAATTTATACAGGAGAAAAGGTTACCAGCCCCTTGCTTCTGGCATTTTAGTCACCTCTTACAACACGCATGCCTTATGGAGGAAGGATTCTTCTCCACTTCCCCATTGAGATCATGAACATGGTATTATTTATTAATTAGGAAATTATATTTGCTAGCATTTTTAGTATCATTATACAGTATTTGCAAGAAAGCACTAAACCTATATAGGTCATAGTACCAGACAGCAGGAAGAAAGCATGTGTGTGAATCTTTAGTAGCTTATCGGAAACATGGTTACTATATTAACAAGACTGTCAACAGTATACTACAAATTGTATCTAACAACTCTGTGCCTGCTACACACCTAGATTTCTGTTTTAGGTATCCTGTTAACAATGGTCTTGCCTCAGTATTTTATCTCCACTAGTATGTACAGTTTGCATGGAAAGTTGTGACATTGGCTGCAGGACAAACTTGTCATCATTGCAACATATGGCAACAGATGGTTGAAGTCTGGACTTTCACACACCAATTGCAAGTAGGGCCATGCAGCTTCAGGAGTGGGCTCATCCACCATTGGGTTGAACCCTGCACTATGTTCAGTGAAGCTCAGATGATGGTGTATGTGATGGATCATTATGTGAGAAGAAAACACTACAAAACACTGTCCTCCTCCGACATAATTATCCATTTAATACACCATCATCTAAGCTTCACCAAACATAGTGCAGAGTTCAACCCAAATGCAGATAAGCCCACTCTTGAAGCTGCATGGCCCCACTTACAAATGGTGTATGTGAGTTTTTCCCACAATTTCTAGAAAGTCTAGACTTCAACCATTTGTTACCATATGTTTCAGTGAATAAAAGTTTGTCCTGCAGCTGGCATCATAGTTTTCCACAGAGTGTAGTTTCATTTATACTATACCTACAGTATTTTCCTCTCTCATATCATTCTTCAGATTCTTAGAGTCATGGTAAAATGATCTCATCTCTTGTTCCATATCCCTTCTAACACTTGTCAAAACTTTGAGTATAAATGTAACTTTCCTCACTAACAGTGTAGAGACCTGACCTCGGATGCATTATGTGGTTTTGTAATCTTTTTGCTACCACCCACTGGATTTGTATAGGGTGCATAGTAAAAATATAAAACATAAGTTCAGATCCTGGCCAAACACCAGCAATAACAGCATTTTTCACCCCCAGATATGTGTCATACATTCTGCCCCAGACATATGCGTGCGAGGCCATCCGAGCTATCCTCTACAAGGGGTGGGATATTACACATCCCACAGTCTATACTGGCTATATTATCACTGTCATCTGGCTCTTAATCCATCTGATCTTCACCCTCATCGCTATTAGGATCAGGAAGTAAACCGGGAAACTTCCTTGAAGCAACTGTAAATGCCAGAAGCAAAGCGAAGGAAAATTTTCATTGTAAAGCAAAGATGGACAAAGATCAAAGTAAGTTATATAGTGAATGTGAAATTTTATAAAAATGACAGTTATTATTAGTGATACCAAACATTGCTTCAGACATGTTGTGCTAACACTTTTTAGAGATAAAATATTTAAAAGAGCAAATTATTATTGTAATTTTAAAATTCATGGGAAAGGTCATACAATGCCTGGGGAATAGGAGTGGTGGGAAGAATTAACTTTATTTTTAAAACAACATTTGAATCCCTATGCCTAAAATTACCTTCATAACTTTCATATAGTATTGCCTCAATGAATTTTCATTATTTTTATAATGAAAACAAATGATAAATCTGTATTGATTGAAAAGGCATAGCATGAAAGGGATTGGAAGCTTAGGGTTACTGGGGTTGAGGGTTAGTACAGGTGCATCATTAAAATCATAGTCGGTGCAGTAGATTAGTTTCTGTTAGAAAGTCAAAGAGAAAATCTGTGAAGGTGGGATTTTCAATAAGGAAGGCAGCTAGTGAGCATTTCAAAGGGATGAAAATGTTAGAAGTGTAATATGTGATGTCTGATATAGGTCAGTTTGTTAATATATGGTGAACTGATGTTGCAACTTGGCAGTCCTTGCAGAGAGGTGCTAATCATCTCTCCATGAAGTGTCTGTGGGCAAGGTATGTGGGTTCAATTCATAATTGTGAAAGCATACTTTCCCATACCCTACAGCTATAGAAAGGTGGCCAGGAACTCAACTGCAGGTGAGCAGAAAACAGTTTGTTCTTTAATTCAGACCAATGTTAGTGCCAGTGTTGTCAAAGTCCAGAAAATGCCTGAAAATAGTCTGAAAAAAGGGACCTCTCTGTGGAAGATAGATAGGTCATGATTAAGAGACCAAGTGGTTGAGTCTATATGTTTGTTACCCTGAGTGTTAAATCTGCCTAGGGACCTAGTAATAACCTACTTTGTTTTTGCTAGAAATGTGATATAACACTTCTGTATATACAGAACGATGGGATGTGGGGAGTCTAATTTTTAGACAGCTCGTACATAACACCCTTTCGGAATCTGAAACTACAGCAGACAAGGAGGCAGACATAGTTGTAATGCATATGTCAGCAGCAAATATTAAATACAACTCTGCTGTAAAAATATTGGCCAGTGTTAGTAAATGTCCTTGGAATCTGGAAAAACTGCTGTGTACTCTACCTCCATAGGATGAGAATGTGATTGAAAATGTACAAGACAGAGGTAGTGTGAATTTAGTCGTGGGTATTTGTGAGCCTTCAGGCATGGGAGGGAAGGAGTAAACCTGAATCATCAGAACACCCAAAGAGGGAAGGTATGAGGTGAATGAAAAGGTGGGGTTGTATATTAAAAGATGAGTCCAGAGTTTGAATGTAGAGATTAAGGGCCATAATAGATGGAAATAACAATTTAATGAATCAATGTTATTAACATCTGTGATTATTCTATATGTAAGAGGGTCAGAGGAGTAGAAAAACTAATGAAGGCAATGGGCACCATATCAGTCTTGCAAAGCCAGGATGTTTCAGTCTCGGGGGACACATGGATGAGCCTGGAACCTGTTCTTAGCAAATACTGAACCTCTGAAGTGTCTAGGTTGGTAATCTAGTAGATGAAGAATTGAGACACTTATGCAACACATGGGAATCTTTATTGAAGAAACATTTCGCCACACAGTGGCTTCATCAGTCCAATACAAAGTAGAAATGGGTAAGGAGAGTAGAAGTTTGAGGTAATCAGTCCCTCAACCTGGAATCGATGTGTTCAGTCCATCACTCTTGTAGGAAGTGCAGCACTTCCTACAAGAGTGATGGACTGAACACATCGATTCCAGGTTGAGGGACTGATTACCTCAAACTTCTACTCTCCTTACCCATTTCTACTTTGTATTGGACTGATGAAGCCACTGTGTGGCAAAATGTTTCTTCAATAAAGATTCCCATGTGTTGCATAAGTGTCTCAATTCTTCAACTTATCGGTTTTCAAAACCATTCATCAAATCTAGTAGATGCCATGCTAGTATTCTTGAATTTGAGAAATCCAAGATAGCTGCCAAAGTGGTTACTGATCATCCATAAATACTAAAAAAAAACATATAGATGAACATGAATATAGAGTATTTAATAAAAAATATTGAAAACTTTTTGTACTTTTATGCTGATAGGGATGTTCGTAGGATGATTTTGTGTAAATTGGATATCCAAGACTGATGCCGTTGTTTCCAAGAAGTAACAGTTACACTCGGTAAGACGCTCTCCTTTCCACCAGTAGTGTCCTTTAAATTAATTAATGCAGGGGAAGGAAAGTGAATCAATTATCACTTATAGTTTTGTAAAGCATTCATTTATTTTGGGTTAAATTCAGAGAACATTAACTAAACATTTTACCATGCACCTACAGATACCACTCAAATGAATACTGCAATGTAATCAACAGTAATTGTTATTCATTTAAAAATGAGGCACCATTCAAGGAAGATTCTTGTTCACGGGTAAGGCGCTTTTGATCCAAGAAATTGGACCTGACCTTTCCTTCTTTAGATCCGACCTGATTGCTCCCATTTCTACAGGTTGTGTGTGTTTAGCGCTTCCTACCTCTGTCCATGACCGTGATAATAATGTAAATAGTATTGCAGTACACATACTCCATCACATTGGAGGGAGGAAGTATGGAAAAAGTGAATGTTTTCAGATATTTGGGAGTTGACCTGTCAGCAGTTAGGTTTATGAAGGATGAGGTTAACCATAAAATTGATGAAGGAAAAAAGGCGAGTGGTGCATTGAGGTATCTGTGGAGACAAAGAACATTATCCATGGAGGCAAAGAAAGGAATGTACGAGAGTATAGTGGTACCAACACTTATATGGGTGTGAAGCATGGGTTGTAAATGCTGCAGCAAGGAGGCAGCTGGAGGCAGTGGAGATGTCATGTCTAAGAGCAGTGTGTGGTGTAAATATGCAGAGAATTCATAGTGTGGAAATTAGGAGGTGTGGAGTTATTAAAAGTATTAGCCAGAGGGCTGAAGAGGGGCTGTTGAGGTGGTTTGATCATTTAGAGAGAATGACTTGGAGAGCGTATAAAACTGTTGGGGAAGGAAGGTGGGGTAGTGGTCGTACCGAAAAGGTTGGAGGGAGGGGGGGTAAAGGAGGTTTTGTGGGCGAGGGGCTTGGACTTCCAGAAAGCGTGCGTGAGTATGTTAGATAGGAGTGAATGGAGACGAATGGTTTTTGGGACCTGACGAGCTGTTGGAGTGTGAGCAGGGTAATTTTTGTGAAGGGATTCAGGGAAACCGGTTAGCTGGACTCAAGTCCTGGAAATGGGAAGTACAATGCCTGCACTTTAAAGGAGGGGTTTGGGATATTGGCACTTTGGAGGGATGTCTAAGCTGTCGTATCTGAGCCCCTCTGCAAAGACAGTGATTATGTATGAGTACTAACCTATTTGTACTCACCTATTTGAGTGATGGTGAGTGTTGAATTATGATGAAAGTTTTTTCTTTCTTTTTGGGTCACCCTGCCTTGGTGGGAGACGTCCAACGTGTTAAAAAAAAAATGACAGGGAGCCATTATTAATCAGTGTAACTTTATAGGCATTATTTAAGAAATGTCATTTCAATTTGAACATGCATATTATTGAAAATGTGAGGTTCAAGGTGATAGTTTTTGGTTTGAAGAGGCATCAGGTTAGTTAAATCCTCCTGTTTTCTCTCTAGGTGACTGCATTACTGCCTCACAGTAAAAACTTCGTTTAGGGTGTTATAGAGTAATAATGAGGCTAGAGAGGAGTGATTTATGAATGTAACATGTTAGGGTTGTATTTCAGTGCTACAGAGCCTGGGTGGTTGAATCACACCAAGGCAGCTTTGATTATTTTTTAATCCCAGTACCATCCCCAAGTATGTGGTTTACTAGGGTAGGCTGCCTGAGTATGTAATAGCATTTGGAGAGTTGCATTTACAATGTGTTTCCAGCCATTATGTATTGGCATGGCCAGTTATTACTATTGTGTTACAGGAGGGCCCCACATATACAGCACCCTTTTAGCAGTGTTCCATGTTTTCATTGGCTTTCAACCGAGCCATTCTTCATTATATTCGGTGCTTTTACCACTTTTCCGCCATTTTCGTACAAAGAGTTGCATGAGGGAAGGGTGATCAGCACCATGTTTTAAGGTAAGTATTATATGTACTGTGTATTTATTTTACTTTTTTTTTTATGCCTAGCTGTATTGAACACTTAATATACAATAGTGTAAACACTATCGGGCATTTTAGATGCATTCGATAATGAAAAAGATGCTCTTTTCCACTCACCGTCTAGTTGTGCTTACCATACGGGGTCAGAAACCTAAGAGCTGTACAGCTGAACCCTCCTGTATCTTGCCTGTAATTGTTATTGTTAAAGTTTATTTTTGATACCCAGGTTGTTTGCTTTTTACAAATTACTTTGAGCTACTAGTCAGCCACGGTTGTTTTACCTTGTGGTCTTAGGGGAGGGACCACAAAGGGTAATGCTCAGTTATTATGTTAATTACAGTACTCTTATTTACGTTGCTGTAATTATGTTTTGTTAATTTAATACCCTAACTCAGCAGCAAAGTTATCTTATGATAACAAGTAACACTTACTGAAGTATGTATCAGGAATGATTGATCAAGGTAAAAAGAATCTTGGTTAGTGTCATTTTTGGCAGAATTCTTTTAGTGGAAGTAGTTTCCTAGTGGTGTGATTGAGGGGTGTGCACTATGTCAGTGTCATCAATTGTCTGTTGCAGTTTTTTGGCAGTTTGACTGCATGCCACTTTGCTGCTTGACATATGGATGATTTATAATTATCTTACAGGATGCTGGTTCCATGGTGAAATTATAATAAAAGGGAATGGTATAATATATAGCAGACAGAACATGGGCTGGGCTCAGGCATTGGATGACTAACTGAAACTGATTCATGTTTCTGAGGAGTCCATGTCTGTGTATGGATCAGGAAAAATTATCACTGTTACAGGGAACCCAGGAGAATAGGGTAATGTTTCATACAGCAAAAAATGAGTGGTGCTTCCTGTACCACTCTTGCACACATTGCACATTGCAGTTATACTGTTCCTATGACTACCATACTTATTCCACAAATGATTAAATTATCTACACCTGTAAATAATGGCACTAAAGAATTTGGAAGGCAGTTTTTCTGTATGTACATTTTTTTTTTTTTATAACTATGAGATATTTGGGATTTAATGTACTATATTTGGTAACATGTTGATGTTAACAAAACTCCAGGTCTTGAGTCCTGGAAAAATTGTAAACCACTGTAGTATAACAGATGAGATATTTGGGATTTTATGTACTGCACTTCATCAGGTGTTGATGTTATTAACAAAGCAGGAACTATTTCAGGACAAAAAGTATATTGTATAAATTTTGTATTTATATATTTACATTTACATACAGCATGTGACAGTCTAGTGACACTTCTAATGCATTTACATAGTAAACTGTATGTACATGCTTAAGGTCTTAACTTTTGCAAAATAATACTTAAAAAAAAAAAAAAAATGTACACTATTTACAAGCATGTCTTTAAATTGTTCATACAAAAGAATTACATTTATATTCATTAATGTGAGAATACAAAAATATAGTTCTATAAGAAAAGGGAACTAAATCTGGCTATTATATTGTAATCTCAAATCTCTGTATGGAAAATTTTAAGTTATAACCATTATGGTCTTTTTAAATACTGTAATTTGTATCATCTTTTCAGTGAACTAATTAAATGTAATATTTAAGAGTTATTACTGCAAGGCATAATAATAATTATCTAGATAAAAGTGAACATGATTAATTATGTTTCCCAGAATACACTTAGAGGAACATCCTTAACAGTGCAAGAGAATGACTCACGAAATCATGACAATTGCAAACAAACCACGGTACGGCGAGTCGTAAAACTCCAGGCCATTGCTTAAGAAAGTGGCTTACACACTGGACTGGAGTTTTACGACTCACCACGAGTTCGAGCCGCACCGTACCGTTTTTTGTTTTTGTTTTTTTCAGTGCAAGAGAATTTTGACTATGCAAGACTTTGTTTATAAGTGGTGCAGTTTTGCGACATGTTCAATTCTTGAGTGCTGTTACTTTTCATTTGTTGATATTCTCATATATAAAAATTAACTTCTCATGTACAGAACTAAATATAATTCCATAGAATGCAATAACAAAAGGGAAATTTTTACATACATATTTAAACCACCAGAAATTAAGATAGCATCCTCTTCAAGTATTCAAACTTACAATGTTTCATGATTAGTATGCACTTCATCATAGCAAATGTTTAAGAACTTCATCAGTGAATAACAATTCCAGCACTGCAGGATATAATTATAAATGCAATCATCTATAAACTGAATAATTATCAATCAAGTTTATTGTATGCTAAATATCTAACTACAATTCAATTTAAAAGATATCCTCACAAATAAAGATAGAGAATCATTCTACCATATTTACATTTCCTTATAATAAAATAATCTTTATATTACATTTGGAAACACTATGTATTTTAGGAATGAAAAAAAGTCTGCAGATATTTGTGTATTGTGGATGACTTGTAATTGTATTGTATTTTAGAGTTGTGTACATATATCTAAAAATGCTTAACCTCTCTTCACATGTTCACACAACATTATATATACTGAAGAGGACAGTGAAACTCCCAATATTTGTACCAAATAACTGCAAGTTATAAAGAAGTGGAAGTACAAATGCAGCACTGTATAACCCTTGTGGGTTTAATGCTTAGTTATGATTATAATAATGGAAGTACATACATAAATCTACATGTATACACAACTGAATGTAGTGAATACAGTAGGACCTTTTATCAGTCTCTAACAGAAAATGCCCGACTAATGGAAAAATCACAGCTACCTACCCGTGAGCTATTACCAAAAAATACAGCTTATCAGAAGTTAGCAGACTTCCTACAGCCACTACAGTACTAGTGCTGCAGTAGCTCTATGCAGCCACCAGTTTAAGGAAGTGCCTGATGCTGACAAAGGGCTTTTAATGCAATTAATTGGAGCTTCCCTTCCACAGATCAAACCTGATTTCCCTCTCTCTCCCTCCATTCCCCAGACTATATACTGTATGACTAGTGCATTTTGCACTTCCCCATGAATATACTAATTTGGAATTATGCAATCTACTGAAAATGAAGAGAAACCAGGTAATGCTCTAGACTGGTGTTTTTCAAACTTATTTTCCATAACCCAGTGCAACAGTATCACACCCTCATGGCTTTATTGCTGTATTTGGTCTTAAAAAGCCCTCAAGGGAGGTTCACTGACGCTGGCAAGGGACTCTTGATCTTGGGAATTGGATCTGTGCTTCGGTTCCCTGAATTGAGCCTGGATACCTTCCACCCCCCCTCACATGCGCTGTATAATCCTGCGGATTTAGCGCTCCCCCATGATTATAATAATACTGGTCTTAAAAAATCTGCCTGTAGGACCTGACTTATTATTCAAGCCACACTGTATTAAAGGAGAATCATTCTATCAATTGAATGCCATATACAACCATATATTTTGTTTACTAGTACTAATATACAACAGAGTTAAATACTGACAATTTTTTTTATCATAGTACACTTTGCAAATTTATATGTGCACTTTTTTTAACCTTGCAACCCAGTGAAAAACATCTCAACCTAGTAATGGGTTACAGACTGTACTTTGAACACTAATACTACTATTATTGACAACATTTAGGGACTTCTTTGCATTGAAAAAAGAAGACTGAATTAACCCAGGAAGGTTAACAAGGATAACCCCAGAAAACCAAATTGTGTGGCTTAGTTTTCTTTGGGATCTTTGGGTCCTTTTCATACTGTTACCATTTTATGCATATAGGTCTTCCCTATGGTGGGACCCACAACAATTGATTATATATTAGGCGTTTCTTTTTTGAGTCGCGCCTGCCTCGGTGGAAGATGGCTGAGGTGTTAAAAAAAAAAAAATACAGTAAACATTTAATGCTAGGTGAACAAGGACAAGGTGTGAGGATACCTGCCCATACATCTTGCCTCACCAAGAGAGAGCCCACGTTCTTGCAGTTACAGCTATCATCAAAAGAATGAGCCTCCACCACAGTAGTAGGAGGGTAGTGTAGAAAACTCAAGGAATAGTAGGTGGATGATGACAGGGAAGGTAATAAAAGTAGGAGTTTCTAAAGAAAAATAAGTTTTTATGCACTGGGGAAAAGGAAGAGTCCAGATAACATCCCACAGTAATATGGAAATTTATAGTTCCTTTGTGAGATGTGCTAATGACTGACCATATAACATGCCTACCCACAATCATATGTAGTAAGCCTCACATTCCTGACAGGAATATGAGGTATGATCCCCTGCACAATTGAAGTAGGGAAGGGGGAGATGTATAATCCTGATATGACTGGGTCAGTTTGGACCAAAGATTTTCAGGCAGGGCACTTAAGTCATTTAGCAGTACACAGCTGGGTGGCAAAACTGCCAGCACTCTTGTGGAATAGGCTGCACCTTAGTAATAGCTGTCCCATCAAATATACCATTAATTGGAGAAAGCATCAGTCACTGAAGTTTTGACACCACTACTTGCAATGCAAGTAGTGCTCTACTAAATATCACACACATTCCTCAAGTCTGCAAGGCCATTTGAAGAAGCACAACTATCTTGTGCCAGTCACTACCTGCCATTTGCATGGAGCATTGACTTGAGGCATCTTGTATGTGCACAAATATAAACTTGGTTGAAAAATTATGAAAAGTTTTCCTGTGACCAATGAAGTCATTCACATGATAGAATGTCTGTCATCAAACATTTCTGTAGCTGTTCTTGGCTTGAGTGCAGAAGTAATTATCCACAACTCACAACTAATTCAAGAACTGGGCTGTGTAACCTATCCAGGTTTGGCACTTCTCTGAATACTATTTATTAATAGTAGTAATAATGAGAACATCAGGATGATGTGGGTCAGTCAGTCAATGGGACTCTTGCACCATGAAGTGGCTTGCAGGCCTGGTCACCCACCTTCAGAATGCAAGAATTGGTACACAAAATTAGATCCCATAACCAAGGGTCACCACCTACCAAGAGATGAGGGGACCGAATGTGGGTTGTGTGTGTAGGTTTTTGTATCTCCCAGGAAATTCTCTGCACTGGAGAGCCACATGATTTTAATGTCTGTCATTGCTTATGCAAAAAAGGCACCTCCTTCCCAAAATACTTTAGCCCAGATGACTGCCCCAACAGAAATCCTCTGTGGCACTAGATAAGTGAGCATTTGCCATCAATGAAAGCAAGAATGTCCCATCCACCATTCTTTCCCCAAGCATTTCTATTTCTATTAACCTGATGGTTAATAGAAGCTGTAGCATTAAGGGAGTAATTCTACAACACTAACCTCTGAGTTCTTCATATCGCCTCACTTCACACCTCCAATACTAAAGTTTCCGCTGCTCTTTTTACTCCCGAAGAAAATCCCATTTCTCCTTTTACCGTGCACAACTGAATAACTCACAAGTTCAGGGCTTTTTGTCATAATAGTAATCATCATAGGAAATCTGTCTTATAAACTGAAAAACTATATCTGGTGAATTTTAAGGGTAACTCTAACTCTAAGGTATTTTTGTTTGTTTACCATAGGACTGTACTGACTGGCTAAATCAGAAACTTAACTGAAATCCAAATAATCAAAGTCATTAACAATTTCAGCTATCTACATACACCTATATTAACACATTATGGAGAAATATTTATACATAAAGAGCCTAAAACAGTGATAAAATAATGTTATTTTGCAATATACATATGATGTTTTACTATGATCTTTCACCACAATCTTTCACCATTATTCTCCAGTTTATTTTTTTCCTATAAACAAAAGGAAGCAAATTAACTTGTACAATTTCTATGATTCATATAAAGTGCTTGCAGTCACATCACTTACATATACCTAAAGCATTCTCATTTAGACAAAGTCTCTCTTGTTTACAGTGAGTTCTTTCAAGGTACAGCAGTACAAAAACTATATAAAAGTATACAAAAATGTTTATAATGTAAAAAAATAATAATATAAAATATAACCTTAATGCTGTACATTTTTTATTCTTAATGATCCTTGTATAAATTATAATCTTTAAACCTAATAAACTAACTTCAGTTTTTCACATACCAACCAAAAAAGCAACATTGTGAAAATATAATCTGATTCTTTTATATTTGCTTCTGTGAAGACAAAACATGGATCACAATAAAGCTAAACTAGTGTTGCCAAACAGAGATGTATATCTCCGAGTTTATTTCAGACCTATCCTAGGGATTAAAATATCCTCAATGCTAGTGTGTCTAGGTAGATTACATCCTTACTAACATTTCTAAAATTGGTAGGCCTTCTTATATATGTACCCCAAAAATTTTCATGCCAGCATTAAGGCTGGATGGGTATAATGGTAAGGTAAATACAAATTTACAAAATAAATTAGACCGTTACTTGCCATGCTGTCTTTTTCCTTTTTAGATAATACTCGGTATGAAATTAAGACACATGTGCAACATCTGGGTATCTTTATTGTAGACGTTTCGCCATCCAGTGGCTTTATCAATACAAATTCTAGGACATAACTTGAAGACAGTAGAACTATGTACAGAAGATGAGGTAATCAGTCCCTCAACCTAGGAGTAGGTGTGAAGAGCACCATAGTCGTGGAGACTATGCGAAGAGCACCATAGTCGTGGAGACTATGGTGCTCTTTGCACCTACTCCTAGGTTGAGGGACTGATTACCTCATCTTCTGTACATAGTTCTACTGTCTTCAAGTTATGTCCTAGAATTTGTATTGATAAAGCCACTGGATGGCGAAACGTCTACAATAAAGATACCCAGATGTTGCACATGTGTCTTAATTTCATCTTGTCGGTATTATATACCATTCTTACACAATACTCGGTATACTGGCACAACACTATTCAAAATTAAAAATAATTTCTATTAAATAATCTGGAGTAATAGATCTGACATACCTAAGTACATATGCTTAAGTAGGAAATATAGTAAGAATCCTGAACAGTCAAAATCCAAATACAGTGACATTTGGATCGAGGAAAAGGTCTATTCTTCTTGTTATTTTATAAATATTACTAAACAATTACGTACCTTAGTGCAATCTAACCCAAAGAAAGCAGTAAGTACCCTTATATTCTTGAAACTTCACCTGAAAATGAAAAATCTGGCATAAGGTATATTATATACCTACGGAATTTAGTTTTATACAGACAAATGATCAACTGTCTCTTCCAAGGTTCTATCTTATAAAAATTATGGAATCTAAAAATTTGTTTAAAACCTATCCAAACAAGAGTGTGATCTGAAAGTTCCATGATTAAATATAGTGGAACCTTGGTACTTGAACAATTCAATATTCGAACGCTTTGTTTGGTAAACAAATCGCTCAGTAGTTGACCAAACAAACATGACCTGCCAGAACTTCGCTGTAAACTATTTTGTCTCTTCAATTTTTTTTTTTTTTATATTATTTGTATAAATAAGTCACAATGGGGCCAAAAAGAAAATTGGGTGGGAAAACTTCATTCTGCACTCGAACAACCTTCTGGAACCAATTAAGTTCGAGTGCCAAGGTTCCACTGTATACTCTCACTGTGTCAACAATGTCTACTGGAAAAGCATAAGTCATTATTATTATTATTAGTTGCATGCTTATGTGTCTTGGGATGGGGCACCAACATGCTGTTAGCTAAGCAAGTTGAAGTTTAATACTGCAACTTACTAAGCTAACAGAAAGTTGAGGCCCAGTCTCTGCCCTCGTGTGCCTCTACTTGACTACTGTTCACAGGATAGGTAGGGTGATGCATGAAACTTCAACTAACAAAACTACAAGTTTCTTGACTTGGTCCCTCAAATGGATATTACATCATCATTTTCCAGTGCTGTACAGTATAATAGACATGAGAATGCAGCCAATCCTGATGCAGTGTGGGGTTCAAGTCAGGCATCATTTATAATATGAAGAGATTCAAGAAAATCAGTTTACAGTACAGAAGCTGGATTTGAGTATTGTGTCTGCCAGTGTTTTTGAAATTTTGCAGCTTCCAATATTATGTTCCAATTATTATAATCAAGGATGAAGCACTAAACCCTTAGGATTATACAGTGCATGTGGGGGGGGGGGGATGTGGAAGGTATTCAGGGAAATGGAGCACAGATCCAATTCCCAAGATCAAGAGCCCCTCACCAGCATCAAGGAACCTTCCTTGAAGAGCTTATGTTCCAAGATGTTAGTGACAGTAATTAGTGAGGCTTCTTGGCATCTAATGTTGTGTTCACTGAAGACTATGGTAATTCTTATCATATGTGATCATTCTCTGTGATGAAGTGGAAGTGTTTACCATAAGTAATGTGGAAAATCATAAATCTTGCATGATTCTTACACACAGCTTCCATAATTAGAACTGCTTTATATTAAAAACTTCCCCATCTGGAATAAAATTCAGTCTTGAAACACACTTACCTATTGTGTTACCATCGGTAAGAAAAACCAGCATTTGTCTAGAACCCACACGGCGGATGGAGGGAAGCCGATCCCGCTCTGACACTCCACTTCGGTTCTCACTAAATCCCCTGACTGCTCCTTCTAGATCGTTATCATCACTAAGGTGATGAGCATCCACAGGAAATTCTTCTTCTGATGACTCAACATCAAAAGTAAGGTCCTCAGGAAGCTCATCAGAGAGTGAACGCCGAAGGGAGTGTCTAGATGTATTGGAGTGATATGAGGAATGTCGGCTCTGTGGTGTTTCCGGAGGAAGGGTCACTGTCCGGAAACTCACCTCCTGATCACCTGTGTTATAAAAAAAGTACTTTACAACTGTATTCTTGAAATAATAATTTTAAAAGCTGATTCAGCAGCACAGACATGAATAGCATATACTACATAACTTTAATAAAATTTTTAAGACCTTATTCTTTTAAGTACTGTGACACTGTACATTGTACTTCATTATCCTAAAAAGAATATAGTTTTTCCCTATTTATCAACTTAATCTAAAATTAATGTTAAATACATTATTATTCTTATATTACAAAAAACTTATTCTTGAGATGCGAGTGAAATTGTTTATAACTTTTTCACTGTCAAAAAATGTCAAATATTTATTCCTGAGCCAACCAGGTGCTAACACATTACCATACTTACAAGCATCACATATAAATTCCTATTTTCAAGAGGAGTTTTATCTTGATAACATACCAAAAAATTTAAGATAAATATTTTGCAAACTTTAATATCCTCCATACATACAAACATTCACTATATACAATGTCAGGTCAGTATGTATAACTTTCCTTGGCTAAATTTCCTTCTTCATGTCACCCTATCTGAATGCTTAGTTCTTAAGTAGTCTTGAAGCATTAGAATTAGTCTGCCTGAAATGCACCGAATACTAGTGGCTGTCTTTTGTGCCTAACAATATTTTATTATATGTAACTTGTATACTGAAGAAAAGAAATAAATTATTTTTACTTGTATTAACAAGGTACTACATGACTCCCAGTGCTTTCCCCTAATTATAACATATTTAAGTTGCCATACCATGGAAGGAAAGTGTCAGTGTTCAAAAAACACAATAATGTCTTGAAGCAACTAAGAGTGCATTGAAATGTATATTGTGCAGTACGGTTATTATTATTTTTTATTATCACACTGGCCGATTCCCACCAAGGCAGGGTGGCCCGAAAAAGAAAAACTTTCACCATCATTCACTCCATCACTGTCTTGCCAGAAGGGTGCTTTACACTACAGTTTTTAAACTGCAACATTAACATTATACAACATTAAATAAGTTAAGACATTTGGGTATTGAGGCTGAGGGAGTACCCCCTGAAATTTCAATTCTTATACAAATATTTTTGTAATTACAAAAGTATCCAGATAGTATAGTACATTCTTATTGTATTTATTTAAGAGTATAAGAACTGTTTTACTCTAAATAACAAAGGAATTCAGCATCCATTCTGCAAATGAAACACACTTATTCAAAGGGGCTCATATGCCACCCACTGCAAGCAAATATATACATAACTGCAACGGAAGCATTCCTATTAAAAAAAATTCAAGAAAAGCCAGCTACTATACTATACTTTATATACTGCATTTTAACTTTTATGTTAAGTATTGCAAAGGCCACCTTAAAAGTTTATGCGACTCGAGGTCCATGTCCGGGATCATACACAGTGAAGAAAAGTTGTAGAACAAACTTTTATTGGGACAATGCATTCCTCTGTGATAAAGCTTTACGCAGTATAAAACGTTGCTCTAATATAATGAAATTTGTCTTTTCTTTACTACTGTCAGTAGTATGGCACTTGGATTATACACAGGGATATTGGTGAGGTATCTGAAAATACTGTACCAATCTCCCTGACTTTTGTATAAACTTGCCTTGTGCAGATTTGCTTATAAACAGATGACTGATGTATAGCCAATATTGTCTTATACATGAATTAAAAATTATTTTTTTATAATGTTATGTGACAAAATACATTATACAGTACATTTATAAGGTAAATAATTTAATACTGTATTGCTGTGTCTGAGGAGACAGTCAGGAAGACATCTCCCCAATAGCTGTACTAGGCAGAATTCTTCAAGAGGTGTGTCATAATAGTGAGGGGCTCTTGATCCAAGGAATTACAGCTACCCTCTCCTTCCTCAGACAAAACCTAATTATCTCCCATTCCCCAGGTAATGTATGATCCCTACAGGTTTAGCAATTCTCCATAATTATAATTTTATTTAATATTTTAATCTGAGAAAAGCAGTAGATGAATAGGGGACACAGAGAGCCTGTAGAATGGAAGATATTTAGGTTTGATCCATGGAAGGGAAGAATAAGTCCAGTAAATGGATCAAGAGCTCCCCTCACTAGCCTCAAGGTACCCTGAAAAGTTTTCGATCATAATAATAATTATGACAATTGCTAAGTAACACAGCTACAGTACTCTGCATAGTTTTGCTTTCAGTAATTTTATCATTATGTATTCCTCACCCAGAGCCAGTTTGGTTGGTTGGTTTATAATGTTTAAAGTTTATTGACTACACAAAGGTATTAAAGCTGCATGTCATCTGTAGTCCATCAGTCAAGAATAATCCCTAAAATAGGGATCAAACTTTTAGGTAATATACACAAAGAACTACAAACCTGTCAGTGTTTAAGTCCATCACTCAACAATCAGGGAGACCAGTCTTACAGGAGGTAGCAGAATTACATGTACCATGCAAAATAAATTTCATACCAAAATTTTGCTTTTTTAAAATCAACATGTGAATTTTATTGACAATATATTCATGCTACCTACACAACCGTGCGTTGCCATCAGTGCTGGTTATTTCCGGGCCCCTGGAGGAACCAGTGACCCAAGAGTGACACCTCGAGCTATTGCTAGAGGATGTGGCTGAGGAGGCCCAAGAACTTTACCCACAATTGGGCCATTGGGATGATAGAGGCGTAAAGTGTTGCCGACCACTGCGTGAGGAGCCAATCAGGAGAAGACGCACCAAGAAGTGTTGCAGTCACAACAGAAGTAGCCACGTAGCAGTTCATGTGGAGAGGTGCCCAACAGGTTGTACCAGAAATTCCAAAAGGTAATACCAGTAGGAGCCAGAGGTAAAAGATCACATCAACAGGATATGAAAATGTAGGGAAGAGAGAATGAAACATGCAAAATAGGATTAATGTAGTATAAAATAGAATAACAGCAAAAAATAGGAGAAATAAAGTAATGAATATCAATATAAGATTTTAAGTATATATTATTGCAACAATGTTGAGCATACATTATAAAAAATAAGAATAAATAATACATTCATATATAATAAGAAACTAGTATTAAAGACTTGGACCCAATAACACTGTTTTATATCACTTGTTAGATGAGATAGAAGTACTGGAGAGAGAAAATTTGATGACATACATGAGGATGAAAAGGGAGGCATGTATTTCACTCATGGTGTAGGAAGAATAAAAATCTAGTTGAGGGTAAGAGTCAGAGGTGAGTGTGAAGGAAATGAACAAGTCAATGAGTAGGTTGAAAGACATTAAAGCAGCAGACATGCATGAGACCAGAAATAACCCTAGAAGCATGTGTTGATACATTCTGGGAATGATGGGTGCCTTTGTTTAATAAATGTATTAAAGAAGGAAAGCTACCTAAAGATTAGCAAAGACTCCATGTATAGTTCCTTTGTATAAGGGAAAAGGGAACACTCAGGATATTGCTAGGGAGTATTTCATTATTTCTCTTAATGGGGTTTAAAACCTAGTAGCTCTTGTAGGCAAGCAAAATACTTAGTCACTAAATAGGTCACCATCAGGAGACACTCCCATTTACTGACTATAAAACACTACCACCACATAACAGCAATGCCTTGCATGTTACTGTATCTCTCTCTGTACAACTGAAAATCACTGTACTACAGTATTTACTTTCAAGATGAACTATTAATGTAAATTCCAATGAATGGTTCAGTAATGATTGTGAATACGTATACTGTATAGCTGTAATGCTAAGTAACCAAAGCTAGTTTATCAGAGAGGAATCTTACACTACAGTACATGATCCATTAATAATTATAAAAATGTTTATGTAATGCTATGCAAAACTAAGAGCATCAAATAATAATCTAATTAGTATACCATAACCTCCACCTCATGAGATGTACTAGTGCAGAATCAGTAAGCAAACTGCTATATTAAAAATTTCTTATGATTATGAAATTAAAACATACATAAGTTACCATGATAAAAGATCCCCTAATATAAAAGATAGTTATAAAAGTAATACAGTATAAAATTTACCAAGAATATTTTATTAAAAATTATAAAATAAGAGGTTGACTTACCCACAAACTGTCTGCCAGGCATTCCTGCACTTGAATCCGTTCCTGGAGTCTTTGGTATACTTTCTTATGATTATGGAATTAAAACATACACAAGTTACCATGATGCAAGATTCCCTAGTACAAAAGATAAATGTATAAAAGTAATATAACATATAATTTACCAAGAATATTTTATTAAAAACTGTAAAATATGAAGTTGACTTACCCACAAACTGTCTGCCAGGCATTCCTGCACTTGTGTCCATTCCTGGAGTCTTTGGTATATTTTCTGCCGTCTTTTGTGTGTGAGCATTGAGAGAAGCATTGTACAGTGATGTTGCAGCTGTGTAGTGAGATCTCATTTCCAAATCCTTCACATCCCTGCTTAACTGACTATACAGATACATCTTTCGAGCATACAGGAGCAGCATCACAGATGTAGCAGACACAAGATTTCCAATGACAATAGATGGGTCCCTAAAGTGAATAGGTGCCTGTGTTGCAACTACTGTCCATACACACCAAGTAATGCTTGTGAAAAGGGAAGCCAACAGTATCCAGCGTGTCTCTCTACAGGTTTCGTCTGCATGCCACGTTTCAAAGCAGAAAAGAATAGTGGCTGCAATAAGAACCATCACATACACCAGAGAAATCACAAGCTCAACCTCAAACTGATCAGTTGGTGTGCATCGCCATGTTGCACCTGTCAGGTCAATACCAGGAGGGTAGAGGATTAGCCATGCAGCACCAAGCGTGACTTGCACTAAAGCTAGGGCCAAGGATATCAGTAAAAGCCCACCAGGCTTGGCCAAGACATCTGGGTCACCACTAATCCGGCTACAAGTCATGATTCTCCAAGTATGTATGACTTTGACTAACATGGCAGCAAAGACAGTGGCATATGCCACACCCATAAGAAACCTTCTGACAGCACATGTGCCAACAGTTGGCTGGAAGAGGAAAGCAAAATTGACTGCATATAGCATTAGGCAGCCAATAAGTATCATGTAGCCCAACACTGATGTGCCAGTTGCTGTGGGGAAAGACATCATGAAATACACCATTGTTATCAAGATAACTATTATTCCAAGGAGACTGATTGTTCCTGTAGTAATACCATAGACATTGAAGAAGTTGGCATCTATAGGAAGAGGTTTTGGGAGAGCCATAGCTGCATATACAGTTGACTGTGAGGAACATACTTCAAGGCAAATTCCCTCTCTGCATAAGGAATCTGGTGCATAAGTTCCAATTTTAAATTCTATACTTGGCTTTTCTAAGTGCAATTTACTATTCTCCCACTTTCCAACACTTAAATATCCATAATCTCTGCCTAATTTTCTGTAGTTCCAAATATGATATCCATATGCATCAGCTTGGCCACGGGAATTTGTTTCACTTGTATTATTTAATGTTAGTTCACTTTGTTGCAGAATTTCTAACAAAAGTTCAGCTTGCACAATATTGCAATCATCAATTGTCTCAGCTTCTGCACACTGTTTAGTGATATAAGATTCTAATCCATGTGCTATAGCATTAATACTTAAGATTGTATGGAAGACATAAGGATCTTGAACAATATCATCTGCGCGAACGTGCTCCGTTCCTAAGCATTCTGATATATACTGTCTCTCAACTCTCTCACTAGATGATAATCTACATTCAAACTTGTTCTGAAAATATTCTTCAAACCATTCATCTGGGAATGGTTCATGTTTCTGGAGAGTCAAATTTGAAACATAGTATCTAAAATCTGGAAGATCATAAGTTTCCATCGTAAAGGTTAATGCCCCAGCTGAGATCCTGTCTAAATCTTTTGTTACACTTGGTTTGTTGCCCCAGGCACTTCCAGCAATAAAGGTAAACCTTTCATCTTCATCAAGCTTTTGAGCTACTTTCAAAATTGTCCTTATATTATCTGCAGCATCCATTAAAAGTATGATTATTCTGGGCTTCCATGACACAGCCAATGTTTCAATCAGCTCTTGGGCATATTCTTCCGACACACGCTTTGGAACGCCGAGAGAATCTCCGAGGCAAACATCTTCTTTCAAAGCAAATTCTCTAAAGGTTTCCATAAGGAATTTACCTGTGTCATCATTGTCATAAACAACACTGACAAATTTCCAGTTGTATGACTTTACGATACTCAAGAATGTTCGTAGTTCAGCTGTCCTGGATGGAACACTTGTGAGAATTGTGTGGTCTGTACGATCTGATAGCTTCTGCCCACCAACTGGAGAGCTAAAGTGAGGAATGTAGTTTGAAGAGAGAATATTTGAGACTGCTTCTGCAGCATCATCATCAAATGTAATAGATGCTACAATCCTATTGGGACCCAAAACAATGTTGCCATCACTCTCTGAAGCTTCTCCAGAGAAAAAGCTGAAGAATCTTTCTCTGGCTCTCTCTATTCTATCACAGTAATCAAACAAGATGGCTCCCAGACCAACTCCTACATCATTGCTATTAATCTTGCTTAATGCATAAGCAATTGCAGCAACATTTTGGAAGATTCCTTCACTGAAGAATCCCCCACATGAAAAGAAGGTGTGGCCCTTGTGATGATATGGAACTAGACCACTAATGCCAAACCGCTGCTTGGGGAACATCTGAAAACATACACACATTAAAATATACATGCTTAGAATGAATATACGTGTATATGATAAAAATGTACTAAAATTATGAAATAAAAATACAGTAAACCCTCCATATGACCGGCCTCTATATAATAGACTTCGGAATTAAGGATCAAAATCCACTGGGTCAATCAATTTGGAAACAATGGCCAAAGTACACTCATTATAGAATTGTCCATTATTGTGAAAAATCACAAAAAAATCTCTTTACTATCAACCACAACTTAGGGTATTTATAGTGCTGTCACTACTTATGTACCATAACTTCTTGATTTAGTGGACTAATAATAGGGAGCAGGGTGAAAGTAATGTCAACTGTGGTGGACAGGCAGTATTTTGTAGTGACTACAACAATAACTGACGATTCTGTGATCAACAAACTTTGTCAGTTGTTTCTGAATCTAACGACCAGTGGATTTAGTCTCGTATTTCCAACATACATTAAATTCAGGTCTATTAAATCGAGGGTTTACTGTACATGCTGCATCAAGGTCTAATAAATCGAGGGTTTATTATATGTGCTGCATCAAGGTCTGATAAATCGTACGTTTACTGTACATGCTGCATCAAGGTCTAATAAATCATGGGTTTACTGTACATGTTGCATCAAGGTCTAATAAATCATGGGTTTATTGTACATGCTGCATCAAGGTCTAATAAATCAAGGGTTTATATGCTGCATCAAGGTCTAATAAATCATGGGTTTACTGTACATGCTGCATCAAGGTCTAATAAATCATGAGTTTACTATATATGCTGCATCAAGTCTATTAAATCAAGAATTTACTGTACATGCTGCATCAAGGTCTAATAATCGAGAGTTTACTGTATATGCTGCATCAAGATCTAATAAATCAAGGGCTTACCATATATGCTGCATCAATTCAACTTTCTATCTCACTGCTGGACAGTCTGACTATTACTCATGATTCATATATTACTTGATCACGAATTTAACCCTTCCATTAATCTATATTCATTACTTTGTAATGATATACAAAAATATTACAAATGTTCATGCAGATTCAGACCTAATTGTCAAGTATTAGAGGGCTATCTTCACATACAGACATGCAAAGTGCACCTGGATAGTACTTATGTACACTGATGTACAGTGCTTTGCTTTGTGGCATTTCATTAATGCGGTGATTTTCAATTATAACCATTCTTCATTTATTCAGACTTCCTACAAAAAAAATTGTATTCACCAATCACTATAAGATAAAGACAAAAATATTTTAAGGTAAGTAATGTGTATACTGTACACATTACTTGCCCATTTAATATATGATAGTGTAAACATGTTACCAGTCTTTTATATGCATTTGAAAGAAAAAAAAAAAGAAGGGAAGAGGCCATGTTTCACTTTCAGTAGTAGCCTGAAACCTAACCTGCTATATAAACTGGGCCCTCTTGTACTGTAAATACTCAATTGGGGTACACTAATGTTTGGTGCAATCAACATGAAATAAAATACTATTGCAATTTTACATGCATGCCAGTGTTTTTTTCTAGCTGGGCCATATACAGTATGCAGAACACTTAAAATGCATTAAATTGAAAAAAAAATCATTATACAAGCTCAATTTCTTTACCTGTAAATAGTGTGACTTTTTCCTGATTGGTTTAGATACAACAGCAACATCCCCACAAGCCTGAAAGTCAATGCACTGTGACTTAATCTCTGTCATGGCTCTCTCTTTTCCCTCTGCATCATATGTAATGACCAGTGATCCATTAAGGGCCAGTCCATCCTCCTCATTGTAGGTGCCCACATGCACGAGGCCAGCACCTTGCCGAGCACTAACATGACGAAAGTTTAAGACCTGCACAGGCATGAAAAATTTAACTTTTAAAGGAAATGAGCTAATAACAACCATACTGAAATTCCTAAGTCTTACTTCATTTAGTAAAGACTGTTCCATAATGGCAGGACCCAAATTGTATCAGTTTACTATGTCAGAATAAACTGTAAACATTAACAGTACTATAAGTACAATACAGCATGAGTTGATAACCTATTTTATAGACTATTTTACAAAAAAATCTTTCTCAAGCCCACAAAATACACAAGAGCACATATATCCTGCCAAGCAGGAATTGAACAAGGGTGAGGGGGTTTAAACATATTTTGTCTGCAAAACCACTAAATCCAATGGCAACTCAGTTGACTGAAAACAGAACAGTTATGACACTACCACAAGGGTTTGGAGGATACCCTGTGAAGAATTTGACTCTGTTTACGTGGTGAAGACTTCCAGAAACCCAGACAAGAGTAAAAGAACATAGGTATGCTTGGAGAACCAGCAATACCAACACTGCAATGCTTGTATATCATGCTACTTTATCTATAGTGATTTATTACCAGCCATTCTGGAAAAAAATCCTGACTGCCCATTGTAAATAATAATACTGTACTTCTTCTTTCAACAAACCAGCTGTATCCCACTGAGGCAGGGTGGCCCAAAAGAAAAAGCAAAAGTTTTTCCATTTAAATTTAGTAATACACACAGGAGAAGAGGTTACTAGCCCCATGGTCCCAGCATTTTAATCACCTCTTATGACACACATGGCTTATGGAGGAAGAATTCTCTTCCACTTTCCCATGGAAATAAGCAGAAATAAACAAGAACAAGAACTAGTAAGAAAATAGAAAAAAAAAAACAGAGGAATATGTATATATATGCTTGTACATTACATGTATGCTGCAGTGTGACCTAAGTGTAAGCAGAAGTAGCAAGATGTGCCTGAAACCTTGCATGTTTATGAGACAGAAAAAAAGACACCAGCAATCCTACCACCATATAAAACATGTACAGGCTTCTGTTTTACACTCACTTGGCAGGATGGTAGTACCTCCCTGGGCGGCTGCTGTCTACCAACCTACTACCTAGTGTAAATAATCCATTACCATTTAATTTTTTTCTGTGTGTGTGTAGCCTAATTCTTGTCTGCATAAACAACTCATTATGGCTGTAACCAGATATAAACATGTAAGTTGTTCATTACCACTGTAACTTGTTCAGCTATCAAAACTTTGTGACCCAGTTCCTTGATCCAATATATGCTTCTGTAATCTTTTGACTACCACCCACAGGATGGGCCTGGTGTGCACAATAAAGATATCAGATTAACTTGTGTATCATACCATGAACCACATTCTTCCACCATAGACTGGATCAAAGAAGTATAATTAAAAAACAAATAAAACCAGATGTATGTACCTGGAAGCAACAATCATGCTAAAATTTGAAGTTACAGAAAAACAACAAAGGATTTTACCTTAACTTATCATCCATAAATTTACAAACTAATTAACATTATATCTGATAAAATATATACAGTATAATATATACTGTAATACATAAAAAATCCTTGCTTATTAGGGTTGCATTATACAAAAACCTGTTTATGTCAAAATATATTATTTGTATAGTTTAGGCTAGGATTACCTGTACTTGTTATCCAATCTACTGGCAATCAAAGAGCTCAAAATTCAGAATAAATCTTCACTTACACTTGAGTTGACTTGAAATAAAATCCATTTCTAATCATTTTCTGATAAAAGAAAAAGAAAAGAAAAATTTAAGTTCATTGACAACCATCATATGTCAACCTATTTTCTACAACAAAGCAGTTATAACAAACCTGGAGTGTGGCAGCACGGTTATGGCCATCAACAGTAAAGGCAACGCGGTGCCCATCCACTCCACGTATGTTGGCAGAGCGAGTGTATTGGAACATCTTGTCTCTGTAGTGGAAATCTCTTGTTATCTCATCACAAGAACCACTTGACACACCTGTAGAGGAAGAACATACAACTGTATAGTAGGAAATAAACAAAAATGAGAGAATATGAATGTTTTAATTTACTCCATGATGTAATAACCATTGGGTATATTATACTGTACTAAAATATTTGTATATTCACCTATTTGTGGTTGCAGGGGTTGATTCTCAGATCCTGGCCCTGTTTCCTTACTTGCCACTTCAGATTCACTCCCTCTTTGCCTCATGAGCCCTATCATACCTGCTCTTAAACACTATGCAAGGAGAATCCCTCCACTACTTCCTCACTGAGACTAAAGAAATCCTGTACATGTATTTCCTAACATTCCTATGGTTCATCTGTGCCTTTAACTTCCAATGGTGTCCCCGAGTTCTCATTTCTTGCATCCCTGTATTCTGTATGTTGTTATCATGTACTAGTCAGGAAATCTGTGGCTTAGCAAGGCCTCCCAAGCTAGGGATACACCTGACATTGTGTCAAAGTTTTATTTCAAATGATAAACATAAATTCAAATTCAAATTCAAAGTTTATTCTCTATAAGGATTACAATGCTGAGTTTACAGAATTTGGTTAATGTACCTGTTCTATCTCATCTACTCTATGCCGAATGAGATAGAACATTTGGCCCACACAACCAACTGATGCCTTTGTTTCAAAAGTGCTGTCTGAATAGCCAGAAAGCCAAGAGTCCACATATTCAGTGGATGGAGAGCTAGTTATAAGTGGGCCATGGGTGCAGTGAACAACTTATGAGAAAAATTAGGCTATGTTCCATGCCACCTCCAAAAAAAGCCAAACACCTCTTCTTTTAAACACACAATTCACCTAATATAATAAACTAAGCATTGTAAAATGATTTTAAAAGGCAGGTAGATGCTGTGAGAAAATGGTATATGTCTCCACTGATGAAGAGCGGTGTCCCCTCCAGAAAATACTGGGTTGGTGTGTCTTTTCAACGGGCAATCCTCGTCGAAACACCGTGATTACAGCATGATATTATTGTATAACTGGAACAATACACAAACAACTCACTCATAGGAGACTTGAAATGTATAATGATGTTTTGGTCCAATTAGTAGTGACTAGTTAATGGTCCGAGTTGGACCTAAACGTTGCCATAAATTTTAGTTTCCTATGTGTGGGTTGTGTATCTAGCATAACATAATAAAGTCAATGTGAATACACTTACTCTAATTTCTAGTTGCTGCTTAAGTGGCTTAATGTCAGTGGAGAGGCTTGGTGTGGCCCTACTGGGTCACAGAGGAGGTGGCTGGGGTTCAGGACTGAGATCAACACAGGGATGCTACTTACAGGAGCCCTCAAATATTCTGTAATGTGTCCCCGCTGTGTAATGCCCAGTAATACTTTATATGGTGAACTTCAGCATCTGCTTAAGAGCAGTGCTTCTAGATGTGTCAGGGTCCTCTTCAATCAAACCGTCCACAAATTTTCCGGCAACGTGGAACTACTCACATAACTGTTGTAGTGTTAACTTTCTCTGCAGGCCCTCTTTCCTCATCCTCTTCTACTATCTGAGTCCCTTCTGTCTGGGAACTGAGCTCTGCCAGCACTTCCTCTGGGCTTCTTTTTTTTTCCCTCGCCATCTTCTAAGAGTTCATCGACATCTTCTGGCTGTCTTCAAGGCCCTCACCTGGGCAACTCCTTGCCAGCTGAATAATTTCCTGGACTTCACTCTCAACCTGTGAAATTATTCACCACACTAAGCTACAATTTTCCCCAGCCTGCATTTATTGTTGATTTGGATACATTATTCTATACAGCTTTGATGTGGGGTAATGCAATGTTGAATTTATGCCAGAACTTTGGCACTCCAAGTTCTGAATCATTGTTCATTTCTACAAGGAGTTTCTGCACCATTCCATGTGTAGATATATTTAACCCTTTCAGGGTCGACAGGCCCTCTCAGAGACTTGTTCTCAGGGTCGCCCAAATTTCCCCCCCAAAAAAAAATTATTTTTTCTTATGGAAAGATAGAGAATCTTTTCCCGATCATAATGACACCAAAAGTAAGAAATTTGATGGAAAACTTACAGAATTATGCTCTCGCGAAGTTAGCGGTCTCGATGATGTTTACGCATCGGCGATTTTGCCCACTTTGAGCCCTATTTTCGGCCAATTCCAGTGTACTTGTCGACAAAAATCATAACTATTTCGCTAGAACTCCATTTTTTCTTTTGAATGAGTACAAGAAACCACCCATTTACCAATATCAACTATCCAATACAGTGGTCAGATTTTAGCAATTTTGCCAATTTCACACAAATTTCAAAAGATGCCAATTTCCGAATAGGGTCCAGAATAAACAAGAAAGACATCCCTGGCACTAAAATAACATTTCCTCTGTTCATTAGTCACATCCCCACGCCCCTCTTACATTCTTTTGCTTTCCACTTTGAATTTTTATTCTCACAAAAAAATAGAAGATTTACTGTTATGCAGACTACTGCATTGGTGTAGAAATGGTATAAATAATATCAGCGCACTTGTGAAAGAATATTAGACTCACCAGTTGACATGTATTGGATGCATAGCATGATTTGTTTACTTTTGAACTTTGGTAAAAATCGAACATTTCTGCTACTTTGAGCTCAATTTCAAGGTATTTTTCTTTGTAAAACCAGTCAAAATCATCTCAATTTCTGTAATATGTCTTCCATTCTATAAAATGAGACCAGGAAAACTAGAATACAACAATAAATACCATACGAAAATACAGTGCAAAGTCGCTGTTTTAATCCAAAAACACGGTCAAAGTTTTTTTTTTCTCATTACGCACTGTGTGCTGCAGGATTTTTTTTATACCGCGCACACTGACCACATAGACCCATTCTTTCATATGTAGGCCTACCAGCTTTCTCTCACTAGATTTGAGGGAGCTAGAATTTAGGTGTACTAGTACGTCAAAAACCCTGGCGCATAAGCCGTACTAGTACGGCCGAAACCCTGAAAGGGTTAAATGGCTTAATTACACTGTGATCCAGTAGTTGTATAGGTGATGTTGTATTTGGTTTTTAAAACAATAACTTTTACATTTGGGTTCAAATCCTGCAACAGTTTAGGATGAGCACAGGAAATTATCAAGAGTTAGGAGAATCTTGAATCCTGAATTCGGGAATAAAATGATACTTGAAAAATTCAACAAATAATTCCTCTGTCATCTATGCTGACTGGTTTGATAACAAGTAAAGTGGTTTTTGCCATTCCATTTCAAAGCATGGGAATTCTTTGAGTGATAAATAAGCCTGGGTCTACACTTAAAAGTCACCTGTTGCATTAGCAAACAGCAGCAAGCTTAAACAGTCCTTTGTTGCCTTGAATCCAGGAGTACTTTTTCTTGCTTGCCGATGTAACTTCTAGAAGACATCTTCCAGAACAATTCTCTCTCATCAACATTAAACACTTGGTCAGGTCCACAGCCACCCTCAGAAATAATTTCTCTACCTGCTGTGTGGTCAGCAGAGGCACTCTCGCTACTTAACTTTATATTATGAAGCTTACTGTACACTCTACAATGATTAAACCATCTATGACTGAAGGTATACACATTTGCAGGCTTTTCTTAATGCTTGTACATTGCTTAATAGCAAGATAAAGCTTTGCTGTGGAAGACAAGGAAATTAAGTAGTGCATGTTTCTTTGTTTTCTTCTGAATCCAGTTATTCAGCATCATTTCAGTTTTATTTACCTATATTGACTGCTTTCCCATTTTTTCAACAGGTCACAATTTGGGTTACTCATCATACAAACTGTTATCTTCTCATTGTCTCAAACTGAATGAATTGTTGATTCCCTCACACCATAGGCCTCGGCTGCATCAACCACAGGTGCCCTACCCTTAAGCATATTTTCTTCAACAGACATATTTTCATGCTTAAACTTCTTCCTGGCACCTTCATCCACACTACATTTCCCTTTTGATGCCATGATTAATAGCCAGACATGACATGGGGAGACAAAAAGATTGGAAATGAAATAATAACACAGGAGAGAGTTATCGTTCTGTACACACTTGCCAGGTAACCAGTGGTGGTGTGGGTGGGAGGCGAGGGGGTGGGTGTAAACAAAGTTAGATATACCATGAAACAAGAGGCCTGAGGTGTGTAGGGAAAGAATTGGCCCAACTGTGCTGCCACAAGGAGCAGGAGGAGGAAATAGGTAAAGATGTCGCAAAAGGTGGAAATAGATACAAAAAATGAATCACAAACAGACGGAAACCTCAGTAGGTGGAGGTGCAAAAGGTGGTAGTCTACTGTACTTTCAATCAACTGATATGAATTATCCTTGCCATATCTATTTTTGAACCCCTAATCTATATACTGTGTGCATATATGTACAGTTTATGTATATAGGATGTACCAAATATTCTTCCTTGCATAATTTATTACAGTACAGTACCTGTATCTCAATACATGTACGTATATGTAACTAAATTTTTCCTTCCTTTTTCTTCTAAAATGCTCAGCATGCTAAATTATTATAGACTTTTTAAACATCTTTACATTATGAACCAATGAAAACTCAATATTAATTTAAGAAGAAATATGTGGATAGTCATCTGGCAAAGTCTTCAAGTCTTGGAAGACTTTCCCAGATGACCGCAATTTGTCTGCAATGCTGGCTTTACCTGGACATGCCTCCCTCCGCCACCTGTCGAGTCCTTGACCAATAAGAGACATTGCATTCATGGTGTTGACCACATCTTCAGCCTGGTGGAATTTGTAGCCAGAGAGATTGTGTGCCGACCCAGTGAAACACCCTGCACCTTGGCATTTAAATACCTGTTTAGAGACAGGAACATGATAAGAATATGAAAACACAAAGCACAGAAGCCATAAAACAGATTTCACATTGTAATAAAGTTGGTAGAATTACTGACAATATGTAAAGAAAATGGACACAAGTGCAACAAATGTGACATTTTATTGTGACAACGTTTCACTCTCCAGGAGCTTTATCAAGCCAGGAGCTTTATTAATGGCTTGATAAAGCTCCTGGAGAGCGAAACATTGCCACAATAAAATGTCACATTAGTTGCACTTGTGTCCTTTTACTTTACAGATTTCACATTCATATCAGAGGATTATCATGCAAGCACTATAGGCAATGCAAAAAAAAAAAAAAAAGAAATATATCAGAACAAAATTGATGACACAAGAACAGAATACTGAATACTCAAATGCAAGTCAAGGATACTTTTTATCCCTAGACCTAAACTGTATAAGCTATCAGTTGCCCTCCAATCTGAATACATCGTCACAAAAATTTGAAGTTTTCCCAACAGTATCTCGTCTAATAAACAAAGACTGCTTGCTCATGGTTTAGGCCATCCAATAACTGAAGCAGACCTAGTAAAAACCAATAAAAAAAAAAACTGAGTGATAAGCCCTACCCTTCAGGAAACTTGCCAAAATTCAACCATTTCTGCCACTTTGAGGCCTATTTCAGGCTACCTCCTATCTGAAGATTTTGGTATGAAACCAACCAAAATTTTCTACATTTCACTAGGGTTAAAAGATAAAGAATCTAACACAAAGTGGGAGTTGTCACAGTTGCTCTTTGCTGATGACACTGTGTTTTTGGGGGATTCTGAAGAGAAGTTGCAGAGATTGGTGGATGAGTTTGGTAAGGTACGTAAAAGAAGAAAATTAAAAGTGAATACAGGAAAGTGTAATGTGATGAGGATAACAAAAAAATTAGGTAATGAAAGATTGGATATCAGATTGGAGGGAGACAGTATGGAGGAGGTAAATGTATTCAGATATTTAGGAGTGGACATGTCAGTAGATGGGTCTATAAAAGATGAGGTAAATCATAAAACTGACAGGGGGAAAAAGGTGAATGGTGCACTGAGGAGTCTGTGGAGACAAAGAACTTTGTCCATGGAAGCAAGGAGGGGAATGTATGAGAGCATAGTTATAACAATGCTCTTATATGGGTGCGAAGCATAGGTGGTGAATGGTGCAACAAGGAGAAGGTTGGAGGCAGTGGAGATGTTGTGTCTGAGGGCAATGTGTGATGTGAATACATGTATAATGCAGAGAATTTGTAGATTTGAAATTAGGAGGAGGTGCAGGATTATTTATTTATTATCCAGAGGGCTGAGGAGGGGTTGCTGAGGTGGTTCGGACATGAAGAGGTGGAACAAAATAGAATGACTTCGATAGTTGTATATAAATCTGTAATGGAGGGAAGGTGGGGTAGAGGTTGACCTAGGAAAGGTTGGAGGGAGGGAGTAAAGAAGGTTTTGTGTGCAAGGGGGCTTGGACTTCCAGCAAGCATGCGTGAGCGTGTTAGATGGGAGTGAATGGAGACAAATGGTTTTTAGGACCTGACGTGTTGTTGGAGTGTGAGCAAGGTAATATTTATGAAGGGATTCAGGGAAACCGGTAGGCTGGACTTGAGTCCTTGAGATGGGATGTACAGTGCCTGCACTCTGAAGGAGGGGTGTTAATGTTGCAGTTTTATAACTGTAGTGTTAGTGCACCTCTGGCAAGACAGTGATGGAGTGAATGATGGTGAAAGTTTTCTTTTTCAGGCCACCCTACCTTGGTGGGAAATGGCTGACGTGTTAATAAAAAATAATACAGCTAGCCCTCCACTTTCGAGAGCTTCGAACATTCACAAATGCCCAGCTGCCCAATCATAACACGTATATACAATATTTTACGATGTTTTCATGTGTTTTATGACTGTTTGTGGTTCAACAGGTTAAGGAAGCAGTATTGTTAGGCTAAGTAAATGCTATTATTATATTTCCCCACAATATATTTGCGCATCAAAACATTTGCGAATGCTACAGTACAGTATTATATTTCCCTACATCACATTTGTGCACCAAACATTCGCGAATTTTCAAGATTCGCAAGGTTCTTGATCCCCTAACCCTTGCGAATGTGGAAGGCCTCCTGTAAATCTTCTAGCCTATTGATGCCAAGAAGCAGCCAATAAAACCTCAAAAACTAATTCTAAGTTGCTATTTTAATCCAAAGGCTGAGTCAGAAGTTTACTGATCTCATCTTGCACTGCATGGGGGTAGGAATTTTTTTTTATACTGAGTATACTTACTGCACAGGCCCATTTTTTCATCTCTAGGACAAAATTTGCCACTCAAGGCATATCTGAGGGCACTATGAATTATGGGATCTAAGTGAGCAACACTGATTCCAAATGTCATAGATCAATGTGGCAGGTAGTGAAAGGGTTAAACCACATTACAGCAAAGGAGGCTGGAAGTAGTGGAGATGTAATGCTTGAGAGAAGTGTGTGACATGATTATGGACAGAAATCAAACCACAGGGCTGAAGAAGGGTTATTGAGGTGGTTTCAGCATTGAAAGTGGATAAATCAGAATAGGATGCACAAGTGGATGTATAAATATAGGGTGGAAGGAAGGAGGGAGGGTTGGAGCAAGGATGGGGTAAAGGAGATTTTGAGTGCTAGGGGCTTTAGCATCCAGCAAGTCTGTGTGAGTGTGTTAGATCAAAGTGAAGGGAGATGAGGGTTTTTTTTATTGCTTGGCATGCTGTTAGTGTGAGCAAGAAAACATTTATGAAAAGATTCAAAGAAATCAACTAGCCAGACTCAAATCCTGGAGGTGAGAGATACATTGCCTGAACTTTAAAGGAAGAGGTGGGGATGTTGCGGTTCAGAAGGATATCTGAATTGTGATATTTGCACGGGTATTTCTGGTAAGACAGCTATTGAACGAGTGATGGTGAATGTGGCTAGTGCATAAAAAAATTGTGGTGGTAATTTTTGTTAGAATAATTACTGGAAAGTAGAAATATATAGTAAAGAGCATGAATATGAATGCTAACTGGAATCTTAATAAGCCAGCTAATTAGATACATTTGACATTTATATTCAATTTATATAAATTTACAACAAATTCAGGCAGGGTTTATGACAATATTTTTGAAATAGGTGGCAGTGTGAAATTTTTAGAATCTCCTTATAGAGTTTTCTATATTTTTGGAAATTTAATTTGCATGGAGTTTCTATTAAGGGTGAGTCCAACATGTGAGGTATCAGAGATATTTATTGATTGTACTGTGTCTATGCATTCTGTTGCAACTTTCTAAATAGTTTTTAGCAATGGGTTAATAATTATATTGAGTGCTCTGCATATATCTGTTGGAGTGTGAGCAGGGTAATATTTAGTGAAGGGATTCAGGGACTTGAGTCCTGGAAATGGGAAGTACAATGCCTGCACTTTAAAGGAGGGGTTTGGGATAGTGGCAGTTTGGAGGGATATGTTGTGTATCTTTATACGTATATGCTTCTAAACTGTTGTATTCTGAGCAACTCTGAAAAAGCAGTGATAATGTGTGTGTGGTGAAAGTGTTGAATGATGATGAAAGTATTTTCTTTTTGGGGATTTTCTTTCTTTTTTGGGTCACCCTGCCTCGGTGGGAGACGACCAACTTGTTGAAAAAAAAAAAAAAAAAAAGTACACATAGTATAAATTAACTAGGATAACCCAAATAAAAATGAAGGGGAGTGGAGAAGAAGAATGTTGTCTTGAGTTTCACTGAATGAGACAAAACCTAATAAAAAAAAATGCTATACAACACAAGAAACTGCAGAAAAATCCAATGGAGTTATTCAGTAAGTTAATCACATGAAGAAGGCACAAGAATTGATTACCTCTGCCCAGAACTCATGGAACCACGGGTATGCTGTGTGGTTGGCAAGTGACAGGCTCTTGAAGTAAGTCTGGAACTCCTGTACGGCACCACTGACAGGTTGCATCACTACCATGCCAAGTGCTTCACTCCTGGAAGGAAAGCCAAGATCTCACAACATAATGAAGATTTACGTATGAATATAATTTTGCCCCATGCCTAGACATTTCATTACTGCTGTTTCTAATAAATATTTATATAAAAATGATAAAATTGCTCTGTATGAAGAAAAAGTAAAATATATCAGTATTTAGTAATTATCAGAAAAATATTCAATATTTTTATCTTTCTACGAAGAGGCACATGATTCCACCTCTCCTACCCACCAATTATAACAAAATCACCACCTTTCAATACCTAGTCACAATGTGTAAGATACTAATTCATGTTGAAGGAGTGTTAATATAATGTTTTATAATGTGTTGTAAACATTTTAATAAAAATTATATAAACATTTTTTTTCATGCAAACCACTTTTGATTTTTATACATGGTTCAGGTGAAATTGGGACCTTTTTCAAAGTTACCCATTGAAGGCAGCCTTTTATTGGATTCAAGAAATGATGTCAAACAAGATTTACCTGTATTCTTACACAGTAAACCACCTCAAAGGCAATATATCTTTTTTTCTGGGAATACAATCATGCTAAAAATATAATATAGAACAGTATATCACTGAACTATGAAAAATTATTTGTGTGGTCACATGGAATGACTGTCAGCAGTACAGAATGCAATTATGATGTGAAGGAAATACAGGAGGTCCTCAGCTCAGAAATGAGTCGAGTTTCTGGTTTTTCAACTTACACAGTCATAATGAGGCTCGGTGATAATAAAAATTTATGGTATACCTGGTATTTGATGCCAAACGGGTGGGGAGTGAACAAGGTCCTAAGACTGAAACATTTCCTAATAAATGTCTTAAGCATTTGTTTACATTTCCAACAGAACTTTCACTGGTGCCTAAATGTGGATGTAGGCAAGCTGAAGCATTTATAAGATGGATCCTGTATATACACTCCTCCATTCTCTTTATTCTCAAGATGCAGAAATTCACTTTAATGTAAGTTGCTTTATTGTTAAGTTTTAAAATACTACAAGTACAATGACATAATTAAATAATGGAATACATGTATAGTAAAATATTTCTGCTATTTCTAGTGTTTATAAATAAACAACTGAAATAAAACCATTACATTCAGAGAATATGGAAATCTATATTTTTGCAATCATATATTTATGCCTGAACATATAACAATGCCATAATTCCAAAACATACTCTTGTTTTATAAAGGGCAGAGGAGAGTCTGCAACAATGAAGACAAAGTCACCAAGATGCAAAAGCCCTTCACTGCGAAGTTTAGCTGCAGCCTGGAGAAACAGCGCTGCATGGTGATTCTCCAGCAACAAAATAATGGCCCTGGCTCCCTGCTGGGCTGCCTCAGCCAACTTGTGCCACACACCCATCATGTATTCTATCTGGTCAACCTGTGTAGATATAAATGTCATTTTATTCATGGGGATTCATTATTTTTCTATATTTATCATTTTATCAATTTCCAGACAATGCAAGAGGACACTTGCTTAACTTCTAACATTTTAACCCTTTGACTGTCGAAGGGCCCAATCCTGAAGTTGCTCCTGGTGTCGCAAAATATTCGAAAAAAAAAAATTATTTTTTCTTATGAAATGATAGAGAATCTTTTCCCGATTGTAAAGACACCAAAAAAACGAAATTTGATGGAAAACTGACGGAATTACGCTCTCGCGAAGTTAGCGACTTCGGCGATATTTAAAAATCGGCAATTTCGCCCACTTTGAGCCCTATTTTCGGCTAATTCCGTTATTCCAGTCAACCAAACTCATAACTATTTCTTCAGAACTCTATTTTTTCTATCGATTGAGCACAAGAAACTGCCCATTTACCGATTTCAACTACCCAATAACATGGTCAGAAATTTGCAATTTGGCCAATTTCACGAAAATTAAAAAATACGACAATTTCAAAATAAGGTCCAGAATGAACAATGCAGACATTCCTGGCTCTAAAATAAGATTTTCTTTGTTCATCAGTCATGTCTCCAGGTCCCTGTGATATTACTCTTGCTTTTTATTTTGAAATTTTATTCAAACAAAAAATAGAAGATTTACTGTTATGCAGACTACTGCAATACTGTAATAATTGTAAAAATTACATCAACCCATTCATGACTGCGTATTAGAATGGCTATTTGGACATTTATTGGACAATGACATCATTTGTTTACTTTTGAACATCGGCAAAAATCAAACATTTCCTGTACTTTGTGCTCCATTTCCAGGTTCTTTTTATAGTAAAATTAATCAAAATCACCTCCATTTCTATAATATAGTTTCCATTCTATCAAATGAGACCAAGAAAACGAGAATACAACCACAAATACTATACGAAAATAGACCACAAAGTCGGCATTTTAATTAAAAAAAACGGTCGGAGTTTTTTTTTTCTCATTATGCACTGCGTGCTCCAGGATTTTTTTTATGTGGTGCACACTGACCACACAGACCCATTCTCTCACATGTGGGCCTACTAGCTTTCTCCTGCCTGATTTGAAGCCGCTAGAATTTATGAGTATATATACGTCAAACACGGTACCTCACAAACGTATATATACGGCCGCGACAGTCAAAGGGTTAATAACACATTTCTGTGCAGTATTTTAGTTTTTAACACAATGGCCATTTCCCACCAAGATAGGGTTAACCCCCCCCTAAAAAAAAAAAAAGACACTTCCACCATCATTCATTCAATCACCGTCTATCCAGAAGCATACCAATATTACAGTTCGAATAATCTTCCAAACTCCAGGCACAGTACCTCCCACCTCCCAGACTCAAGTCTGGCTAACCAGTTTCACTAAATCCCTTCACATATGTCAAAGGTGCGACAATGATACAAGACCACACACTCTCAGACGTGCTCTCGCTCGCTCACGAAACATAACCTGGTTCTACCATGTCTTTCTTATCCTCAACACACCCACCTCCACCTCTTACCTACCCTACCATTTCTCAGGCACTGAATAATACTTAATAGTTTAGCATTTATGAATATACTGTAACAATATTCAGACTGCCAGATATATAAAACACAGTATTACATAAGCATTAAACTACTCAATATGCAAATGAACAGGACCTGAAAAAATATACTGTGAATTGCTTGCCTTAAGTAAATACACTATACAGTTTTCTTTTGTTTTAACTGCATTAATAAAACAATTTGCTTCCACTTGCCTTCCCTTGTGTGGACCCTCGGTCTTGCATCACCTGCATACTTTTAAGTGAAAGTTTATAACTTTTAGAAAATAGTGAAAATTGACTATAATTGGAAGTATATTGATATTAACCTACTCCGTAGTTTGGAAATTGGAAGGAGGTGCGGGATTACCAAAACTATTATCCAGAGAGCTGAGGAGGGGCTGTTGAGGTGGCTCGGACATGTAGAGAGGATGGAATGTAATAGAGAGAAGGCGGAGTAGAGGTCGGCCTAGGAAAGGTTGGAGGGAGGGGGTTACCTGGGGTAAAGGTAGTTTTGTGTGAAAGGGGCTTGGAGTTACAGCAAGCATGCGTGGGCATGTTAGATAGGAGCGAATGAAGACAAATGGTTTTTAGGACTTAAAGTGCTGTTGGAGTGTGAGCAGGGTAATATTTATGAAGGGATTCAGGGAAACTGGCATGCCAGACTTGAGTCCTGATGGGAAGTACAGTGCCTGCACTCTGAAGGAGGGGTGTTAATGTTGCAGTTTTATAACTGTAGTGTAAGTGCACCTCTGGCAAGACAGTGATGGATTGAATGATGGTGAAAGTTTTTCTTTTTCAAGCCACCCTACCTTAGTGGAAAATGGCCAATGTGTTAAAAAAAAAATTGATATTAATGTTATCACTACTACTGCTTCCCAGTTTATAGGTTTAGTTATGATTTGGGAGTAGTTTTGGGGGGTATTTTGTGATACTTTGAAGCAACTAGTGCAACACAATCTGCATGGCTACTTTCCTTTCCTTTATGTGGTTTGTAATATTACCTTAAGTGGTACTGGTTCAGTTATGGCAGCTTTCAGATTGTGTGCCTCAGTTTCTCGAAGGAGATGTTTGTGTATGTCGCCGGGCGTACCGCCATCGGAGTATACAACGCTAAACACCTCCCACCTCCAATAAAGCAGAAGCGATGTGATGGCACCTCCCTGGGGTTAGAATAAATAATATAAAATTATTATTTCAACCTGAGAAGAATTATTAAGTGTACATACATTACTGTTTTATTCAGAATAATGTATATACAGGGATATCTGAATTTTTCATAAATAACCCCCCCATACTTGGAAAAGAAAACTTATTTTATAATAGTATTGCTTATAAAGATTTTTATGTAATAATTTTTTCTGGACAAAAATGAACAGATTTGTATTAACAAAAACAGGTAAATAAAAAATAAGGGAACAATAAAACACATTCTTTTCTAAAGATATTTTTGAATAAGGGTTATTTGTGAATTATTCCTCTTATGGTATTATGACTTTTGTTCCTCGTACACTGAATAACAAAAGATTAAGAATAACAGAACTCTGATAACCCACCCTTATTCAGACAAAAAATCTGAATTATTGATTGATGACCTAAAAATAAAAATCCACTATTTTTCTTTACTTTTTCAGATAGCAGGGTAGTATTTTCAACAGAATATCTGAACACTGCATTGCCTTGCTCGACATGTCAAGTCTAGCACTGTGCTACATTAAATAGCATTTGCAGGTCAGGAAAGTCTGCTTACAACACATCTTTGAGGATGCCTTGGTATGTGCACTATAATTAAGACCCATTTTCCAGAACCGTAACCACGAATGCTAAGCAATTCAATACAGGCATGTCACACTTAAACAGAAGGTTAGGTTCTAGGCTACTGCTCTAAATTGAAAATCACTGTAAACTGAATCATAGCCTTTTTTCACTTTCAAATGCATATACACCTACCATCTGACTTGAGTTCGGTTCCAAGAAACCGGTCGTAAGTTGAAATGATCGTAAGTCGAACTTTACTACTGAATATCAACAAAACATTTTTGTAATGACTTTATTTTATTGTTTTATTTTGGTATTTCATGTTTTACTTTACTTTTTATGCTGTTAGTACAGTATTTTATACTGTAAGATTTAGGATAAACACTGTGTAGAACACAAATAGTTGTTTATTTCCCAGAAATTTGGCATAAAAAACACGGTCGTAAGTCGAGTGGTTGTAAGTCGAGCAGGTCGTAAGTCGGATGGTAGGTGTATAAGCCTGATAACATGTTTATACTATCATATATTAAGTAAGCAATATAACTAAGCCTAAAAAATGCATATACAGTACACATTACTTACCATAAAATATTTTCAGCCTTAGCTTATGGTGAGTGGTGAACATATTTATTGTAGGAAGTCTGAATAAATGAAGAATGGGTATAACTGAAAACCACTGTATTAGTGAAACACTGTACAGTGAAGCATTGTAAAATGGGGACTGCCTGTATTTGATTTTCATAAATCCATGTTATGATGCCTTGATGGGATGTGTCCTGTTAAAGTGGGGATAATAGAATTTCCCAGCATCTCTCAAAGATGTTGTAGTGGCCAGGCTTAGGCTTGGTTACAAGTACTTCTGGCAGTTTGGGAGACACACAGATGATGATCAAACTAAATGTAAATTATGTGATCAGGCATATGGTCACTCTCTTGAACACTATGTGCTTAATTGTCCACTCATTGAGGAATACAGAGACAGACAGTATAATAACCTATGTGACATGTCAAGATATCTTATTAATGAAAATAAGATACCAGATATGCTAAGCAAATTTCCTAAATTTGCTTGTAACAGATAAGTGAACTATAGATATGTAGATATAAATCCATATGTATTCCTGTTAACCCTTTGGGGCCTAGTTCCTAGGCCTTTTGTGTATCCATATGCTCTCGCGCTACCGTCCACAGGATGGATATGGGGTGCACAATAAACTAGCCACTTCGGTGGCAAAATCTAATCTAATCTCAAAGAGCTTGCAGTTGTATATATAAATCAAATATTTGGGCAGTACCCTGCATTATGAATTTGAATAACAGTAATGGGTAGAGGGCAATGCCATACAAGTATCACAATAAGTGAATATGGGACACCACTATGCAGAGCACCACAAGTATATTTCTGTTCTTGTAACTGCAATTAGATAACCACAAAAGTCTAACACCACTAGGATTTCATGAACAGCCTTACAGGAATCGTATAACAATACAGGTGCTCTTCAACTTGTGATGCTCATGCTTTGACTAACGATATTTCAACTTAACGATGGTGCAAAAGCAATTACTTTGGAGATGAAACTTGAGATAATTATCCAGCATGAAGGCAGAAAATCCATAACCTGTATTCATTTATTTACTTTTCAATACTAGTATTTACTTAGCTGCAGTAATTATTTGTTTATTTACTTATTTGGTTACAGTAATTATTATTTATTTAGAATATCACAATCAACTTACAATATTTTCAACTTACGATGGGTTTGTTGGTACATAACCCCCATCATAAGGTGAGGAGCACCTGTACATGCAAACATCATGACATGCCTTATTTTACAAAATCACTAGAGGTACTTATAAACTGATATATGTAGTATCTTAAAACACTCAATAATAACACTGAAAAAAGGATTACCATAACATCATTAGGGGGAGCCAAGCGTAAAAGTACAGGAAATCGGCGAGTATTGGAGTACACACTGTTGGAAGCTTGTGTTGCAATTGTTGTAACACCATAAGGTTGGGTCACATCAATCACTTGCCTCACTTCATCTCCTGTACCACCAGCTATCAGACCAACAATGTTGTTAGAGGATGGTACCTATGGAGAAGAGTAATACATTCAATGTACAAAATAAAGATGAAAAAAAAATTCATTTTCAAAATTCTGGATTTTTCTACCTTGGCATATTGTGGTCTACTGTCAGGGGTTCCCAAACGTTTGCCAAGGTGAACCAAGAAGAAATTCAGCAACTGTCTATATATTTTTCCTTAATGTTTCTTTAATAGTATTATGCTACAGCAGTTTGCTGAGGTGCTAAGCAGGAAAGGAAAATGTGACTGCAAATCCTGGGTCATGAAAAAAATATGTTTGGGAGCTACTGGTCTATCTTGTCATGAGAGGCAACCCCTGGCCTATTGAGGTACCCTATTCAAGGGCCAAGCTATTTCTACATACTGTAGTCACCTAATCAGTAACAGACCAGACCTAACAGTACTTAACCTGAGACTGAGCGATGCATTCGTCATCCACAGCACCATGCCATGGCGATGAGCACATCTGCAAATTGTGCATAAGTGAATCTATCACAAAAATTACAAAGTTGACTCAAGCACCCACCCCCTCCAGACTTCAACTAACATTTTTCTCTAAGGCATTGCAAGAAAAGTGAATATTTGAATGTTTAAGAGAGAGATGTGCCTAAAAGAAAATAACTGATTTCAAGTGTGAGTGGTCACAATTGTTTGTAGATGGCCCAATGCTATTGGGAGACTTGGAAGGGAACCTACCAAGGTTGGTACACTTCAGGAGTCGAAGGAAGTTCAAAGTGAATACAGGAACGAGCAAGGTAATGAGAATATTTTTTTCTAACACTCAGGGAGTCTCCCACCGAGGTGTCTTTCCAGAGGTGTGCCAATACTAAAATTCAAATGCCCCTCCAAACTGCAAATATCCCCACCCCTCCTTCAGAGTGCAGGCACTGTACTTCCCACATCCAGGATTCAACTCCAGTTAACCAGTTTTCCTGAATCTCTTTACAAATGTTACCTTGCTCACTCTCCAATAGTTCAAGTCCCAAAAACATTTGCCTCCACTCACTCCTATCTAACACACTTACACATGTCTGATGAATGTCCAAGTCCCTTGCACACAACACACTGAACCTTTCCTAGGGCAACTTTTACCCTGCTTGCCCTCCACTACAGATTTACACATCCTCTTTATCATCCAATTTTGCTCCATCCTCTCTAAATATCCAAACCGTCTCAACAACAACTCTTCAGCCATCTGGATAATACTTTTAGTAAGTCGATACCTCCTCCTCATCTCAAAGCTATAAATCTTCTGCATAATATTTACACTACACACAGTCCTCAGACATGACATCTCCACTGCCTCCAGCCTCCTCCTCACTGCAATATTCACAACCCATGCGTCACACCCACATAAAAGTGCTGGTACCACTATACTCTCATTCATTCCCCTTCTTGCCTCCATAATTTTATTTGTCTTTGCAGATGCCTCAATGCACCATCCACCCTTTTTCCCTTATCAATTCTATGGTTGAATACAGGGAGCCAGAAACCACACTTGTGATGCAAATATGCATGGTAAAAGTATTGGGAATGAAAGATTAGCAGGCAGAATGGAAGGAAGGAGTGTAAAGGAAATGAATGTATTTAATTTGTTGGGAGAGAATGTACTGGCAGATGGGTCTATGAAGGATGATTTAAATAACAATAAATTAAGGAAATATAGTTGAACAAGAGTTGAAAAAGCTGAGGAAAGAAACAAGTTTGTCAAAGAATGCAAAATTGGGAATATACAGTGGGTGCCAACACTTTTAAATTCTGCAATGAAGAGGAAGCAGGAGGCCCTCAAAATATCTCGTTGGAGATCTGTGCATAGCCCAAATATTGTATAAAGAATGAGAACTGAAGAAATTAGATGTGGTGGTATGAAGAGTATAGTGAAACAAGCTGAAGACAATAGTTAAGATGGTTCAGGCATGTAGAAAGAATGGCACAAAATAGGTGTACTATAAATTTAGGAAAGACAGACAATGCAACACTATTTTATGGATGTAAACCATGCATTTTAAATGATGAAGTGAGGAGGAGGCTGAAGGCAATGGCAATATGTTTGAAGGCAATGTATGATGTGAATATTATACAGACTTTAGAGATTACAAGGTGTGGGGTTGCTGAACATATCGTTCAAAAGACTGAGAAGTGGTTGTTAAGGTGGTTTGGACATTCAGAGAGGACAGAGAAAAATTTGACTAGGAGGATGTATTAATTTGAGGTGGAGGGAAGGAGGAGTAGGGATGATCCTAGGAAAAGGTTGGTGGGAGGGAGTAAAAGAGGTTTTGAGTAGTTAGGGGGCTTGGACATCCAATAGGATTGTGTGAGCGAGTCAGATAGGAAAGAGTGAATTTTTATGACCTTGATATGCTATTAGAGAATGAGCAAGGTAACATTTATGTAGGGAGTCGGAAATCAGTAGCCAGCCATGAATCCTGGAAATGGGAAGTACAGTACCTGTGCTCTTAAGGAGAGGTGGGGCTGTTGTAGTTCAAAAGGCCATATGGACTGATGTTAGTAATTGAATGAATGAAGGTGAAAGGACTTTCTTTTTCTGGGGTCACCCTGCCACAGTGGGCAACAACCAGTGTATTTAAGGATGGGTTAAAAGGAAAGTGTGAAAGAGTTGATGAACAAAAGGCATTCATTTGTGGAAATGTTAGATTACAATGAGCATAGGCAAGTGGGTCATAGGATCTAATATGCTACTAAGTATGACCAAAGTAATACATGAGAAAGAATTCAAGGAAACTGGGAAATGAGATGAAAGTTTAAGAAGTTCGATTGGCTGACAGCCGGAAGCAAATAATGGTGACATAATTCCTTACTTGGGTCACCAAACCCTGATGAAAAAAAGTAGTTAGCATGTTAAAAATTACTTAAGGTATTTATGTACTCTCATATTTTATCCATCTTGAAATGGAAGTACTGCACATATAAAATATCTTTCATTTATTTGTTTTTTTGGGTGTATACGTACAGTATTTATATGTACTATATTTAGAGTACCATATATAAATGCACATAATTACATCTCTGCAAGAGCCCCTTCACTGTTATTACATTAGTAACAAATTTTCTCTTACCTGCTTTCTCATCCTCTCGGGAATACGACCAGTGAGGAAATTGGTTACATCTCTTACAACTTTCTCCTTGCTGGTACATGCATCTAGGATTATAGCACCGAGTGTCACACCTGGTAAGATTTTCTTGTCCGAGTTGAGGAGATCTAGAGACCATAACAACGATTCTACACTCTGGATACCCTGATAATGACCAGAAACAAAATGCCATTTTAGACTAGTTATATCATTATTTTAGAGGCATTACATGGAAAAATACTATTAGTTAATAATTATACTTAAGTACTGTAAGTCAGAGGACTTTATCAATATCATTAATTCATATGGAATTAGTAAATGTCTTTGAAGAAAGTAAATCACAATCATATTATTTATACTGTGTTTGGTAATGTTCATTGGAAAGTGTGGCTTTAAATGTCTCTTACATGGAATTTTTCTATTGTTTTTTTTAACATACTGATCATCTCCCCTGAGGCAGGGTGACTCAAAAAACAAAAATCTTATAAAGCTTTTCTTTTTACATTTAGTAATTTATACTCTTTGCTCCCGACATTTTAGTCGCTTCTTACGACATGCATAGCTTACGGAGGAAAGATTCCTGATCACGTCCCATAAAATTTTCTATTTTTGTCTCACCTTCAAATACTTATAAGAGAATCCATAACTCAAACTTCTATCTGATAACTCATTCTTGCCTTTCTCTGATCCCTCACCTCCATATTTCAGTTTTACTTACCTTGTCGCCATTCAAACCACCACATTCCAGAGGACGGTTGCCCTTCTGGTGTACATTCAAGGTTGCTACAACATAAAGTTTGTCTGGAGAGTCAACAAAGAGATAGTCTGCTTCATGATGGTTGCACGTGGAGCAGCCTGTTGTACAAGAGGAAGGCAACTGGTTCATGTGAGTGACTGAGCCATTGTGGTATTCTACCATGGCATTCCCGAGAGTCAATCCACTGTCCACATATCTGCCAACCTGAGGACCCAAATAAAATGACTGAACACTTAAATGAAAAAAATAAGAGATGGAAGTACAGTCTGAACACTGAGTGTGTAATATGTTAACCTTAAGCTGCCGATGACAAATTTATGCCAACTGGGAAAGTGATGCAAACATAAACTTAGGCCAAATTCTAGGGCTTCCAAAATGGTCCAGATTGGCCTGGTTAGGATATCTGAGAAAATGGGTCTGTGTCATATGCATGTGCAGTGTAAATAAAAATTGTATTGTGTGCTAGGCACTGTGGGAGCCAGTAAATGACATTTACATAGTTTAGTGTTTACATTTTTTATTGTGACTGAACAGTAAATATAATTTTGTGACATGATTTGAAAACATAGATATAGGTGGAAAACATGTGAGCCATCAATTACAATTAGAAAAACTGAAAAACTGAAAAAAAAAAACTTCTTTCATTTAATAATAATAATAATAATAATCTTCATTTCTACAACAAGTACATGTACAACATATACAGGAATAGCTGATATCAATGACACACTACTATATAGAAAACCCCTTGTCATGCAGAGCATTTCGGGCAGATTAGGTCAAATTTGTCCCAGGATGCAATCCATACCAAAAAACACGTTCTAATGTTTCCACGTGTTTCATAGTACTAGGGGGAGAGCGCACAACTTTGTAGTACCTACAGTCTGTGGCCAGGCTTCAAACACCTTTTATTGTACAGCATTCAAATTCAAATTCAAATTCAAAGTTTATTCTCTATAAAGATTACAATGTTGAATTTACAGAATTTGGTTGTTGTGTGGTTTACATGTAGTTAAATAATGATTACAGAGTGTACCACTAGAACGCCTAGCATGGCTAGGCATTTCGGGCAGACTTAGTTTAATTCTTTATTTTAAAATATTACAAATTATGAGGTAAGTTGGTATTATGGCTAAGTGACTAAATACTAGTTTGTGAGTTTAGCAATGTGAATGCTTTTGTTTTGGCACAGTACATAGTTTCAGTATTGGAGTATCATAGGATTCATTATTTTAAGATTGAGATTAATATTTCTGTTTATGGTCAAATGGGTGAGTGAGTGTAAGTGTGAACCACCAGGTGGTATTCGTGTAGTTAGTTGATGGGGTGTATCAGGGAGATAAGATGTTTTCTAATGGTAGTTTTGAAGGTGATGAATGTGTCTGCAGTTCTAGAGTTCTCAGGTAGGGTGTTCCAGATTTTAGGGCCTTTGACATACATTGAATTTTTGTAAAGGTTTAGTCGGACATGGGGAATGTCGTAGAGATGTTTGTGTCTGGTGTTATGCCTGTGGGTTCTGTCACAACTATCAAGAAAGCGTTTTAGGTCAAGGTTGATATTGGAGTTTAAGGTCCTGTAGATGTAGATTGCACAGTAGTAAGTGTGGATGTACTGAACAGGGAGTAAGTTTAGATCTATGAAGAGTGGGGGGGTGTGTTGCCAGGGATGGCATATGTCAAAGCCAGTCATAGCATGAACCAGTTCAAGAAGAGAGCCAAAATGTGCCTAATGAATGAAGTGACAGAAAGGGAGGAGAATTATTTTTTTTTATTTAGGTAATACACATGTAAATATCAATAACTCATTTTATCTTATTCCTAGTATATCTCCTTCATAATATAATAATAAGACATTATCTCATTATTATACTATAAATAAGATATTAACCCCTTGACTGTCGCAACCCCCAATCCTGAGGTGTCTCCTGGTGTTGCAAAATTAAAAAAAAAAAAAAAAAAATTCTTATGAAATGATAGAAAATCTTTTCCCGATTGTAATGACACAAAAAAAAACAATTTGATGGAAAACTGACGGAATTACGCTTTTGTGAAATTAGCAACCTCGGCGATATTTACAAATTGGCGATTTCGCCCACTTTGAGCCCTATTTTCGGCTAATTCCATTGTTCCAGTCGACCAAACTCATAACTATTTCTTTAGAACTCCATTTTTTCTATCGATTGAGTACAAGAAACTGCCCATTTACCAATTTCAACTACCCAATAACGTGGTCAGAAATTTGCAATTTGGCCAATTTCATGAAAACTAAAAAATATGACAATTTCAAAATAAGGTCCAGAATGAACAATGCATACATTCCTGGCTCTAAAATAACATTTTCTTTGTTCATCAGTCATGTCTCCAGGCCCCTCTGATATTACTCTTGCTTTCTATTTTGAATTTTTATTCAAACAAAAAATAGAAGATTTACTATTATGCAGACTACTGCAATACTGTAATAATTGTATAAATAACATCAACCCATTCATGACTGCATATTAGAATGGCTAGTTGGACATTTATTGGACAATGACATCATATGTTTACTTTTGAACATCGGCAAAAATCACACATTTCCCCTTCTTTGAGCTCCATTTCCAGGTTCTTTTTATAGTAAAATCAATCAAAATCACCTCTATTTCAATAATATTTTTTCAATTCTATCATATGAGACCAAGAAAACGAGAATACAACCATAAATACTATACAAAAATAGACCACAAAGTCGGCATTTTAATTAAAAAAAAAAACGGTCGGAGTTTTTTTTCTCATTATGCACTGCGTGCTCCAGGATTTTTTTTTATATGGTGCACACTGACCACACAGACCCATTCTCTCACATGTGGGCCTGCCAGCTTTCTCCTTCTTGATTTGAAGCCGCTAGAATTTATGAGTATATATACGTCAAACACGGTACCTCGTAAGACGTGTAAATATGACCGCGACAGTCAAAGGGTTAAAATGATCACAATGGAAATAAGTCACTTTGTCAGACTTTTCTGGGTTATCCTAGGTTCTCTATACGTATGCTGCTATGTATGATAATCTATGTAACTGCATTTGTGTATACAGTACCTGAATAAACTTACACGTGTACTGGGGATCGAACCATGGACCTCAGTGAGATATTGGTGAACAATCACCAACATTGCCCTCAAACCTTTATATTTTTTATTATCACACTGGCCGATTCCCACCAAGGCAGAGTGGCCCGAAAAAGAAAAACTTTCACCATCATTCACTCCATCACTGGATTGCCAGAAGGGTGCTTTACACTACAGTTTTTAAACTGCAACATTAACACCCCTCCTTCAGAGTGCAGGCACTGTACTTCCCATCTCCAGGACTCAAGTCCGGCCTGCCGGTTTCCCTGAACCCCTTCATAAATGTTACTTTGCTCACACTCCAACAGCACGTCAAGTATTAAAAACCATTTGTCTCCATTCACTCCTATCAAACACGCTCACGCATGCCTGCTGGAAGTCCAAGCCCCTCGCACACAAAACCTCCTTTACCCCCTCCTCCAACCTTTCCTAGGCCGACCCCTACCCCGCCTTCCTTCCACTACAGACTGATACACTCTTGAAGTTATTCTGTTTCGCTCCATTCTCTCCACATGTCCAAACCACCTCAACAACCCTTCCTCAGCCCTCTGGACAACAGTTTTGGTAATCCCGCACCTCCTCCTAACTTCCAAACTACGAATTCTCTGCATTATATTCACACCACACATTGCTCTCAGACATGACATCTCCACTGCCTCCAGCCTTCTCCTCGCTGCAACATTCATCACCCATGCTTCACACCCATATAAGAGTGTTGGTAAAACTATACTCTCATACATTCCCCTCTTTGCCTCCAAGGACAAAGTTCTTTGTCTCCACAGACTCCTAAGTGCACCACTCACCCTTTTCCCCTCATCAATTCTATGATTCACCTCATCTTTCATAGACCCATCCGCTGACACGTCCACTCCCAAATATCTGAATACATTCACCTCCTCCATTCTCTCTCCCTCCACTCTGATATCCAATCTTTCATCACCTAATCTTTTTGTTATCCTCATAACCTTACTCTTTCCTGTATTCACTTTCAATTTTCTTCTTTTGCACACCCTACCAAATTCATCCACCAATCTCTGCAACTTCTCTTCAGAATCTCCCAAGAGCACAGTGTCATCAGCAAAGAGCAACTGTGACAACTCCCACTTTATGTGTGATTCTTTATCTTTTAACTCCACGCCTCTTGCCAAGACCCTCGCATTTACTTCTCTTACAACCCCATCTATAAATGTATTAAACAACCACGGTGACATCACACATCCTTGTCTAAGGCCTTACTTTTACTGGGAAATAATTTCCCTCTTTCCTACATACTCTAACTTGAGCCTCACTATCCTCGTAAAAACTCTTCACTGCTTTCAGTAACCTACCTCCTACACCATACACCTGCAACATCTGCCACATTGCCCCCCTATCCACCCTGTCATAGCCTTTTCCAAATCCATAAATGCCACAAAGACCTCTTTAGCCTTATCTAAATACTGTTCACTTATATGTTTCACTGTAAACACCTGGTCCACACACCCCCTACCTTTCCTAAAGCCTCCTTGTTCATCTGCTATCCTATTCTCCGTCTTACTCTTAATTCTTTCAATAATAACTCTACCATACACTTTACCAGGTATACTCAACAGACTTATCCCCCTATAATTTTTGCACTCTCTTTTATCCCCTTTGCCTTTATACAAAGGAACTATGCATGCTCTCTGCCAATCCCTAGGTACCTTACCCTCTTCCATACATTTATTAAATAATTGCACCAACCACTCCAAAACTATATCCCCACCTGCTTTTAACATTTCTATCTTTATCCCATCAATCCCGGCTGCCTTACCCCCTTTCATTTTACCTACTGCCTCACGAACTTCCCCCACACTCACAACTGGCTCTTCCTCACTCCTACAAGATGTTGTTCCTCCTTGCCCTATACACAAATCACAGCTTCCCTATCTTCATCAACATTTAACAATTCCTCAAAATATTCCCTCCATCTTCCCAATACCTCTAACTCTCCATTTAACCTTTATATCTCTGTAGTAATAATCAGATTTCACTCATTCTTGTCTTATTACACTTCTAAAATTGTTGATAATTTTTTTTTAGGTAAGAGAATACTTTTTTATTATTTTTCAAAATCAGCAATATTGAGGGCACATAAGTGATCACAACAGTTTACACTCCATCTCTCCACCACAAAAGGTCAGTAAAATTACTGTAGAGTACTATAAAATTACTATACAGTACAGTACTGTACTGTACTGTACTCAGTGTACTGTAGTACTACAGGTTACAATACTTGTTCGTATTTATAGTGTCTGGTTGTTTCCTGCATCAATAGACCAAATTCACTACTTCAGAAGACAACCAGATGATTATGAAATATTAATTTCATAATTCAGAAGCTGTGGACAACTGGCATTATCATACACCCCCTCCTGCCTATTAGTCCATTCATGAGAAGTTTTACTGCACAGAAATGTCAAGATGAAGAAGAAGAAATGGAGGAAGAGAAAGAGAGACACCACACTGTGCTTAACTTCTTTACAAACAATTTGGTTGATAAATTTTCTTTCAAATTAACATGCAGAAATTCTGCCCCAATACCACACAAACCTGACCTGGTGTTTGCCTGCATAAACTGAAAAGGAGCACATGTAATTTGCAAATATTTATCTAAATGGAAAATTCCTATTGAAAAAACCACTGACTAAACATGTGTCAATTAAGGTTCAGCTTTACATCCTCATAGCTTGACTGGCAGAGCACTCAGCTCACACACCAAGTGTCCATACCTTTATACCTTTGAAGAGTTTCGAGAGTTTATCTACTCTCTGAGTCTGGTCATGAGTAGATACTCTTGAAACTCTTCAAAGGTATATAGGTATGGACACTCAGTGTGTGAACTGGTTCGATCCCCAGTACAGGTAGACACTGTGTGTGTTTCCTCAAGACATCTGCTGTCCCTGTTCACCTAGCAGCAAATAGGTACCTGGGCATTAGTCGACTGGTGTGGGTCACATCCTGGGGACAAAATTAACATAAGTTGCCAGAAATGCTCTGCATAACCACGAGCTTTCTATAAAGTATGTCACTGATGTCAGCTAGGTCTGTCTAAGTTATATCATGTGCTTGTAGAAATAAAGATTATTTCTTCTTTTCTTTCAACAAACCGGCTGTATCCCACCGAAGCAGGGTGGCCCAAAAAGAAAAACAAAAGTTTCACTTTTTAACTTCTAGTAATGCATACAGGAGAAGGGGTTACTAGCCCCTTGCTCAAGGCATTTTAGTCACCTCTTACGACATGCATGTCTTACGGAGGAAGAATTCTGTTCCACTTCCCCATGGAGAATAAATATTATTATTATTATTATTAGTAAGGGCATTCATAAGGAACAAGGAACCACACACAAATACTATAGATAGAAACAGGCAGAATGAATATGAGAGGTTAATAAAGTGCTGGGTATAGAGAAGGTAGGAAAACTGTTAAGCAATAATCTTTTTTCACATTTAAAAGTAAGCGTAAATTTAGTAGGTACAAGAAATTATTGCAATAAACTTAATAATCCACTCTTACTAGTGTACATTAAAGAAGTGTGATTATTTTTATATACAGTGGCCATTGCAAATCAAGATCAGGTAACCCCAAGAAGAAAAACACATTCATCATCACTTATTCTCTAAATGTATTTCCAAAGGCACATTGATAGCAAAAGTCAAATGGCATAATGATACCCCAAAGTGACATACAGGTAATTATATATACAGTAGGACCCTGTTATCTGTGGGGGATACAGTCCAAGGACCTTCCATGGATACTGAATCCGTGGATAGTAGCAAACCCTATATATAAGTCCTATACATACCTATCAAAGTTTAATTGATAAATTAGGCACAATAAGTGGAGAATTATCACTTTTTCACTGATGGGAAGTAATTCATGGCTTCTCTTAGGATCTGAAAAACTGCCAGCTTCTCTACTTTTGTACTCTGGGGCCATTATTATGCAAAATTAAGAGGCATTTTTGGGCCACAGTAAACCGTGGATACCAAATCAGTGGATACAAGGGGGTTCTACTGTATATTTTTAACACACCAGCCATCTCTCACTGAGGTAGGTTGACCTAAACAAGAAGAAACTCTTTCACCTTCAATCACTATCATGGTATTGCCAAAAGGGCAAGACTGATAGCCATTTCACATACATACATTAAAAAAGAAAGAAATGAATATAATAAAATCAAGAGGTCTTTAATTTCTAGTATGTGATGAATTTGTTAAGAATATTTATAGATGGGGTTATAAAAGAAAAATGGACGAGTTTCTGAGGGTGTGTAAAGGTAGAAAGTTGAAAGTGAACATTGATAAGAGTAAGGTGATAAGGGTATTAAACAATTTAGATAAAGAAAAATTGGATATCACACTGGAAAGAAGGAGCATGGAAAAAGTGAATGTTTTTAGAGATTTGGGAGCTGACTTGTCAGCAGATGGGTTTATGAAGGATGAGGTTGACCATAGAATTGATGAAGAAAAAAAGGTGAGTGGTGCATTGAGGTATCTGTGGAGATAAAAAACTTTATTCATGGAGGCAAAGAAGGGAATGTACCATACTATAGTGGTACCAATACTTTTATATGGGTGTGAAGCTTGGGTTGTCAATGCTGCAGCGGAGATGCCCTGTCTAAGGGCAATGTGTGGTGTAAATATTATGAAGAGAATATGGAGTATGGAAATTAGGAGGAGGTGTGGAGTTGCTAAAAGTATTAGTCAGAGAGCTGAAAGGGGTTGTTGAGGTAGTTTGGTCATTTAGAGAGAATGGAACAAAGTAGAATGACTTGGAGAGCATATAAATCTGTAGGGAAAGGAAGGCAGGGTAGGGGCTGTCATCGAAAAGGTTGGAGGGAGGGGGTAAAGGAGGCCTTGTGGCGAGGGGCTTGGACTTCCAGCAAGTATACGTGAGTGTGTTAGATAGGAGTGAATAGAGAGGAATGGTTTTTGGGATCTGAAGAGCTGTTGGAGTGTGTGCAGGGTAATATTTTGTGAAGGGATTGAGGAAACTGGTTAGCCAGACTTGAGTCCTAGAAATGGAAGTACAATGCCTGCACTTTAAAGAAGGGGTTTGGAATATTGGCAGTTTGGAGGGACTTGTAAACTGCTGTATCTGAGAGCCTCTGCAAAGACAGTGCTCACCTAATTGTGGTTGCAGGGGTCGAGACTCAGCTCCTGGCCCTGCCTCTTCACTGAGTGCTACTAGGTCCTCTCTCTCCCTGCTCCATGAGCTTTATCATACCTCATCTTAAAGCTATGTATGGTTCCTGCCTCCACTACCTCACTTGCTAGGCTATTCCACTTCCTGACTACTCTATAACTGAAGAAATACTTCCTAACATCCCTTTGACTCATCTGGGTCTTCAGTTTCCAATTGTGACCCCATGTTTCTGTGTCCCCTCTTTGTCCACCTTGTCTATTCCATGCAGTATTTTTGTATGTTGTCATCGTGTCTCCCCTAACCCTCCTGTCCTCCAGTGTCATCAGGCCGATTTCCCTCAACCTTTCTTCGTACGGCATTCCCCTTAGCTCTAGAACTAACCTTGTATGAGTGATGGTGAAAGTGTTGAATGATGATGAAAGTATTTTTGTTTCTTTTTGGGTTTTTCTTTCTTTTTGGGTCACCCTGCCTTGGTGGGAAACGGCCAATGTTTAAAAAAAAAATGATCAAATTGCAGTGTTTAAGTAAATTCATATGTAAAAATAAACATTACCTTCTCATATTTATACTTGATAGGTTTCTGATCTGTAAAGCGCATAAGGTTTAAGACTTCTAGTGGAGCATTGCCATGGAAGTTTTCAGTAAACTGAAAATATTCTGAGGGCTTATCCACCCGGGAGACCTCTGTGTTGCGTAGAAACTCATTGAGTACAGTCCTTTGCCTCCACCTGTGAAAATAAATCATGAACTTGCAAATTAAAATTATTCCTAACACTACAACATATTTAAATATAGAGCTTATAATAAACAGCAAACTGGATTTATGTAGCTATATCTCAAGAAACCACAAAAATTTTCAAGGTGTAGTTTTATGATTTAAATGCAGAATTATGAACATAACACTAATACATTCTATTTTTGCAGTGGCAAACTTTTTGCATGACAACTTACTTTGGCAAGCCTGGACATAATTTTCCATCATGCTGGGGACACAGGTGACCTATCAGCTGTGTGAGGGCTGCACCAAAGGAAAACATAGCCTGAACAACCCTTGGAGTAGAGGGTACAGATTCGTATGGCACAACAGGCATTGGGTTGGATCCTGACTTGCATGCAGATCCTACACATCCAAATTCCTTGAGGTTGATTGAGGTCGAGAGAAAAAAAATCAGTAAATGATTCATATTATGAATGTAACACTGATGTTCACTCTTGTTAACATAAATGGATTATTTTTATTACATATATTCATAAGGAAGAGTTGAATCCACAAAGGTCATAAAGGTCTTGGTGCCTAGGAAAGGCAATTAATCACATCTGACTCTAGGAAGACGGTAGCTCAAATTTTTTTGAATCAAGAGCACTTAACCAGCATTTAACAAGAGAAAAAAATATAGTATTGTGAAGTTCACTAAAAAAAAAAAAAAAAAAAAAAATCTAATATGAATGACATACTCGGTTGCCAAAAGTACAGAACATAGGGATTCTCAAGACAACATGTAAAGGGGAAAATCTGACACTTCAGTAAAGGATTTTTAAGTTAAACAAAATACAAGGATAATACAGGTCAGCCATTACTAATCCAGAAATCAGTTATCCAGTTCCATCAGTAATCCAGCACTAATTTCAGCTAGCACAATTTCAAATTTCATCATTATACTGATTCGGAAATTGTGCAGATGGTTGTAAATCCACAGCAGCAAGCCAGTGGAGGAGAAAGCAGTGATGAAGATGAGGAAGATGCAGCAGAAAGTCTTTATTAAGGTTAATTAAGTGTATTCTTATAGGTAGTAGGTTGGTAGACAGCAACCGCCCAGGGAGGTACTACCGTCCTGCCAAGTGAGTGTAAAACAAAAGCCTGTAATTGTTTTACATGATGGTAGGATTGCTGGTGTCCTTTTTTCTGTCTCATGAACATGCAAGATTTCAGGTACGTCTTGCTACTTCTACTTACACTTAGGTCACACTACACATACATGTACAAGCACATATATACACACCCCTCTGGGTTTTCTTCTATTTTCTTTCTAGTTCTTATTCTTGTTTATTTCCTCTTATCTCCATGGGGAAGTGGAACAGAATTCTTCCTCCGTAAGCCATGCGTGTTGTAAGAGGCGACTAAAATGCCGGGAGCAAGGGGCTAGTAACCTCTTCTCCTGTATATATTACTAAATGTAAAAGGAGAAACTTTCGTTTTTCCTTTTGGGCCACCCCGCCTCGGTGGGATACGGCCGGTGTGTTGAAAGAAAGAAAGAAGTGTATTCTAACCTAATCACTCTGTAATCAGACAAACTCACTAATACGGCACACTACAGGTCCCAATGATGCCGGATTAGTGATAGCCGACCTGTATTAAGTAATGAAATATAAGAATTAAAGGTATGTAAGGTCATACCTTTAATCCTTATGAAAGGATGAAATATTTTGAAGGCAATGACACAGGTTGGAAACAAGCTTTGATTAGGACAAATAAAAATTATCCAACCTCAAGAGAGGAACCTTATGATGGCATTTCAGTTTAGCCTGGACCTAAGTGAGAGTTATTTGTGATTTGTTCCAGCCACAGTACTGTGAAAATAAATATTCCAATAAAAGTTTGGGAAAATAAATATTCCAATAAAAGTTTGGAAAAATAAATATTCCAATAAAAGTTTGGAAAAATAAATATTCCAATAAAAGTTTGTTCTCTAACTTATCATCCACGCTGATATGACTGATTTCAATTAATCAGATCGAGATGACACACTTCATATTCACGGTGAAGTGAAACAAGCTCCTACAGCTTGGATCACAAACCCACAGACTGTTGCATGTGCCAAGTACATTCGTATTTATTCAGTGTGCACAAGACCAGCCACCATCTTTGCAATCATCATTACCAGCTAGGAACACAATAATCAGGGCCAACTAGTGGTGGTACACAAGCCTAAATCATCTGTTCACTGCTAAGTGTGCTGTAGCATTCTGACTTGTCACGGTGATTTAACCCTTTCAGGGTCCAAGGCCAAAATCAGGGCCAACTAGTGGTGGTACACAAGCCTAAAACATCTGTTCACTGCTAAGTGTGCTGTAGCATTCTGACTTGTCACGGTGATTTAACCCTTTCAGGGTCCAAGGCCAAAATCTGAAGTGGTGCCCCAGTGTCCAAGAATTTTCAAAAAAAAAAAATTTTTTATTTTTTCTTATGAAATGGTAGAGATTTTTTTTGTGAAGGTAATAAAACAAAAAGTACAAAATTTGATGGAAAATTGACGAAATTAGGCTCTCGCGAATTTTGATGTTTCAGCGATATTTACGAATCAGTGATTTTGCCGACTTTGACTCGCATTTTAGGCCAATTACATTATTCCAGTCGACCAAATTCTTAGCTATTTCACTTGTATTACTTTTATTCTATCAATTGAGCACAAGAAATCACCAAGTTAACTGTTTCAACTACAAAATAAAGTGATCGGAAATTGGTAATTTGGCCAATTTAACACAAAGTTCAAAATATTCCAATTTCAAAATAGGGTCCAGAATAAACAATGTAGGTATTCCTGGCACTAAACTAACATTTCCTCTGTTCATTAGTTACGTTTTGAGGCTTTACAAATAAATTCCATTTTGATTTTTTATTCACATAATGAATTTTTATTCACACCAAAAAATAGAAGATTTACTGTTATGCAATATTGTAATAATTGTATAAATATCATCACCACATTTGTGAATGTATATCAGACCCACCAGCTGGCGTGTATTAGACGTGTGAGGTCGTTTGTTTACTCTTGAACATCGGCAAAAATTTAACATTTCCACTACTTTGAGCTCAGTTTCAAGCCATTTCCAGTGCTAAAACCAATCAAATCATCTCTGTTTCTGTAATATGTCTTCCATTCTATCAAATGAGACCAAGAAATTGCAAATACAACTATAAAAAACATACAAAAAAACACTGCAAAGTCGCTGTTTTAATAAAAAATCACGGTCTCAGTTTTTTTCTCTTATTATACACAGTGTGCTGCAGGATTTGTTTTATGTGGTACACACATACCACTATAGATGTATTCTCTCATACCTAGGCCCAAATTTACCACTCACAGTTTATCAGAGTGAGCTGAGCTCATGGCGTAGATCTACGGGACGGACCCTGAAAGGGTTAAGGATGGTTCAGTTACTTTGTTCAGGTGATTGTTCCAACCAGCCAGTTCTCTCAGGCTGCCATCTGGCATACGTATATATACAACTGTGGCCTCTGGTTCTTTGTGACATTTTGTGTTCGCTGTTATTATGCTGGAGTTGTATTGTACATGTACTTGTATATATGTAAATATTGTACACAGTAATTTGGCAAAGGAAGAATACCGGTATGCATAAATCACACAAGCCATTTCCGAGTCTTAACTTTATCCCTCATAACCATTACTGGCTGTTGCATATAGCACAACCCAGTACTAGAGTACAGAAGTACAGGAGCTCATGAAACAGACTTCTGTTTCACGAACTCTGGTACATCTAGTACCTCCATATCATGAACTCGGTTGTATCTGCATCCTCGGTACTGTGCAATTAATGCTGCCAAACAATTTCTGAGGAAGTCAGACAAACCAATGTAGATTTTTTTATTTTTTTTTTATTTTCTATTGACAAATGGATACTTTTTTATGCCTTTCTTATTAAAGTGAATGCAAACAAATGTAATTTTTATTTGCTATACTATCAGAGTAATATAAAATAATACACTCTGCTGCAAGCAACACTGGTGATGTGTGATGAGAAAGAGAATATTTTACCAGATTTTAATTCTTTCATCTGTACTGTAACAATCTTTAATTTGTTCTATGTTAATGAGATAAAATTTTAGATAGCACTGCAGTTTTAACTTAATAAATTAAGAAAACTAAAAAAAATGAAAATAAGCATAAAAGTATTGAGATATAAAATTTGTTTAATTATTTCACAAAATAACAATATATTTGAAATTTCTGTTGTGAAAAATATTTAGGAAACTGAAGTTTGATCAACAGTATATAGTATACATAAATGCAGACTAATTGCAATAGTATATTCCTCAGCTCAAACTAGTAAAGAATTAACACCTGAAAATTCATAATGACTAAACCAAAGCCGATCAATAAACTGACCTGTTCCCAGTATTCTCTGAACCATGGATTTCGAGTGTTTTTCTCAGGGCTGAGAAGCCTGTAATAAGCTATGAAGTCCTTTACATCCTGCTGGCCATCTCTCAGTACTAGTGCTCCGCCAAGTTCAGAGTCGAACTCACGTAACTAAAACATCATATATGTATTACAAAACAAGGTATGTAATATCAACAAATGTATAAAAGACAGATGTGCAATGTTACATAACTATTATGGAAATGTTTTGCCTTCTAGGGCTTTGTCAATCACTAGACTGATAAAGCCTGTGATGGGTGAAAGGCTTTCATAATAAAATTTCCTAACATTTTTTTTTTTTTTTTTAACAAGTTGGCCGTCTCCCACCGAGGCAGGGTGACTCAAAGAGAAAGAAAATCCCCAAAAAGAAAATACTTTCATCATCATTCAACACTTTCACCTCACTCACACATAATCACTGTTTTTGCAGAGGTGCTCAGAATACAACAACAGTTTAGAAGCATATACGTATAAAGATACACAACATATCCCTCCAAACTGCCATATCCCAAACCCCTCCTTTAGAATGCAGGACATTGTACTTCCCATTTCCAGGACTCAAGTCCGGCTATATGAAAAAAACCGGTTTCCCTGAATCCGTTCACTAAATATTACCCTGCTCACACTCCAACAGATCGTCAGGTCCCAAATACCATTCGTCTCCATTCACTCCTATCGAACATGCTCATGCACGCCTGCTGGTAGTCCAAGCCCCTTGCCCACAAAACCTCCCTTACCCCTTCCTTCAAACCTTTTCAAGGACGACCCCTACCCCGCCCTCCTTCCCCTACAGATTTATATGCTCTCCATGTTATTCTACTTTGCATATGTGTATTTTATACAAAACAATTTACCTGGCATTTTATTTGATATTTGCCAATATTCACCTGTGTAGACTTAAGTAGTCTTCAAGCATTAGGTTAAGTCTGCCCGAAATGCCCCGACATGATGGTGGCTTTCTTTGTACCAATCAAACTATGAAATGTAAACATACATTGTAACCGTTTCAAAGAACTACACTTTTGTTTTGTTTGTTTGTAATCATAAGACTGCTTGATATTAAGATCAAAGACATTTGCTTTTTAATTAAGTTAATGAAAATCGTTCTGAAGCATCTTCGTAAATATTGTAGTTTATGGCAAGGAACCAGTTTAAAATCTGTAACTGCAATTACAAAAATAAATACAAGTGAAAAGAACAAATGAATGAAAATACCTGGGTGCTCTTGTCCATACTAGCACACCTTCAGATGGACTGTAGTGTTTTTGTGCAAATGTAATTCACACATAATACTGTACAGTGGTCCCTGGAGTCAAAATGGGCTTGAATTATGACTTACCCTCATAGAGGAATTTAGTTTTGAGTTACTTTGAAAAATTTGAGATACGATATGCGTACAATGGTACAACTGCTGTGGGTCACATCCTGAGGAACAAGATTAACCTAAGTTGCCTGAAATGCTTTCTTTATACAGTAGTATGCCAATGATATCAGCTAGGTCTGTAATAGCTGAATCATGTGCTTGCAGATATAATAATTATTATTATGGTTGGGGTGCATGGGTAGGCCTCAGCCAACCAGCGATGTGGTAGCTTGCCTCTTGGACAGTGTCTACCTGGAGGGTCTGAGCCAATAGTAGGGGTTTGCAAGGGTGGCTTAGCAGCTAATCAGCAATGGGGCTGAATGTCTCTATGGTAGCATCTCAGCCAATACCAGAGTTTGCACTACAGTTTATTGTTTACTCTTCAGCTTAAAACTATCACAAGTGTTTCCTGCACTAATTCTAGCTTATTTACCCTTCGTAACTATATTTGTGTTATAATTACACCATCTTTTGCATTACCAAGACATTCAAGTCCCTAAAGTGTACAGTAAGCAGACTATTTCTCTGAAGAACAAGCCAGTGAATGATGATGAATCAGATGCTTGTGCGACACTTGGGTATCTTTATTGTAGAAACATTTCACAAACCAGTGACTTCCTCAGTCCAATACAGAGTTATATCCATCTTGGGATCTTGTAATAAATTACCATAAACCCATATGTTTTGGGGTTTGAGTTAGAATAGTTTTGAGGTATGACACGTCTTCTGAAATGGATTAATATCGTAGCTCAAGGGATCACTGTATGTATTTACTAAATATGTATATGCCTAATACTGTATTCACTAAATCATCATAAACCATAATATAGTGTTCACTAAAAGTTTGCGGTATATTTTTTATGACGAAGTACCTTATCCTTGTGATCACCCCATGTGGAAGTCCCCAAGAAGACAAGCTGGTGTTTAAGCAAGCGGTGGGCTCGGACTGCTCTCTTAACAGCACCAAGCAAGTCCCTCGTGTCATTCAGGGTCAGGAAGAGAACAGTGGCACGGGCACCAGCCACTGCTTTCTCGGTCAGCTGTTCCACAATCTATTAAAAAGATATCTAAATTGTATTACAGCCCATAAAGCAGAACATTACTGATTTTATTTTAAGAGTAAATGTTCTTTCGTGTTTTTTTTTTCAAATTAGTCCCCTAAAAATGTAGAATTCAGTTAAAAAAATTAAAATAGCTGTGAATTTGCCAGTTGTGAAAATTTTCTGAATTAATGTTACATACAGTGGACCTCCGACATTCGATGGCATCGACATTCGATAAATCCGACATTCGATGCATTTTAACGCAAAAATTTCGCCTAGACATTCGATGGAAAACCCGACATTCGATACAATTCATACAAGACGTGTCCACGTGTGGCCTGAACTGCCCCATGTGTGCCAGAGTTTACAAGCCAGCCAGTGTGCGCGCATCTAAGATACATTCGGTACATTCCATATTATCCATATTATCACTTTTTGGTGCTTGTTTCTGCAAAATAAGTAACCATGGGCCCCAAGAAAACTTCTAGTGCCAACCCTTCAAGAAAAAAGGTGCTAATGACTACTGAAATGAAGAAAGAGATAATTGCAAAGTACGAAAGTGGAGTGTGTGTGTCGGAGTGCATGATGATTTGGTAAAGAAATTGCCTGCAACTAGTGGTGGTGTGAGTGAATTTAAGGCCAGCAAAGGTTGGTTTGAAAGATTTAAGAATCGTAGTGGCATACACAGTGTGGTAAGGCATGGTGAGGCTGCCAGTTCAAGTCCTAATGGAAAGGGATTCCCCTTCTAAACATTAACACCATCCACACTCTCCCCTCCTCCCATCCCATCAATCATCACCAGATCTTCATTAAAGCTAAGTGTCAATTATTCTATTGTTATTAATCTATTGTTATTGTAATTATTCTATTGCATTAAATTTAATATTTCATGTGGTAAAATTTTTTTTTTCATACTTTTGGGTGTCTTGCACGGATTAATTTGATTTCCATTATTTCTTATGGGGAAAATTAATTCGACTTTCGATGTTTTCGACATTTGATGAGCTCTCAGGAACGGATTAATATCGAATGTCGGGGGTCCACTGTACTGCAATCTTTTAAAAGTTTTAAACACTGGAATGTGGTAGATATTTCTATGGAAAATTCTTCATAAATCCAGCTCTTCAAAGAATGGGCTGCAAAAAAATCATAAGGAAACATTCAACATAATAAAAAAGAAAAAATAGCCTATTATTGATTATAAACATATATGTATTAGGCTTATAGGTAGTAGGTTGGTAGACAGCAACCACCCAGGGAGGTACTACCGTCCTGCCAAGTGAGTGTAAAACGAAAGCCTGTAATTGTTTTACATGATGGTAGGATTACTGGTGTCCTTTTTTCTGTCTCATGAACATGCAAGATTTCAGGCATGTCTTGCTACTTCTACTTACACTTAGGTCACACTACACATACATGTACAAGCACATATATACACACCCCTCTGGGTTTTCTTCAATTTTTTTTCTAGTTCTTATTCTTGTTTATTTCCTCTTATCTCCATGAGGAAGTGGAACAGAATTCTTCCTCCGTAAGCCATGCGTGTTGTAAGAGGCGACTAAAATGCCGGGAGCAAGGGGCTAGTAACCTCTTCTCCTGTATATATTACTAAATGTAAAAGGAGAAACTTTCGTTTTTCCTTTTGGGCCACCCTGCCTCGGTGGGATACGGCCGGTGTGTTGAAAGAAAGAAAGATGTATTAGGCTACCTGATCAGCCAGAGTGGTCATTGCTGGAGGGTCCAGTGGCATCAGTTTAATATCTTGAGCCAAACACACGCGTGATGCCTGAGCGACCGTCCTGAAGGCTTCGGCACCAGCCATAGCCTCGGGATCTTCTGATGATACTACCAGTGACACATAATCCCAACCCAGAAATCTCAGCATCTGATGAAATTATGTCCACAAATAACTCAGGAAAAACATATATTTCTTCAACTTAAAGATTATAATTATATACAAAACCTTATGCTAAACCCACATGGGCCATGCAGCACTGCTTCAATATCAAGATTGGTCAAGAAGTAAAATTACTGGAACAATGACAATGCAAGTGGACACTATACAGAAATTCAAAAATAAATTTGACAGATTAAGTCATGTCCATCATTTCAAGGTTAAGCAGCGGAAGCAAAAGCTCCCCTTTCCCCACAAGCTTAAAATAGATAATTACAATAGACTATACCTGAACCAATCCTTCTGCTTCCATATTAACAGGTGGGCTCATTTGCAATGCATAAGGAGAGTGTGCTTGTGATGGCCCCATGTTAATGGAGGTAATATTGAGAGAGGACAATATATCACCTGTTACTCTTGCTGTTTCTGGGTCAAGTGATGTTATGAAAGTTTGGATGTCACTGACATCAATGTTGATCCCAGGAAGAGAACTCTTCACAAGGCTCGTCACTTGGTTCATTGTGCGGATCTGTTTTGAAAAAAAAAATTAAGCTACAAAAAACATTATTTTATGTAATGTAAAGAAAGCACACCTAGTTATAAAATGAATTTTCTCAACAAAATTGTTAATAAACCTCATTCACTGCTTCTTCAGTGGAGAAGTGATTTGATGCTGGTGAAGGGTGTACCTATAGCTAAATAAACTTACTAAACTCACACGAGTCATACAGCAGGTAGTGACCAGGTTTGATCCAAGGAAGGAAAGGTTAACTCCAATTCTTAAGATGAAGGCACCTTTCTTGAAGGAACACACAATAAAGCTTCATTACCCTCATGCTTTTCAGAACTTAAATGTTTACTCGCAAAACTTTACACTACATTTATATGGATGACAATACACGACACCTTCGCACAACGAAGAAATTACAAGTTTTCCATCAATGAACATTTGCAGAATGAAACAATGATCAATTTTCAGTTACTCAGCATTTTTCTAAAGTCAGTAGTAATTTTTTTTCAAAATACCTTGGATGTTAATCAATATCAGGTAACTACCCACCCTAGATCCACAGGTGTCAAGAACAATTGCCCCAAGTGTTGTAGCTGGCAACAACTTCTGGTGCTGGTTGATCTGATCCACAGCCCAGAGAAATGCTTCCACCTCTTGCATGGTCTCTCCATTGATAGTCTCACTACAGTCTGCACCTGAACACCATACCAAAAAAGGTCAATTAAAATTCAACATAACATTTTTAATATGACAACACCTAACATCTTTTTTTTAACAAAGTGGCCATCTCCTACTGACAAAAAAATAAGGTAACATATGAATGATGATGAATATGATTCCTCTTTTTTTTTTTTTGGGGGGGGGGGCAATCCAACCTCAGTGGGAGACAGCCAGTGCACAGAAAAAAATATCAACCTTGTTAAATTCATTGCATTACATTCTGAATATGGCATTTGAAAACATGTAATATATGTACCATAGTACTGTCTACCATTTTACCCCAGACAACCAAGTCTGAAAATATTTATTTCTTGCACCATTTAAGAATAGACCTAAAACTGCCATATGTGGTCTTTCACACCTCGAAACATTAAATATGTTTGAAGGAATGCTTAAATTATTTACTATTCCAACTCACACAAATGCAGTATATATAAGTAAGTAAGTAAGTAAGTAAATTTATTCAGGTGTACACAAATACAGTTACATAGAATTATCATACATAGCAGCATATGTGTAGAGAACCTAGGATAACCCAAAAAAGTCAGACAGAGTGACTTATTTCCATTGGGGTCCATTTGTTTGCAATGGAAAACAAGTGTGAAGCAAGTCCAAGGGTTACCTAAAAAAAAGTGTATGAAAGTGGGGGTGAAATGGAAAAACAACAAAGCAAGATAAAAAAAAAAAGGCTAAAGAATATATAAACATTATTTAATGAAACATCAAAAATGGAAATGAAGAAAAATAAAATAATAAACTCTTTTATATAAACAATTATACTATAGTAGTATATTAAAAACAATAAGAAGTAAAATCTGCATGTAACCTTATGTACTAACAGTGAGAATGTCTGCTTTTAATTTACCAGTTCCCCATATGCCAGAGCAAACTTGTTGTGTGGGACTCATGAAATCATAATGACAACTGTAAACAATTCACAAAACAGTAGGGTTCAAACCCATGGCAAGCCAGTCATAAAGTCAGCAGGCCAGTGCACTATCCACTGTACCATTCCAATGAAATAGGTATGTTATGGGGCTATAGGACCCAACATGTATTTATAAGTAGCAGTTACTCTGGAATACCTAATTATATTGAATTGATGGGGACTTTGCTCTAAATGTCAGAAGGACTGATCAACCTTATGACTGAGAGGCAGCTGGGTCAAGCCTATTTTTCTCAATATAATAGGTTATACTATAGACACATAAACACACAATTTAAATAAGTAGTTTATAAAGTTGTATTTCTTTTTGTAAAAGTAAAATTAAGGTGTGGTAGAATTGTGGTAACTGGAGAATTGTGCTTGGCAACAGTCTTTTGTTTTGGTGGGAGGAGCTTAGCCAGGCTCTCTCTCTCTCTCTCCCTCTCACTGACTCTCTCTCTCTGTGGCTGACCTTCAACCTGGCAGAATCTCTGGGTCCTTCTTCTATCGTTTGGGGCATCATGTGTGCTCCAGGGGTGAGTTTTTATAATTTAAGTTGTGGCCACCATACCCAGGGTGATTAAAGTGTGTCAAAACACTGGTTAGCCCAGAGTTATGTCAAGAAGAGAGAAGGACAAAAGTTGTTGGAACACACCATGTGGAGAACAGGTATAGAGTGTGTAGATTTTGTTTTGAAAATGTGAGGCTGTGATTGTATATTCTGTACATATCTATTGAGAATACAGTTATATTTTTATAGTAGTAGTTTACATAACCTGTGAAGAGGGCTGGTGAAAGGGTATCAGAGACACTCAAGATGATCAGCCATGATGTAAGTATTACCCCTAGACAGATAAGGCCATTAAGTAAAAAGCTACCCCACACTAGAACATGTAGTGAGAACCTTACTATCAAAGTAATAAGGGACAAACCAACGTAACATGGTATTAGACCAACAAGGTACAGTGGATAGTGCACTGGCCTCCTTGCAAGTGTTCTGTGAGAGGGTGTGTTTGTTTGTTTGTTTGTTTTCCAAGTTTGCTCCCCACCATTGTAAACCTTCCTTTGACTACCAGAAGTGAGTACAAAAAATATCTACCTTCCAATGTTCTACATCTGCCCTCATTTGTGATTATCTTTATACACAACCCTTCCTACTTCCCCAACAAGCTCTTCCCATTAATAAAATATGCAAATAAACTGAGGTTATGGGAATGTCATCGGCATATTCATTTACGGTCATAGAAAGCTCTAAATAATGTACCCTACAAAAGTAGCAAAGTTAGTTGAATCACAAGAAACAGGGCTTGGGAAGTGAGCAAGTGGCCCCTATTTATCACACTTCGCAATTAATTTTTTGAAATCACGAATTATTTTAGACTGGATTGAAATTTAGTAAGTATTAACTCATAGCACAGTGGAAGCACATATGATTTTAACCAAAAAACCTGGATCGAATCCTGCACGGGGACAGATGTACAGCATGTGCAAGGTTACCTAGTAGTAACGAGAGACCTAAGAGAAAACTGACTGTCATGGGTCACATCCTGCAGAACCTGGGAAGGGTTCTAAGAGAAGTAAGTCATACTGCTTGGCTTTCTTGGGTTATCCTGGACTATTAATTTTCTGTGGTTTCTAGTCCAAATAAAGTCATCTTTGCATATTAATTATTTAGGATAATAATAAGTATCTGCATGCCTATGGCAAGACAGTGATAGTGTAAATGGTGGTGAAAGTGTTTCTTTTTCGGATCACCCTACCTCGGTGGGAGACAGCCAGCATGTTAAAAAAAAAAAAGTGTAGTTTGATAATCTGGTGAAGGCTACCCAACTCAGATTCAAGCACATATGACCCCTTGTTCACACACACTTGATGAATGGCTTTGTGGGTATAAGTAGGAGAGATTCATGCAGAACGAGGCATTCCTAGCTTAATTACACCCTAAGTCACACACATCGGCACTTACAAATGGGCTACCAAAGCATAAATTAAGACTTTATGACCAACAGCAGTAGCATATTCATGTGTGAAATGTAACCATCCATTGTATTATTGCTTTCTATGCAAACAATTCATCTGTAAGTTGAAACACCAGAAACACAATGTGCTTGTAAAGTGAAACACCAGAAATGCAAATTGTTTGTAAAGTGAAGCACCTGAAATGCAACCCATTTGTAAAGTGAACACCATGAACACAACTCATTTGTAAAGTGAAACACAATGAACACAACTCATTTGTAAAGTGAAACACCATGAACACAACTCATTTGTAAAGTGAAACACTATGAATACAACTAAATTGTAAAGTGAAACACTATGAGCACAACTCATTTGTAAAGTGAAACACCATGAACACAACTCATTTGTAAAGTGAAACACCATGAACACAACTCATTTGTAAAGTGAAACACCATGAACACAACTCATTTGTAAAGTGAAACACCATGAACACAACTCATTTGTAAAGTGAAACATCATAAACATAACTCTTTGTAAAGTGAAACACCAGAGGTAAAACTCATTTGTAAGTTGGGGGACTTCCAGTATTATGATGAGACAGACTTACCATCACGAGAAGGACGATGAATGGGGAAAAGTGCAGCTACAACTATGTGATCTGGAGACGGCAACAATACATGTTTCTGTGTCACTCCTTCCAATGTCACATTTCGGATCTGTTGAAAGCAATGGCTGTTTAACATATAATAAATTTAAAAACTTAATGTCAAATACTTTGTAGAACATGACATATACAGTACGTATAACTAGAAAAAGGGGGTTAAAAAAAAGTAATATGGGGGTCCTACTGCATATCTGCAGGGAATACGTTCCAAGGACCTGCCGTGGATGCTGAAACTGTGGATAGTAGCAAACCCCTATAAAAGTCCTCTAAATACCTATTATAAAGTTTAATTGATAAATTATGATAAAAGGTGATAATACTATAATTTTTTCACTGATATGACGCACTTTACGGCTTCTCTTAGGCTTTGAAGAATAGTCAGCTTTTCTACTTTTGTGCTTTGGGGCCATTATTATGCAAAATTAAGAGGTATTTTTAGACCACAGTAAACCTTGGATAACTGAAACTGTGGATACCAAATCCATGAATAAGGGGGTTCTACTGAATTCCTAATTTAACCCTTTGACTGTCGAGGTCGTATATATACGTCTTACGAGATACCACGTTTGACGTATATATACTCAAAGTATATGGAGTATATGGAGAAAAAGAGAGAGGTTAAGAGAGTGGTGAAGCAATGTAAAAAGAGAGCAAATGAGAGAGTGGGTGAGATGTTATCAACAAATTTTGTTGAAAATAAGAAAAAGTTTTGGAGTGAGATTAACAAGTTAAGGAAGCCTAGAGAACAAATGGATTTGTCAGTTAAAAATAGAAGGAGAGTTATTAAAGGGAGAGTTAGAGGTATTGGAAGATGGAGGGAATATTTTGAGGAATTGTTAAATGTTGATGAAGATAGGGAAGCTGTGATTTCGTGTATAGGGCAAGGAGGAATAACATCTTGTAGGATGAGGAAGAGCCATTTGTGAGTGTGGGGAAGTTCGTCAGGCAGTAGGTAAAATGAAAGGGGGTAAGACAGCCGGGATTGATGGGATAAAGATAGAAATGTTAAAAGCAGGTGGGGATATAGTTTTGGAGTGGTTGGTGCAATTATTTAATAAATGTATGGAAGAGGGTAAGGTACCTAGGGATTGGCAGAGAGCATGCATAGTTCCTTTGTATAAAGGCAAAGGGGACAAAAGAGAGTGCAAAAATTATAGGGGGATAAGCTTACTGAGTATACCAGGAAAAGTGTACGGTAGGGTTATAATTGAAAGAATTAGAGGTAAGACAGAATGTAGGATTGCGGATGAGCAAGGAGGTTTTAGAGTGGGTAGGGGATGTGTAGATCAGGTGTTTACATTGAAGCATATATGTGAACAGTATTTAGATAAAGATAGGGAAGTTTTTATTGCATTTATGGATTTAGAAAAGGCATATGATAGAGTGGATAGAGGAGCAATGTGGCAGATGTTGCAAGTATATGGAATAGGTGGTAAGTTATTAAATGCTGTAAAGAGTTTTTATGAGGATAGTGAGGCTCAGGTTAGGGTGTGTAGAAGAGAGGGAGACTACTTCCCGGTAAAAGTAGGTCTTAGACAGGGATGTGTAATGTCACCATGGTTGTTTAATATATTTATAGATGGGTTGTAAAGGAAGTAAATGCTAGGTGTTTTGGGAGAGGGGTAAGATTAAATTATGGGGAATCAAATTCAAAATGGGAATTGACACAGTTACTTTTTGCTGATGATACTGTGCTTATGGGAATTCTAAAGAAAAATTGCAAAGGTTAGTGGATGAGTTTGGGAATGTGTGTAAAGGTAAAAAGTTTGAAAGTGAACATAGAAAAGAGTAAGGTGATGAGGGTGTCAAATGATTTAGATAAAGAAAAATTTGGGATATCAAATTGGGAGGAGGAGTATGGAAGAAGTGAATGTTTCAGATACTTGGGAGTTGACATGTCGGCGGATGGATTTATGAAGGATGAGGTTAATCATAGAATTTGATGAGGGAAAAAAGGTGAGTGGTCGTTGAGGTATATGTGGAGTCAAAAAACGTTATCTATGGAGGCAAAGAAGGGAATGTATGAAAGTATAGTAGTACCAACACTCTTATATGGTGTTGAAGCTTGGGTGTAAATGCAGCAGCGAGGAGACGGTTGGAGGCAGTGGAGATGTCCTGTTTAAGGGCAATGTGGTGGTGTAAATATTATGCAGAAAATTCGGAGTGTGGAAAATTTAGGAGAAGGTGTGGAGTTAATAAAAGTATTAGTCAGAGGGCAGAGAGGGGTTGTTGAGGTGGTTTGGTCATTTAGAGAGAATGGATCAAAGTAGAATGACATGGAAAGCATATAAATCTATAGGGAAGGAAGGCGGGGTAGGGGTCCCTTCTCGAAAGGGTTGGAGAGAGGGGGTAAAGAAGGTTTTGTGGGTAAGGGGCTTGGACTTCCAGCAAGCGTGCGTGAGCGCGTTAGATAGGAGTGAATGGAGACGAATGGTACTTGGACCTGACGATCTGTTGGAGTGTGAGCAGGGTAATATTTAGTGAAGGGATTCAGGGAAACCGGGTTTTTTTCATATAGTCGGACTTGAGTCCTGGAAATGGGAAGTACAATGCCTGCACTTTAAGGAGGGTTTTGGATATTGGCAGTTTGGAGGGATATGTTGTGTATCTTTATATGTGTATGCTTCTAGACTGTTGTATTCTGAGCACCTCTGCAAAAACAGTGATAATGTGCGAGTGTGGTGAAAGTGTTGAATGATGATGAAAGTATTTTCTTTTTGGGGATTTTCTTTCTTTTTTTTGGGTCACCCTGCCTCGGTGGGAGACGGCCGACTTGTTGAAAAAAAAAAAAAAAAAAAAAAAAAAAAAAAAAAGTCTGTTGAGTATACCTGGTAAAGTGTATGGTCGAGTTATTATTGAAAGAATTAAGAGTAAGATGGAGAATAGGATAGCAGATGAACAAGGAGGCTTTAGGAAAGGTAGGGGGTGTGTGGACCAGGTGTTTACAGTGAAACATATAAGTGAACAGTATTTAGATAAGGCTAAAGAGGTCTTTGTGGCATTTATGGATTTGGAAAAGGCGTATGACATGGTGGATAGGGGGGCAATGTGGCAGATGTTGCAGGTGTATGGTGTAGGAGGTAGGTTACTGAAAGCAGTGAAGAGTTTTTACGAGGATAGTGAGGCTCAAGTTAGAGTATGTAGGAAAGAGGGAAATTATTTCCCAGTAAAAGTAAGCCTTAGACAAGGATGTGTGATGTCACCATGGTTGTTTAATATATTTATAGATGGGGTTGTAAGAGAAGTAAATGCGAGGGTCTTGGCAAAAGGCGTGGAGTTAAAAGATAAAGAATCACACATAAAGTGGGAGTTGTCACAGTTGCTCTTTGCTGATGACACTGTGCTCTTGGAGATTCTGAAGAGAAGTTGCAGAGATTGGTGGATGAATTTGGTAGGGTGTGCAAAAGAAGAAAATTAAAAGTGAATACAGGAAAGAGTAAGGTTATGAGGATAACAAAAAGATTAGGTGATGAAAGATTGGATATCAGATTGGAGAGAGAGAGTATGGAGGAGGTGAATGTATTCAGATATTTGGGAGTGGACGTGTCAGCGGATGGGTCTATGAAAGATGAGGTGAATCATAGAATTGATGAGGGGAAAAGGGTGAGTGGTGCACTTAGGAGTCTGTGGAGACAAAGAAATTTGTCCTTGGAGGGAAAGAGGGGAATGTATGAGAGTATAGTTTTACCAACGCTCTTATATGGGTGTGAAGCATGGGTGATGAATGTTGCAGCGAGGAGAAGGCTGGAGGCAGTGGAGATGTCATGTCTGAGGGTAATGTGTGGTGTGAATATAATGCAGAGAATTCGTAGTTTGGAAGTTAGGAGGAGGTGCGGGATTACCAAAACTGTTGTCCAGAGGGCTGAGGAAGGGTTGTTGAGGTGGTTCGGACGTGTAGAGAGAATGGAGCGAAACAGAGTGACTTCAAGAGCGTATCAGTCTGTAGTGGAAGGAAGGCGGGGTAGGGGTTGGCCTAGGAAAGGTTGGAGGGAGGGGGTAAAGGAGGTTTTGTGTGCGAGGGGCTTGGACTTCCAGCAGGCATGCATGAGCGTGTTTGATAGGAGTGAATGGAGACAAATGGTTTTTAATACTTGACGTGCTGTTGGAGTGTGAGCAAAGTAACATTTATGAAGGGGTTCAGGGAAACCGGCAGGCCGGACTTGAGTCCTGGAGATGGGAAGTACAGTGCCTGCACTTTGAAGGAGGGGTGTTAATGTTGCAGTTTAAAAACTGTAGTGTAAAGCACCCTTCTGGCAAGACAGTGATGGAGTGAATGATGGTGAAAGTTTTTCTTTTTCGGGCCACCCTGCCTTGGTGGGAATCGGCCAGTGTGATAATAAAAAAAAAAATACTCATAAATTCTAGCGGCTTCAAATCAAGCAGGAGAAAGCTGGCAGGCCCACATTTCAGAGAATGGGTCTGTGTGGTCAGTGTGCACCATATAAAAAAAAATCCTGGAGCATGCAGTGCATAATGAGAAAAAAAAAACTACGACCTTTTTTTTAATTAAAATGCTGACTTTGTGGTCTATTTTCGTGTAGTATTTATGGTTGTATTCTCGTTTTCTTGGTCTCATTTGATAGAATGGAAAACATATAGAAATAGAGGTGATTTTGATTGATTTTACTATAAAAAGAACCTGGAAATGGAGCTCAAAGTAGGGGAAATGTTTGATTTTTGCTGATGTTCAAAAGTAAACAAATGATGTCATTGTCCAATAAATGTCCAACTAGCCATTCTAATATGCAGTCATGAATGGGTTGATGTTATTTATACAATTATTATAGTATTGCAGTAGTCTGCGTAACAGTAAATCTTCTATTTTTTGCTTGAATAAAAATTCAAAATAGAAAGCATGAGTAATATCAGAGGGGCTTGGAGATGTGACTGATGAACCAAGAAAATGTTATTTTTGAGCCAGGAATGTCTGCATTGTTCATTCTGGACCTTATTTTGAAATTGTCATATTTTTTAATTTTCATGAAATTGGCCAAATTGCAAATTTCTGACCACGTTATTGGGTAGTTGAAATCGGTAAATGGGCAGCTTCTTGTACTCAATCGACAGAAAAAATGTTTTTCTAAAAAAATAGTTATGAGTCTGGTCGACTGGAACAATAGAATTAGCCGAAAATAGGGCTCAAAGTGGGCAAAATCGCTGAGGTTGCTAACTTCGCAAGAGCGTAATTCCGTCAGTTTTCCATCAAATTTCGTGTTTTTGGTGTCATTACAATCGGGAAAAGATTCTCTATCATTTCATAAGAATTTTTTTTTTTTTTTTTTTTTAATTTTGCGACACCAGGAGACACTTCAGGATTGGGGTTGCGACAGTCAAGGGGTTAACAACAAATGTGTCATCTAGCATTATTCGCCCAGACTGTATTGCTACAGTAAGTATACTCAACTAGCATCATTTACAAAATGTGTATGATTACAGCAAGTGTGCACTGCTATCATGAGCCATGGTCCACAGGATGAGAAACACCCAAATGGTACAAATTCAGGTAGGTCCTCAAAAATTTTTAAAATTATTCACTCATGACTTTCAAAGGGATTGTTGAGGCTGTGCAATCTGACATAACTGTGAGGGACTACTGGAGGTCATGTAACATCCTGAAAGCCGCCACAAACATTGATTTTATTACATTATAATTTGGTCTTGTTTTATGACTTATCATTTTATGACACTGTTTTGCTGGAACCTAACACTGTTGTAAAATGGGTCCTACCTGTACAGTACAGTACAGTGGAACCTCGGCACTCAAACAGCTCCGTACTCAAACAATTCGGTATTTGAACGCTATGTTCGGTAAACAAATCACTCGGTGATCGACTGTTTGCTCAGCACTCGTCCAAGCAAACATGACCTGCCAGAACTTTACTGTAAACTATTTCATGTTTCTTTGTATTTTTTGGTGCTTTTATAATACGGCCTCTCCTCACTTAGCGACGCACTCGTTTACCGACACCTTGGACTTACAACTAGCTCTCTGACCAGTATTCATACCTAAATAATGTACATTAGAGCTGATTTCCTCTGTTCTCTTTATTTCAATATACAGTACACTATTGTATATTGAAATAACATTTCTGGTATTAAAAAATACCAGAAATGCTATAAATGGTGCAAAGGTGACATTAAACAATATCAAAGATGACTGACACAAACTCGCTACCATTATATGTATGTATGCTTGTCACTTAGCAACGGATTTGTTTAACAACATGGTCTCAGGAACAGAGCTCCATCGTTTAGTGAGGAGAGGCTGTATTTGTATAAATAAGTCACCATGGGACCTAAGAGGGTTAGTGATAACAGCCAACCAAAAAGAAAATTGGTTGGGAAAAACTCGTTCTGTACTCCAACAGAGCGGCACTCGAACAGCCTTCTGGAACCAATTAAATTTGAATGCCGAGGTTACATTGTATGTATATGATACATCAATTTTGGCATAATGTGTGTATTTTTATGGTAGGATTGCTGGTGTCTTTTGTCTGTCTCATAAATATGCAAGATTACAGGTACATCTTGCTACTTCTACTTACACTTAGGTCACACTACACATACGTGTACAAGCATATATATACACACCCCTCTGGGTTTTCTTCTATTTTCTTTCTAATTCTTGTTCTTGTTTATTTCCTCTTATCTTCATGGGGAAGTGGAACAGAATTCTTCCTCTGTAAGCCATGCGTGTCGTAAGAGGCGACTAAAATGCCGGGAGCAAGGGGCTAGTAACCCCTTCTCCTGTATATATTACATACTAAATTTAAAAGGAGAAACTTTAGTTTTTTCTTTTGAGCCACCCCACCTCAGTGGGATACGGCTGGTACGTTGAAAGAAAAGAAGTGTGTATTTTTATACATTCTGAACATATAGTTAAAAAGTACTGTGTCTGCAAAGGTTACAATTTATAAAGTGTTGTTGTGTTGGAGATTTTCTTTCCTTTTGGGTCACCCTGCCTCAGTGGGAGACTGCCAACTTGTTTAAAAAAAAAAAAAAATAATGCTCGTAGGCTACTTAAAACTAGACATGGGTTACAGTGTGGTAAATTTTCATTACTCATTACTTTACCTTATTACTAAAGTGAGGATTTCAAGTGTGCTTTGCTACATATTACATAGCTTGAGTTGCAAACACTGACCTGTGTCTGCTCACTGGGGGTTTTAAGGCAGCTGGTACAAACACCTCGTGGACAACTAACTTCATCCGGAATGAGCGAGTCATCCATCACATGAAGGGTCGAGTTCTCCACTACCATGACCTGCCAGGCAATAAAGACTTCAGTAAAAATGTACAAAACCTGAGGACCATTTCAATGAAAAACAAAAGCCTAAATGTATTACAGTATTAAAATCAAGGTACAATTTGTTATTATTTTTCATGACTCATCCACACTGTAGAAAGCAAAGTATCTGGCACCCATTCCTATGCATAAGACTGACAAAATTACCAGCATTAGATAAATCATTATATTATTTATTGGTCTGGATTTATTGGTTGAGGAATTGAGATAATACAAGAGGAGCTGCAAAATTGTGTATATCCCAGCTGGGGCTGCAGGCATTTTAAAAATATGCCCCTGCTCCAATGATTTACTTCTCACTATTATTATATTCACAGGGAAGTGCTAAACCCATAGGGGTCACACACTGCTTTGGGAATAGGAAAAAATCAGTTTCACAACCACAGATGACTGGACTCAATATCTCTTACATACACTCCTTCCATACACAACAGTGAATTGTAATCCTAGGATTAAAAATGTGATCCTTTTGTTTTATAAATAGGATAGAAGACCCAGCCCTGGTAAGCTAGCTCATACTTAACAATGGATACATAGTACCAGAAAGGCAGCAGTTGCTTCAACATATACCAGGCAGAGGCATGATAGTAGCTGCATAATCACTGAACAAGTTATCATCTATGGAAAGATTGGAATGGAAAAAAGAATCAGAAGATTATTTAGAAAATTCATAATATTATTATGAATTATGATAAGAGAAAATGCTGAAAGCAGATGAAAAAGCAAAGAAAAGATGAAGACCAAAAAAAATATATACTGGCTTCTCTTCAATCTCTACTTTCCTACTACCATCTAGATTAAATTTCCTTTTTTTTCAACAAGCCAACTGTCTCTCACAGAGAGAAACACTTTCACCGTCATTCACATTATCACTGCCTTGACAGAGGAGCGCAGTTATAACAGTTCAGATGTCACTCCAGACAGAAATACCTCCAACCCTTCCTTTAGAGTGTAATTACACACACCTGATGAACAGCAACACTGAAGTTTCCAGAATCAGTCAAGATGTAGAGCCCAAGAGACGTTTCGGAGAGCTTCCCCGATGAGTCACTCCGTCGCTTGCCACCAGTGAGACTAGTGAGGCTGCGTGTTCCTGGCCCATTATGCTGGAACCTTAGTGGGGCTAAATAGTCTGACAGTAACTCCTTTCTGCCCATCTCCTGCAACCCTTCACACACACCACGACTGTAATAAAGAACCAGTTCGCTGTACAGTACAATACGTGTTATTTACCATAAAGGATCAAAATTGAGTTTTAGGAGCACGAAGTATAAAGTCTGCACTCTGAAAGGATGGTTGGGAATATTGCAATTCAAAGGGTCATTTAAACTGTGATGTACATACATTTATGGTAAGACAAACTATTGGTGGGAAACATTCAATGTAGTAAAAAAAAAAAAACAGGCAATTTTTTTATCTATGACCAGAGAGCAATATTTAAAATACACACAAAAAAAATCAAGTTAGGTTTGCCAGCAAATTAAGATCACTGTTAGGAATAAATCAGCAGACAGACTGGAGCTAAAATTTAGATTAAGCAACAAAGCCAATAAGCATATTCAAGATGCAAAATATATCAAATATTTTCTAATGAAGAATAAAAAGTCACAATACCATGACCGGAGCAATACACAAATAACCCACAAATAAGAGAAGAAACTTATGAATATATTTTGGTCTGACTAGTTAATGAGTTTCTTTCTCCTATGTGCAGGTTATTTGTGTAATCTTCTAATAAAGCCTCTAGAAGTACTGTTACCAGGAACTACCCGAACACACTGTTCTTAGCTCCGACTAACCCATACGAAGTCTCCCTTATTATCAACGCACTGAAAAACAAGGCAGGAGATTTAAATACCTTACCACCCTTTATATACAAAAAAGCGTCACAAGTACTATCACCAATCATTGCAACACTCTTTAACAAATCCATTGAATCCTCCACCTTCCCTACAGTTCTCAAAATAGCAAAGGTCACCCTGATCCATAAAGGAGGAGACCAAACAGAGTTGAATAACTATAGGCCAATATCCAATTTACACCCTCTCTCAAAAATCTCTGAAAAATTAATTCATAAACGAATCTACTCCTACCTCATCTCCCAAAACATTCTCAACCCCTGCCAATTTGGATTCAGGCCTAATAAAAATACTAATGATGCTATTATACACATGCTAGAACATATATACACTGCAATAGAGAAAAAAGAAGTCCCACTGGGGATCTTCATTGACTTACGTAAAGCTTTTGATACAGTTGACCATGACTTGCTCCACGTAAAATTGTCACACTATGGTATTAGAGGGCACTCCCTCAACTACCTCAAGTCTTACCTCAGCAACAGAAGCCAATATGTGTACGCAAATGGGGCAAGCTCTTCCGCACAACCAATTACAGTTGGTGTCCCACAGGGAAGTGTCCTTGGCCCTCTTCTCTTTCTCCTATACATAAATGACCTACCAAATGCTTTGCAATTACTCAGACCCACACTTTTTGCAGATGACACTACATACGTCTTCTCTCACCCGAGCCCAGTCACGCTAGCCAATACTGTAAACACCTAATTACAGAAAATATCTACCTGGATGAGGACTAACAAACTTACACTAAACATTGACAAAACCTACTTCATTCAGTTTGGTAACAGAGCTACAGATGTACCTCTTAACATAACAATAAACGGATCACCTATCACAAAGCTAACAGAGGGAAAATTCCTAGGAATCCACCTCGATAATAGACTCAAATTTCATACACATATACAACAAATTTCTAAGAAAATTTCCAAGACTGTAGGCATACTATCGAAGATACGGTACTATGTTCCACAGTCAGCCCTCCTGGCCCTTTATCACTCTTATTTACCCCTATCTCACCTATGGAATTTGTGCATGGGGCTCAACAACAATTAACCATCTCAGACCACTAATTACCCAACAAAAGGCTGCAGTTAGAATGATAACAAATTCTCACTACAGGCAACACACTCCGCCAATATTCAAAACACTCAACCTACTCACCATACAAAACATCCATACTTATTATTGCACCTATTACATACATAGAACACTTAACTCTGATATTAACCCTCCCCTCAAACATCTCCTTGCCAACCTCAACAGAACACATGACCATAACACAAGGCACAGATCACTCTTTGATTTTCCCTCGTGTCCATCTCACGCTATGCAAAAACTCAATGCACATAAAAGGCCCTAAAATCTGGAATTCATTACCTGTAAATATAAAAGAAACACTACCTGTTTATAAATTCAAGTCTCTTCTCAAAGATCACTTACTCACTCAAAACCAAATAAATACTGAATAACTGAACCTTATAAATTGTATATCCTATATGTTACTCACAATTATATCACACAAATGTTAAACCTAGGACCCAATCTAACTTTATTATTTTTTTTAAATACACTACCTAACAGAATACTCCATTCGACTGAATGTACAGCAATGCAAGCAACCATATGGCCTGTCTTTGTAATACTCATTTGTGCTTTATAGTTATCTGTTTACAATAATGTTTTATCACTGATTTCATCATTGCTTAGTTAATCTTAAGTTAATTTTAAGCCAGCCCGTAATGCTATGCATATAAGTGGCTTTGGCATGCTGCTCTTACCTGTATTTTTTGTACCTCTGTATGTATGCTTAAATTACTAAATAAATAAATAAATAAATAAATAAATAAATTAAGACAGACAGACAGACAATATTTTCACTATGAACTGAAGATCCTTTATTTTTTTTTTTAACATGTTGGCCATCTCCCACCAAGGCAGGGTGACCCAAAAAGAAAGAAAATCCCCCCCCCTGCAAAAAAAAAAGAAAATACTTTCATCATCATTCAACACTTTCACCTCACTCATACATAATCAGTGTCTTTGCAGAGGCACTCAGATACAACAGTTTAGAAATCCCTCCAAACTGCCAATATCCCAAACCTCTCCTTTATATTAATGTAAGATTACTGATAAGGTAACAAGAGGATCCCAATGGAAATAAGTCACTCTGTCTGACTTGTCTGGGATATCCTAGGTTCTCTACACATATGCTGCTATGTATGTTAATCTATGTAACTGTAATTGTGTATACCTGAATAAAATTACTTACTTATCCTTAAACTGTCACTGACGGGCTTATAATCAACCTCCTGAGACGTAAAATAAACATTGGAATTAGAACATCACCAAACTGTGTTGCAACGAAGCTCTGAACTCAAAAATACGTTTAAATCCATTTAGATGTTCTGGTACCCTGAACAGTAATTTTATTCAATTTTGTTATTAATTTTAAATTTTCTAAGACTACAAATTTTGGCAACCTGGAAAGTAAAAATATGTTACTGGTCTCACTGTCCCAACAAATTTTGACTGCTCTTTGTATAACATTGGAATACTACATGGAAACAAACCACTGAAAATGCCAGATCAAGAACACCTGATTAGTTTTGTGCAGTCCACACACAGCAGAACCTCAAACAGCTCCTTACTCGAACAAAGCTCAGTGTTCGACCAAACAAACACGACCTGCCAGAACTTCACTGTAAATTATTACGTGTTTCTTCGTATTTTTTGGTGTGTTTTTTATTTGTATAAATAAATCACCATGGGGCCTACGAAGATTAGTGATAACAGCCAACCCAAAAGAAAATTGGTTGGGAAGAATTTGTTCAATGCTTGAATGGATCGGCACTCAAACAGTCTTCTGGAATGAATTACGTTTGAGTACCGAGGTTCCACTGTACTACTATATCTTAAGTGGAAGATGTGTCTCAGGTGTTTTTATTCTTTCAATGCTCACTAGGTGGCCCGGTGGCTAAAGCTCCCGCTTCACACACGGAAGGCCCGGGTTTGATTCCCAGCGGGTGGGAACATTTCGATGCATTTCCTTACACCTGTTGTTCTGTTCACCTAGCAGCAAATAGGTACCTGGGTGTTAGTCGACTGGTGTGGGTCGCATCCTGGGGGACAGATTGAGGACCCCAGTGGAAATAAATTAGACAGTCCTCAATGACGCACTGACTTTCTTGGGTTATCCTGGGTGGCTAATTCTCCAGGGTTAAAAATCCGAACGAAATCTTATCTTATCACTATGGTAATTTGTTCATATACATAGCTATGCATTTTATAGTATACATAATTTCTTTCCACGCTGGAACATTGTGTATACAATACACAGAAAATATAAATTTAAACAAAGAGTAAGAAAGGCTAGGCCTAGGGAACTAACTGCCCTTAATGAGAAACTACACATAGTCAGAAAAAGCAGGTACAGTAAGTGGGCTCCAGAACTGATCCAAACATACTTCAAATGCTGATTATTATCCAGAGGCTTAAATTACTAAAAAGATTATAAAAAAAAACACTTGCACAGCTGTTTTACCAAGAACTTTTATTAGCTTGCATGAGTGTTGTATTAGAGAATTCTATTACTATATACGAATATTTTTTTTAATGTGTTAGCCATTTCCCACTGAGGAAGGTTGATCGAAAAAGAAAGAAAAACCCAAAAAGGAAGAAAAAACTTTCATCATCATTCAACACTTTCACCATCATTCATACATAATCACTGTCTCTGCAGAAACACTCAGATACAACAATTTAGAAGTCCCTCCAAACTGCCAATATCCCAAACCCCTCCTTTAACCCTTTGACTGTTTTCGACGTATAAATACGTCTTACGAGCCAATGTTTCTGACGTATATATACTCAATAATTCTAGCGGCTTCAAATCAAGCGGGAGAAAGCTGGTAGGCCCACATGTGAGAGAATAGGTCTGTGTGGTCAGTGTGCACCACATAAAAAAAATCCTGCAGCACACATTGCGTAATGAGAAAAAAAAAACTCTGATCGTTTTTTTGGAATAAAACGCCGACTTTGAGGTGTATTTTCGTATAGTATTTATCGTTGTATTCGCGTTTTCATGGTCTTAGGTGATAAAATGGAAAACATATTACAGAAATAGAGATGATTTTCATTACTTTTACAATGAAAACGACCTTGAAACTGACCTCAAAGTAGCGGAAATGTTCGATTTTTACCAATGTTCAAGAGTAAATAAATCACACCACACGTCCAATACACGTCAACTGGGGAGTCTAATATTCTTTCACTAGTGCACTGATATTATTTATACCATTTTTACAATAATGCAGTCGTCTGCATAACAGTAAATTTTGTATTTTTTTGTATGAATAAAAAATCAAAATAGAAAGCAATAATAATATAAGAGGGGCCTAGAGATGTGACTAATGAACAGAGCATATGTTATTTTAGTGCCACGAATGTCTATCTTGTTTATTCTGGACCCTATTTTGAAATTGACATCTTTTTTAGTTTGTGTGAAATTGGCCAAATTGCCAATTTCTGACCACCATATTGGGTAGTCCAAATTAGTAAATGGGAGGTTTCTTGTACTCAGCTGATAGATAAAATGGAGTTCTAAAGAAATAGCTATGAGTTTGGTCAACTGGAACAATGGAATTGGCTGAAAATAGGGCTCAAAGTCGGCGAAATCGCCGATACGCATATGTCGCAGAAACTGCTAACTTCGCGGGAGCATAATTCCACGAGTTTTCGACCAAATTTCGAACTTTTGGTGTCATTACCATCGGGAAAAGATTCTCTATCATTTCATAAGAAAAAATAATTTTTTTTTTTTCAAAAATTGAGCGACATAGAATGACAGTTTCAGAGAGGGGCCTGAAACAGTCAAAGGGTTAAAGTGCAAGCAATATACTTCTGATTTCCAGGACTATTACTATTACTATAATTAAAACATTACAACTGAATTATACATAAAATTGTTTATGCTGCATTTTTACAAGCAAAAAAATATATTTAAAATACTTCTACATAGACTCCTTTCTCAGGATGACAAACGTAATATAATATAAAAAAATTTATATGGTCTTATTTCACATTGTTTTTTCCTCACCTATTTCTACATTTTAGCCTCCAAGCATTCTTCATTGCTGTGAAAAATGTAAACAAGCCATGAATTGCAGGAAGAGCAGCTCTTGTCCGAGCTAAAACATCCAGGTCATCATCTCGCATACGGAAGGAGCGGCAAACAGGCAACTGCTTGGGCGGAGCACCATCATTGTTTGATAGAGAGAAGGGCAGTCCATCTAGGTGGCATCCCTTTTCTTGTTGTAGATAGCCTAATACCCACTCATTTTCTGAAGTTTGCTGGGAAAAAAATTACTGTGCACCTTCTTAAAGAGGAACAAAGAAAGGGGGATTTAATCATAACACACAAAATACTAGAGAGCACTGACAGCTACAAGGATGACCTCTTTACTAGAGATGCAACAAGAATAAAGGTACATAGCTGGAAATTACACACCCAAATGAACCACAGTTAAATTAGGAGGTACAGTGGTCCCTCGTTTTTCGTAATTAATCTGTTCCTGGAGGAGCTACTGTAAACGAAATTTATGATTTGTGAATCAATTTTCCCCATAAGAAATAATGTAAATACAATTAATCCGTTCCTGACACCCAGAAGTATTAAAACAAAAAAAATTTTTACATGAAATATACATGTAGTACATAAACAATACAATGGGAAATGATGAATGAAACATTAACAGCATAACACTTACCTTTATTGGAGATTCTTCTTAGTGTATGGGAGACTGGAGGAGGAGAGAAAGTGGATTGTTTATAGTTTGGAAGGGGAATCCCCTTCCAGCAACACCTCGGTACCAATTGCTTTTCTGGGGTTGCTTGCTTCTATGTACTCCTGGAATTCATGCACATATTTTTCATATTTGGCAGTTTGGAGGGATATGTTGTGTATCTTTATACGTATATGCTTCTAAACTGTTGTATTCTGAGCACCTCTGCAAAAGCAGTGATAATGTGTGAGTGTGGTGAAAGTGTTGAATGATGATGAAAGTGTTTTCTTTTTGGGGATTTTCTTTCTTTTTTGGGTCACCCTGCCTTGGTGGGAGACGGCCGACTTGTTAAAAAAAAAAAAAAAAAAAAATTCAGCTGCCTTGTGGTCTGAACTGGCAGCCTCACCATGCCTTACCACACTGTGCATGCCAGTACGGTTCTTAAATCTCTCAAACCAGCCTTTGCCGGCCTTAAATTCACTCGCATCACCACTAGTTGCAGGCAATTTCTTTACCAAATCGTCATGCAACTGCCTAGCCTTTTCACAAATAATCGAAGTCATAAGAGTATCTCCTGCAAATTGTTTCTCATTTATCCACACCAATAATAACTTCTCAACCTCTTCGAGTACTGGTGATCTCATTTTTGTCAGCATAGTTACCTCCTTTGCAACAACAGCGTCCTTGATTTCCTTTTTCTTGGCCACTATGGAACATAAGGTTGTGTAGGGTTTCTTATACATCCTGGCCAGTTCGGCCACACTTGTACCACTTTCATATTGTTCAATGATGGTTTTCTTATATTCAATCATATTTCTCACCTTCTTTACCACAGGGTTGGCACTAGGAGCTTTCTTTGGAGCCATGGTAGCTTATTTAGTACCTGCAAGCACGAAAATAAATGGATTATTACGAAATATTTCGCTGGAGCACGTGAGGGGACCTTCGCTCACTGGTAAACAATGCCAGACTGGCTGCCGCCACGGCTTACGCCGTGGGTACGCGTCCCGTACGAACTACGACTCGTGAGTCAACTTATGAAAAGCGAGTCCATGTTTATACGAAAATACGTACCCCTATGATTGGCAAAATTTACGATTGCCGGGAACTACGAAAAGCGAGGGACCACTGTAATTATTCAACACAAGTGGCAAATAAGTGGAATGAGCTGATCAAAAACACAGTTGAAGTGAATTCCATACGAAGTCAAAAAATAGGCAACAGGATTTAATAATGTCATCAAAAAGCCTGCACTTAGATAAGAATGGATAAAATAACATTTTGGTCCATCCTGAACAATTGTCATATCACAACTGACAATGGTCCTGGATGGACCAAAATGCCATTCAAACATTTTTCTCCTGCATGCTGGTTTTTGGAAAACTGCTCCAGCCAAAGTATTGTGACTGTTTATTCTTTAATTACAACAGTTGGTCAAAAGTTAACAAATGAGATGCTACATACACCAGTTAACATTAGTGGCTACCTTCTAGGAAAGGCATAAAAGGTCTGGAGATTGTATTCATTTCCTTAAATTACAGTTTTATCAATATCATTTTCCAGGAAAGGGTGGACTATCTAATCCAGATTTAATCCCAGCCTAGCATTCATTATTGTTGTGACTGAACTGTATTTTTTAAATAAACTCCACTGACTCAGTTATTAATTCATTTTCATATGTACATTGCATTATAGGACACTTCAGCATGGAAATAACTGCAAAAACTGTACACCAACATTCATATTTAAAACTCCTTAGCTGTTAGGATTGACAATAGAATTTATCTCTATGGTAAGGTGGACTGGAAAGAGACAATGTGTAGATCACTGATACTCCCAGCATAATAAACAAAAAACCCTAACCTTTCATTACATTTAACCTGGAGTGATTTTTATTCCTTAAGATAGTGGTGAGGGCCAAGCCAGACATAGTAAATCACCAGTCTAGGCTTTGGAGTCTTCCTCTTGTAAATTAAATAACTGCAACCATAAGATGTTCCTTAGCTTGGCTGGTAGTGCGCACAGCTCATACATTAAGGGCCATGGTTTGATCCCCGGTACGGATGGAAACATTTCGGTGTATTTCCTTAAGACACCTGCTGTCCCTGTTCACCTAGCAGTAAATAGGTGTTAGCCAACTGGTGTGGGTTGCATCCTGGCAACAAATTTAACCTAATTTGCCCAAAATGCTCTGCATAATCAACGGCTTTCTATACAATATGCCACTGATGTCAGCTAGGTCTGTGTAAGTTGTATCACATGTAGAAATAAAGATTATGATTATTATTATTATTAAGGGAGTGCAGGCTAAACAGGCTTACAGGATTTTTCACATGCCTTAAGCTATATCAACCATTAACAGGGACTAAGACTTAAAGCTAATCCCCATAACCCCATTAACCATCAAATTCAAATAGGTATGGTAATTATACACACTTCAAACATTTTTCACAATATACCTCTAAATTGACATCCTGCAGTCTTTTCCAATGATCTTCAAATTCTTCAAGAGCAGGAGGAGAATTAGCAATAAGAAATAAGCCCTTAGTAAACCTGGTCACATCACGAACTTGGTCCAGCTCATCCTCCAGAAGGTCAGAAAACAACCAATACACCTTTCGAGTCTGGGAGCTTTCAGCCTTGATAGCTACAAAGATCTGAAATAAAATAATCTGAGTTATGAATATGAAAAGATATAGATGGGGTTGTAAGAAAAGTAAATGCGAGGGTCTTGGCAAGAGGTGTGGAGTTAAAAGATAAAGAATCACACACAAAGTGGGAGTTGTCACAGTTGCTCTTTGCTGATGACACTGTGCTCTTGGGAGATTCTGAAGAGAAGTTGCAGAGATTGGTGGATGAATTTGGTAGGGTGTGCAAAAGAAGAAAATTAAAAGTGAATACAGGAAAGAGTAAGGTTATGAGGATAACAAAAGGATTAAGTGATGAAAGATTGGATATCAGATTGGAGGGAGAGAGTATGGAGGAGGTGAATGTATTCAGATATTTTGGAGTGGGGCGTGTCAGCGGATGGGTCTATGAAAGATGAGGTGAATCATAGAATTGATGAGGGAAAAGGTGAGTGGTGCACTTAGGAGTCTGTGGAGACAAAGAATTTGTCCTTGGAGGCAAAGAGGGGAATGTATGAGAGTATAGTTTTACCAACGCTCTTATATGGGTGTGAAGCATGGGTGATGAATGTTGCAGCGAGGAGAAGGCTGGAGGCAGTGGAGATGTCATGTCTGAGGGCAATGTGTGGTGTGAATATAATGCAGAGAATTCGTAGTTTGGAAGTTAGGAGGAGGTGCGGGATTACCAAAACTGTTGTCCAGAGGGCTGAGGAAGGGTTGTTGAGGTGGTTCGGACATGTAGAGAGAATGGAGCGAAACAGAGTGACTTCAAGAGTGTATCAGTCTGTAGTGGAAGGAAGGCGGGGTAGGGGTCGGCCTAGGAAAGGTTGGAGGGAGGGGGTAAAGGAGCTTTTGTGTGTGAGGGGCTTGGACCTCCAGCAGGCATGGGTGAGCGTGTTTGATAGGAGTGAATGGAGACAAATGGTTTTTAATACTTGACGTGCTGTTGGAGTGTGAGCAAAGTAACATTTATGAAGGGGTTCAGGGAAACCGGCAGGCCAGACTTGAGTCCTGGAGATGGGAAGTACAGTGCCTGCACTCTGAAGGAGGGGTGTTAATGTTGCAGTTTAAAAACTGTAGTGTAAAGCACCCTTCTGGCAAGACAGTGATGGAGTGAATGATGGTGAAAGTTTTTCTTTTTCGGGCCACCCTGCCTTGGTGGGAATCGGCCAGTGTGATAATAAAAAAAATAAATAATTAAAAAAAAGAGTCTGAGACAGGCAGTGCAGTATCCCCCCCCAAGGAAAAGCAAGGGCCCCATGAGTACACTAAGAGAGAACATACATAGTAAGTATCAGAGGACTAAGACTGTTCAACTGCCTACCAGCATACATAAGGGGGAGTACCAATAGACCCCTAGCTGTTTTCAAGCGGGAACTGGACAAGCATCTAAAGTCAGTACCTGACCAGCTGGGCTGTGGTTCATAAGTTGATCTGTGTGCAGCCAGCAGTAACAACCTGATTGATCAGGCCCTGATCCACCAACCCCTTGAGGCCTGGCCACAGACTGGGATGCAGGGGTGTTGACCTTTGGAATGCCCTCAAGGTATACTCAAGGTATTCTTAGAAGTCCACAAGTACCAGTAAGTACAAAATAATCAACCTAAGAACATATCTGAATGGAAATATAATACTCTATCATTAAGATGGTATATAATGCTGACAAGCTGATAAAACAAGTGCGACACTTAGGTATCTTTATTGACAAAATGTTTCACCTGCACAGTGGCTTCATCAGCTGAATGCAGAGGGGATTACAATACTGAAGACAGTAGAAGTGGAGAGGTGATCAATCCCTTAAACTTGATATATGATTAGTGTTCATCAAAGGTGAGGGAGTGATCACCTCAAAATTACCACTCTACTTCTACTGTCCCCAGTACTGTAATTGCCTCTGTATTTAACTGATGAAGCCTGCTGAACAGGCAAAACTGACTGTGTTTCCCTTACGCAAGTGTTGTATGAAAACAGTGATAACAGCAAAAACGAGTGGTAAAAGCATTGAACATAATGAACAATGGCTCAATTGAAAGCCAACAAAAATGTGGAACACCAAAATGTGGGTGGTGTATGTGCAGGGTTCTCCTACCTGGAGTATAATTGGAGAGGGTTGCGGGGAATCAACGCTCCCATGGCCCAGTCTGTGACCAGGCCTCATGGTGTATCAGAGCCTGATCAACCAGGCTGTTACTGCTGGCTGCATGCAGACCAATGTATAAACCACAGCCCAGCTGGTCAGGTACTGATTTTAGGTGCCTGTCCCATGCCTTCTTGAAAACAATCTGGACAAGGTTTTGACAAGTGCAACATATGGGTATGTTTATTTGTAGGCTTTTCACCATCTGGATGGCAAAGCATCTACAAATAGATACCCAGATGTTGCATGTGTCTAATTCTTCATCTTGTCGTTACTGTATACGATTCATGTACAACATAAATAAAGTACATACAACAGGGCAATCCAAGATAAACATAATGCTAATATTAAAAACCTAAATAAACTCTCATATAGGCCCCTCTGCATTTAATCCTTGCCTCAAAACAGACACTAATAAAATATAATGATCAAAAAAATGTATCTACTGTGGGCTCACTTGCAGTTAATACTGAAAACAAACAGCAGTTACCTGAGAAAGAATGTTACCACTAGCCACTACCACCACTCCAGAAGTCTGCCCATCATTCAAAGCTGCTCGCACCAAGTTTCTATATTTCAGCGCCGCCTGCAAACATAGAAGAATTTATATATCATGTTATGCATAACTGGGCATTGCAACACTACTACTGCTATTGAAATTTTATCACTTGCATATGTACTGTCACTGTCCATAAATCAATAATTAATAGACATTTATTGAGTTTAAAGCTATTTTGCCATACCTCTGTTGAAGAGTGATCTTGTGAGCTTGTATCATGCAGCTGTGATGGTATTCTCACCACATTGCTAAGGCAGATATTATGTGCTGTTGCCATCTCAGTAACAACCTAGTGGAAATCGCACATTCAATGCTTCTATTAAGTGATCACAATTTTATTGTAAGGAAGGGGAGAACTAAACCCATAGGTGTCATATAGGCCTGGGAAATGAGAAGCACTTAGGTTCAAGCTAAGAAAGGTATAAGTCCTGTTCCTTGGATTAAGAGACCTTTAAAGGCATCAAGACAAATCCCTTGAGGGAATAATGAAAATAAAAATTTGAGTGACTAAGATATTTGCTAAAACTTTTTCTTATTATTGCGCTCACAATGTAATTTGAGAATGCTATTATGCAAAATTATCCTATTATTATTAAACTATAGATATTTATATTAGCAGAGTCTGATGTAGGAAAGAGCAGTGATAGTCTAGACAATGGGATAGTTGGACAGTCAATTTCCTGAATGTGAGACTTGCATGCTCAAGATTCAGGTGAATGTATAGGATGACATCATTGCCTACCACTGTGCTTGGAGCTCCTTAACAGGATTTGTCATCTAGGTATGATCTAATAAAAAATCATAATGCCTAATGCCCATGCAGTTTGATGATCATCTTTCATATGCTCAGAAACTTTAAATGTCAGATATGTCTGCCTAAGAATCCTTAATCCATAAGTCATTCGTGTCACAAGAAGTAACTAAGATGCCAGGAGCAAGGGGCTATTAACCCCTTCTCCTGTATAAATTACTAATGTAAAAAGAAAATAGCAATCTGTACAGAAGTGAGGGAACCATATGAAATACTTAAGAACTTTTACAGATACATTAATTACAGCACTGTACATACATGAAAACTCTGAAAGAAGGGTGAGGAAGGTGCAGATAGAGAGGTACTCCTAATTGTGACATTAGTACACCTCTGACAAGACAGCAGTTGAATGACTGATGATAAATGTGTTTTCTTTAGGTCACCCTACCTTGGCAGGAGATTGTCAGAGATCAAAATAAAAACAATTTTTTACCTCGATGGCCATTTCTCACCAACTCAGGGTGACCCAAAGAAAATATATTTACCATCATTTAAGTATAACTTGGATAAGCTGCAGTGGCAAATAGCTAGTGAAATCAATGCTGTTTGTAACTTGTTTTAATTTTGTATTAATGATATAATTACCTTGTTAACTGGGTATTTTTCTACCAAAAACATTACTATTATTATTTCAGTATTTCACAAATCCTCTTGGGAACAGAAAGTATATTTATTTAGACTAAATAATTACACATTTGGCTAACCTGTAATTTTTTTTTACAGCTGTAAGCAAATGTATAATATTCTGTCTTACTACAAAAATGCATCAAATAACAGTGGAATAACTAACCTTAACAACAGAGAGAGAGTACTCCTCGTCAGCTAGCAATATGCTGGTAGCTTCCCACTTGAGCATACTCAAAAACTTCATCACTGCCTGGTAGGAAAAACAGTGGTTACTGATATCCTGTGTTAGTCTCTTATTAGTAAAATCATCAAAGCAAATTCACAAGTGGCAAAAATTATTTTTTGCCTAAATTCTAAATAAAATATTTTACATTCAGCTCCACTTTCCTCGATCTTGAGCTGCATTTGATTAAGAAAACATTTTTTTAACATGCTGGCTGTCTCCCACTGAGGCAGGGTGACCCAAAAATGAAAGAAACACTTTCACCATCATTCACACATAATCACTGCCTTTTGCAGAGATAGGATTTCATTTGGATTTCTAACCTCGGAGGGTTAGCCACCCAGGATAACCCAAGAAAGTCAGTGCCTCATTGAGGACTGTCTGTCTTATTTCCATTGGGGTCCTCAATCTTGTCCCCCAGGATGTGACCCACACCAGTCGACTAATACCCAGGTACCTATTTGCTGTTAGGTGAACAGGACAACAGGTGTAAGGAAACGCATTGAAATGTTTCCACCCGCTGGGAATCGAACCCGGGCCCTCTGGGTGTGAAGAGCTTTGCCAGCCAGGCCACGAGGCATGCAGATATGACAGTTCAGATGTCACTCCGAACAGTAAATATCCCAAACCCCTCCTTTTTTGTCGGATTATTAACCCTTGAGGATAATCCTATTTCAGGGCATAGAAATGTAACTAAAGATGCTGAAATAATGAAATGCAACCCACCACAGGGAAGTATCCTCAGTCCCACCTCTTCAACATCTAATCAATGCTTTATTAAACTCTTTGCCTAAGCAATCTAATCAATATATCAGTTATATGATTAACTTTGTTGGTGATATATGATTTCCACCACCAGAGATGCAAACACTTTGTAGGGGACCCACAGACGTGATCTGTGCCTCACCTGCCCTCGTTCTTCTGGTGGTATGAGCACAGGAGCAGCAACATTGACGACAGGAACATGGTACTTCTGCAGCAGGCGTGCCAGGTTCTGGTGGGTGGAGGTGATACCTGTAAGATCTACCACACCCAAGGCAAGGAGAGTATCATTACTGAGAGGAGAACATGCTGATGGTCCCTCACGCACCACTGGGAACACCTCCCCTAAGCCAGCCACAGCTCTGTCTCCATGACCGCAGGAGTCATATACATGCAACCCTGTAATATCAATAAAATTAATGTAATTTCTTTTATACCTTTCATGGGGAGATGCTTTGATGTTTGTGAAGGGCTCTTGATCTAAGGAATTAGAATTACTCTCATCTTCCTTGGATCAAACCTCAAGTGCTGTATGACTCATACATGTTTACTGCTTCCATAATACCAATAGTAAAAATAATTATTATTACTGTATTATATTCATTAGGAACACTAAACAGTAGCTACTGTAATCAGATTTGATCCAAGAAGACAGTAGCTTAATTTCCTTAGATCAAGAGTACCCCCATGAAGAGCCAGCAAAGAACAGCAATCTATTTTCTTACTTCAAGCCCCATATAATCTACAGCACTCCAATTAGGCAAAACCAACTTGTAGCACAAGTGACAGAATGTTCAGCTCACAACTGAAAGGTCCTGGGTTCGACCCCCGGGAAAGATGATGTACCTTTACCTGGAGTTTACCTGGACAGTTCCGGGGGTCAACGCCCCTGCGGCCCGGTCTGTAACCAGGCCTCCTGGTGGATCAGAGCCTGATCAACCAGGCTGTTACTGTTGGCTGCACGCAAACCAACGTACGAGCCACAGCCCGGCTGGTCAGGTACTGACTTTAGGTGCTTGTCCAGTGTCAGCTTGAAGACTGCCAGGGGTCTGTTGGTAATCCCCCTTATGTATGCTGGGAGGCAGTTGAACATTATTATTATTATATTATAATCAAGGGGGAAGCGCTAAACCCGGAGGATTATACAGCGCCTGGGGGGGGATGTGGAAGGCATTCAGGCTTAATTCGGGGAACTGGAGCACAGATCCAATTCCCTAAATCAAGAGCCCCTCACCAACATCAAGGAACCTTCCTTGAGGGGAGGCAGTTGAACAGTCTCGGGCCCCTGACACTTACTGTATGGTCTCTTAACGTGCTAGTGATGCCCCTGCTTTTCATTGGGGGGATGTTGCATCGTCTGCCAAGTCTTTTGCTTTCGTAGTGAGTGATTTTCGTGTGCAAGTTTGGTACTAGTCCCTCTAGGATTTTCCAGGTGTATATAATTATGTATCTCTCCCGCCTGCATTCCAGGGAGCACAGGTTCAGGAACTTCAAGCGCTCCCAGTAATTGAGGTGTTTTATCTCCGTTATGCGCGCCGTGAAGGTTCTCTGTACATTTTCTAGGTCAGCAATTTCACCTGCCTTGAAAGGTGCTGTTAGTGTGCAGCAATATTCCAGCCTAGATAGAACAAGTGACCTGAAGAGTGTCATCATGGGCTTGGCATCCCTAGTTTTGAAGGTTCTCATTATCCATCCTGTCATTTTTCTAGCAGATGCGATTGATACAATGTTATGGTCCTTGAAGGTGAGATCCTCCGACATGATCACTCCCAGGTCTTTGACGTTGGTGTTTCGCTCTATTTTGTGGCCAGAATTTGTTTTGTACTCTGATGAAGATTTAGTTTCCTCGTGTTTACCATATCTGAGTAATTGAAATTTCTCATCGTTGAACTTCATATTGTTTTCTGCGGCCCACTGAAAGATTTGGTTGCAGAAAACAATTAACACACACACACACACACACACACACACACACACACACACACACACACACACACAGGGCAAATAGGCATACATGCTTACTCTATTATTAATGTAAAAAATCACATACCGTATTTCGCAGCTTATTAGAAACTTATGACGGCATTTTGGCCCGATTTGGACATTAGCTAGTGACTGGTTAATGGTCCAAGTCGGACCGAAACGTCGTCATAAGTCTCATTCACTTATGTTCCAGTTGTGTCTAATTATTTTCGTTGTGATTAACCAGGCCTCAACACTTCAAGTGTTGCTTGGCTCTGAACATGCTGCTCGACCCAAACAAATTGTATTATTTTCGCTGATAAATTACACACATGTGCAAAACTTGGGTATCTTTATTGAGGAAACGTTTCGTCACACCATGGCTTCATCAGACCATACAGTCAAACTCCTCCTGTTCCTCACCATTCTCCTTTGTATGGACTGATGAAGCCAGTGTGGCGAAACGTTTCCTCAGTAAAGATACCCAAGTATAGCACGTGTCTAATTTATCAACTTGTCAGTTTTCTGAACCATTTATCTACACTATTTTCGCTGTGTATCCCATGAAGTTTTAAGCCAGCCCGTAATGCTATGCATATAAGTGGCTTTGGCATGCTGCTCTTACCTGTATTGTTTTGTACCTCTGTATGTATGCTAAATTACTAAATAAATAATAAATAATAAAGAAGTAGACAGCTTGTATATATCGTAAAATATAAAATAATTGATTTTCGCCAAGGATAATCCTTTAACATAAGTCAATTTGACCTTTCTCGGAGAGTTATCCTTGGTAATTAGTGTGTTACTATGTAAGACAATTGTAATCAGGCAATACTTGTGTAACTGTACTTTTGTAAATTGTAACTACAAATAAACTTGCTTACTAGCCATATTTATATCTCTCGGTGTATGCAAGTTTATTTAGGCACAGATACACACACACACAAGTACAATTGTCATGCATAGTGTAAATTACGTAGGATCACCCCATACCCATCCTGTGGGAGGTAGTCAAAGGATTACAGAGGTACACCACACAAATGGGTCCAGGGACTGTACCTCAACATTACAGAGGTACATAATGGGTCCTGGAACTGGGCCGCAAATTTTTTGTAGCTGAACAAGCTACAAAATTTAATGAACTATTTACATTTTTATAAAAAAAAAAAGAGTCGAAGTATGTTGCTACAGTGGTCAAAAAAGCTAACTTAATTTAAACCCGAACTTGATGCCAGGAACAAAAGGATGGGTGAGTATCCTGGAGCCGAGTCCCCCTCCTTTCGGGGTTTTGGCCCCCGGCCCAAAGGGGACCACCTCAGGGCCTCGTATGCTGACCCCCTTCAGCCTTCCATCCTCCACCCCCCGTAAAAGCCCCCCCCCTGCCCGAGGGCCCCCACCCCCAGGGCCTCCCCCGGGACAAACAAGTAATTTTTTAATATTACTATTATTTTTAAAATATTATTTTTATTTGGACGGACAAATGACTGCTTTTGCCCATCTTTGGGCCCCCTATGGGGAATGGGGAAAATTGGGGAGTGCAACACTTGGGGGAGCATTATTTGAAGAGGTTTTCGCCAACCTTTGGCCAATAAAATTCATGCAGGGGCTTTTTTAAGGGTTTTTGGAAATTGGGGACAGTAGAATCAGTTCCCCTCAGCTAAAAATTTGGTTTATTTAAGGAAAAGTTTAAAAACAAATTTCAAAACAAGTTTTTAATTTTAAAACCCAACTTTTTTTTGCAAGCCGCAAAACCCGGGACTGAAAGTCGAAGATCAAAATAAATTTTTTTATGAGAAGCCACAAATTTTATTAACACAAGCCTATCGATGTTAACCCCGGACGCCCAAAAGACTTTGAACAGGGGGATAAAGAAAATGCCCATGGGATCTTCCCCAGGGGCCCGACTCATGGAACTCTGGTTCATTTAAGAACTGCAAAAAGCCCCTATCACGGCCTTTTTTCCCTCCATTTGGGGAGGGAGCTTTGGGCACGGGGGTTTGTCCCCCCGTTTCTAAAAACAAAGACATTGCCCCACTCCCCCAAAAGGGGGGGTAAAACAACAGCAAAGAACTACAGACCCCAAAAGCACTAACATCCCTATCATAAAAAAAACTTTTAAAAGGGGGCCTAAGAAGAAAATCACCAACCCCCTCTAGAAACCCATCAGTTAAAACAACCCAGGGGAACATTTGGGGTTTGAAAAGGTTTGACCTGCTGTCCCCAAATTTTTGGACCACTACGACAAGGTTTCCCAAAAGCACTAGAAGACAAAAAAATGCAGATTAAAAATATACCGACTTTGCAAAAGCCTTCGACAAATGTGACCATGGCCCCCTAATTCGCAAAAAAAAATGCGGGGCTAAAGGAATAAAAGGGAAAAATCGGGCGAAAGGATCTATAATTTCCCCATAAAAGAACCAAGAGTAGTCGTCCCAAAAGAGTAAAAATCCGAGGCAGCTACGGTGAAAAAACTTGTTCCACAAGGCACAAATACCGCTCCCAACTTGTTCCCCCACCTTATATCCGAAATAGACAAGGATGTCAAACCCCAGCAAACCCTGTCCTTTCCCTTTTCAGAAAGACACCCGGGGAAAAAGCATGACAGTGTTTTTCCATTGCGGGCACTGCAAAGCTCCAGGCAGAATTTAACCAAAACTTTCAGTGGGTGCAGAAAAAAAAATAAAGAAGTTCAACGAAAGGGGAAAATTTTAATTACTCAAATATGGTAAACATGGGGAAATTTTAAAACTTCTCAGAGTACCCAAAAAAAAATTCTGGGGCCCCAAAAAAGCGAAAAACCAACGTTTAAAGACCTGGGGGTGATCATGTCGGAGGATCTCACCTTCAAAAGGGCCCCTAACATTGTATCAATCGCATCTGCTAGAAAAATGAACAGGATGGATTAAAGAGAACCCTTTAAAACTAGGGAGGCCAAGCCCTTTATGACACTTTTTCAGGTCACTTTTTTCTATCTGGGTGGGAAAATTGCTGCACCTAAACACACCTTTCAAGGGAGGGGAAATTGCCGACCTAAAAATGTACAAAACTTTCAAAGGGGCGCATAACCCGGAAAATAAAACAACCCCCAATTATTGGGGGGGGCTTGAGGGTTCCCAAACCTGAAAAACCCTGGAACGCAGGGGGGAGATAAAAGATTAATTTCACCTGGAAAATCCTAAGGGGGAAATGTACCGAACTTGCACACGAAAATCACTCCCCTACGAAAAGCAAAAGACTTGGGAGACATGACCATCCCCCCAAAAGAAAAGAGGGTGTCACTTTGCACGTTAAAAAACCCCTACAATAAGTGTCAGGGGCCCGAGAGTTCCAAAATGCCTCCCAAACATAAGGGGGGTTTAAAACCCAAAAGGGCCCCCGGCGGGCCCCCCGGGTGGCACTGGGCAAGCACCTAAAATCAGTTTCCGGATCAGCCGGGG